AGCTTCTCGCCAACTGCGAGAAGCAACGACCGAAAAAAATATCCTGCTACGTACGGACGGTGTCGACAGCTGCAACGGCCCCGCGGAGGACTCCAGTGGTGGACGACATTTTTTACGTTTATGCGCACTCCGTCGAGTATGGCACGCTTTTGACTCAAGGAGATTGATTGCCTTCGTCTTCCCCGTCGAGGTGCCGGGACTCTCCATCGTTGAGTGGCGATGATTCGCCGAATCGGTGCTTGAGCGAAGGAGACTTTCACGCAAGAGCGACCTCACCGACCAGTCGCCGATACGGATCACTAGCAAACAAAGAAGCGCTCACGGGACCGAGTTGCGCTCAAGCTTGTCTGTCGTCGGTATAGAGAGCCTAGATGTAAGGGATGGGGCAACTGCTCCATTGGGGTCACGTGGTTTGTGGGCCGCGTTTGCAAAACGAGCTGCAGCCTGCCAGGAGTCAAAACTAAAAAGCGTCCACCTTCTGGTGAACGCGCGAGAGGTAAACGCTAAAAAGCGTTCACCTCCCGCGCATTGTGCCAAACCAGTCCAAGGAAACGGAAAGGAGGGACTCCACTCTTTCTCGGACCGTCGTTTGTGCACCCAGATACAGCCATTCTCTCCCTAGAAGATTAGCCCGTTGCTCAAAGCTCGGACAAAAGTTGCTTTTCCCACCCCGTTCAGCCCTAAACTGACTGTTGTGGAAGCTACGTGTTCCTTGGGCCAGCCACACGCTCGTTACCCCACAGGTACTTCGAACTACTCGGTACCACAACGCTGACAACGCCATCAAGGGCAAAGCTCATAACCACGCCAGCATTGCTACGTCACGAATGCGGGGAATCTGTTTTTGTTTGCGCCGGATATCCCATGACGCATCGCGCTCTCCGTTCGCTTCTCTTCGAGCGCTTGCACGAGTGCACCGTTTGGAAGGAAAAATATAGCCAGTCGTTGAATATACAAACGTGCGATTATCATTTACGGTTATTATCCGTCATGCTTGACTCATTTCCGAACGAAATTTGAATATTTCAATCTTTGTTTCCGTACCTCTTTAACCCAAAGAAGGAAGAGAACACAAATTTACGGACTCTAGCGACTTGGTGGCGGCGGTGAGGTACAACAAGAAGCGGTGAGCGAGGAAATGCGGGACCACCGCTGGGAGAAACAACCGGAGCGGTCGGTTTGGGAGGGACCTTATACCTGGCCGCCATCTATCCCCATGCGAGTGAAGCGCTCGGTGCGCCGAACATAGTGTGGTCGCCGCGTCGGACAGAGTCATCACCTAAATGTTTCTTCCACCGTGATCTAGCCTCAAACCCAGCGACTTGGCTCGAAAACGGTTTATTGCCCCTGGGGTAGAGTGTTTCTTGGAAACGTGTATAAAGGCCATAAGGCGTGCAGTCCTCGGACATTACTACTAGGCTATATTGTTACACGTTCACACCACCAAGCGGCAACGCTCGCAACTACCCTTGGTCATGCAGTCGAGCCATTGACGTCACGAGCGCGATACGTATTACGCTTCTCGCTAGTGAAGCGAGAAGACACGCCATTTCGTTTCCATACTTCTTCACTCACAAGCAACGCCACTGACCAAGAAACTCATTTCTTGCGGTGAAATTTCAAGGACAAAAAGAGTCTTATTTTATTCTCCCTTTCGCAAAACCTGATGACGTAGCTGGGGAATAGCAGTACCCTCAATTCTTCCATCCTCGCCAGCAAAGCCCAGCGCCGTTGCCAAATTTGTTACCCCATCTGAGAGGGCAGGGCGAAGCCCTGTGCACTTCAAGGCCAATTAAATGTTCCAGCGTCTCGGTATCACTGTGGCATACGGCACGCAATATGTTTGCCTCCTGAAATTTGTCAAATTTCTAATGCTGATCGAACCTCTGATTTCATGCACAGTATCCTATAACCAAAAGACAGTCCAGGCATTATCACTCCTTTCCACACACCTTTGATTACCTCATATCTATTCTAGTTCCATAGTGCCTTAAGCTTCATAACTAACAAATTTCTGTTACCTTTTCTAATTATATTCTCTTCATGTTTCTCGAGATATTTATTTCCCTCAGTGAGCCAGACTCCCAGAATGTCTTGTATCCGCAGTGGTTCCCTCTTTTCGTCATTAACCCCTTGCCTACTAATAACGAGTGTCACTCGTGCCGCCATTTACGGACCATAAAACCCGACCACGAGTGTGACTCGTGTTTCGGTTTCAGAGCTCGTTTTGTGAGCTCTGCGGCAGATGGCAGCACTACCCCTGTTGCTCCTGTTTACCTTGGGTTCTTTTCTTGTTTGCTTTGCCTTTTGACAGAGAGAGGGCGCTCCATTGACAAAAAATAAGCGCGCTATTGTAAGCAAGCGCGCCAAAAACGTCTTCGGCGCGGAGGTCTGCTTTGGCGGACGAAGATATACAAAGACTTCTTTTTGAAAGTGATGAATGCGCCAGTATTTCTGACGACGAATCCTGCTGCCTTTCCCATTACTCGGAATCCGATGAGAGTTCAACGGACAGTGAGAAAAGTGTTGAAAACGATGCGAATCCTGGAAGCATTTCATCGACTTCTTCGTCTGCACGTCAGTGGAACTGGGAGAAGAGGGAAAACCAGCCTGCTCAGTTCACCTTTGTAGAAACCCCAGGTGTGTCAGCAAGGGTTCAACGCAGTCTTGGTGAGAAGACAAGCGCCTTGTCGACCTTTTCCGTGTTTGCAAGTCATGATTTTTGGGCGTCTGTCTCTGCTGAGACAAATCGCTACGCCGAACAAGAGATGGGCGACGAGGATCGTCCCAAGAAATGCTATGAGGAGCAATGGTTTGACACCACTCCGGATGAGATAAAGGCATACTTTGCCTTGTGCATCATTATGACGCAAGGGAAAAAACACACAGTCAAAATGAACTGGTCCAAGAGGTCCATAGTGGAGACCCCAATTTTCGGCAAAACGATGTCCTATGTGAGGTTTCTGCTAATCTCTCGATTTCTATCATACTGTGAAGAACTACTGAAGAAGAGGAGACGACCAGAAGTCCTGGTATAGAGCATGAGACTACGCCTGAAAGCCAAGGAAACGTTTTTCTTTATTTTGACGCAAATTGCTTGATTTAAATAAAGCTTTCTGTACGATCTTTAAAGAAAAAAAATGAGTAGGCAAGGGGTTAAATAGCATATGCCTGGATAGTACTTTATGGTCTCACAAATATTTAAGCTCAATACACATACCTTACTTCTTTTTTGTGAGGTTGCTGCCGCCATTGGAGAATGTGGGATTTAAATTAAATTCAAATCACAATCGCAACATTTGAGAAAGTGGCACTTCGGCAAACTCGAGAAGATGGCGCACTTGAGGCCAGATTCACGAGGAGCTTCTTAGGCTACGACAACTTAGCTAAGAAGTTTGTAAGTTACGCACATCGCGAGAAGTGGAGAAATCGGTATTCACGAACGCATTTTTTAGTGAGAGGAGGAAAGAACAGTTCTCGCACGCGCGGGCTGCTGCCATGGCAGCAGCGGCTTCGGCAACACGAACAACCCTTTGGAAAGCTCGGCATAGTTCGGAGTACCATGGTTTGGGGGCATGTGGGTTCTGAATATCAAACGCAGGCGGCCTTTCCGCCAACGGTTGTGGATGGATGGATGCATGAATGGTAATGGCCATACCCTTTGTGACGGACGGCAGCTTGCGCCACCTAGCCTCACATTTCGTCTTCCCTTCTTTCTCTTTTCATTTGTATAAATTTTATTCTAACACAACCCCCCCCCCCTTTTTTTTAGTGTTTCCATTGCTTATTTTTATCTGTATTTTTACCCCTCCCCTAGATCTTTTCCACCAATCTTCTCTTTACCGCAATTCTTTCCCTATCCATTCATCCATCCACGTCTGCAAATCCCAGCGCCCTCTCCAAAACCATAGTAATCTCCTCCAAGAGCGTAGGACGAAGCCCCGTGCACCTTAAAATTAAATGTTCTATAGTTTCCGTTTCGCAGTTGCATATGTTGCATAGAGTGTCTATTTCCTGGAATTTAGCCCTATATGTTTTTGTTCTCAGCACCTCGGTTCTAGCTTCAAACAGCAATGAGCTCCCCAATGAATTATTATACAACTATTCCTTCTTTATTTCTTGTTTTTGAGCCCTGTATATTGTTAAAGCCGAATTCCCCTGCATTCTCTCTTCCCACAATTTCCTGTTTCCTTTACTCCCTTTTTTTACTGATATGTTCTGATTGGCTCCATCTCGTTGAATGTATTTAAATCTCAGCTTGCGAGTTTGGTTTGTCCACTTAGTGTTTAGACTTTTCATATATAAATACTTGCATACTTTCGCTGCCCACCAAGTATCCTGTATTTTATTTGTTCAAGTTTTACTTTACTGATCGCTTCTCTACTCTCGAAAGATGCCCAACCCATATACCCCTGTACTCCCTCATTTGGTGTATTCCCATGTGCCTGATCTGGGGATCGTGTCCTGTGTTGCCTGATTGGGTATACATTCTTTTCCAGTTGGCGTCCAAATTTGATGGTTGGCTATGCGGCCATTTTTGGGCTATTTCTAGGGATGCAGCGAACTTTTGCCGAACCTCAGGTTCAACGTCAAACTTAGAGGTTTGACTAGTTAATGTTCGAACTTCTGATCAGTTTAAAAAAAGGAAATTGTTTCTCTTTTGGTTTTTTACACATGTGGAATTCAAGGGGGGGTCAGGACATCCGGACCCCAACTACCCACAACAATGGTTGTCGGTACTCGTAAAAAAAGCGTGGATTTGATCAAGGGGCTTCAGTTAACAAGGGCTTCAATCAGCCAGTGGTTAAAAATCTTGATGTTCCGAGTGACAGCGATGAAGATGATACTGTTCACAGAACCATAAAGGGTTCACTTTCAACCGATTAATCAATTAAAACAAAGAATCGTAAATTAGTGCATAATTTAGTAGAGACCCTAATAAAAAAAATCCTTCTTTATTTGGCAGGGTTCTTGTTGAAAAAGTCAGACATCACATGACATCTCTGCCAACTTTTATTTTTGTCGACATTGTATGCAAAGCTCTGGGTTTAACAGGTATTTTTTCCCGCCTCACATCAATCCAAACGTGCGGAGACTAAAATAGCTACACAATATCTTTGCTGCCAGGATTCAAGAAATATTAGTGCAAAAATGGTGCAAATGCAATGTGAACATAATGTAGTCTACTAATGGACTAGCTCAGCTGCTGTACATCTAGCTTTTCATAAATTAAAGCTCGCAATGTGAAAAAAAGAAAAAGAAAGCCTCGAGGTGTACATTTTTAAGTCATAAATATATTAGATTCTGCAGTTCTTGTTGATATAATAGAATATTTACACACATTTACATACACCAAAAACTATTTTCCTAAGGTTGATCATTATCTGAGCAGTTGTAACACCACAATGAAATGAGTATAAAACAAGGGCTGTTTCTGAACAATGATGACAAAATTATCTCGTTAAGCACCACTGACAACTTGGGCAAGCCAACCCAAAGAGCTGTCATTTAAAACAATGGTCATAATTGATGGTCTCCCAGAACATATTTCTCCAAAATAGAATAGCACAAGGAGACTCTAGAGATAGAGTAGTTTGCACAAAGAAAGGGTACAAATATCCAACCTCACGGGTGAATGTCCCACCATCCTTTCAAATAAAAATGTAAGATTTCTTCGTGTTAACGAAAAAAGAAAACTTGCCGAACCATTGTCATTGCAGCTCAGCATAAACAGACAACACTTTTTTTTTTTTTTCTGATGGGCCAGCTGAACAAAGATTACACCACACACAAAAAATTATGTTCACACTACTGGACTTGCAACTGTTTCATGTTGCAAGTGTAGCAGTGCGAATGTAATATTTTGTGTGTTGTGTATTCTTTGTTCAGCTGGCCCATCATAAGCAATGAACAGCTTAAGCTTGAGTCAACCATCCTCTCCCTAGTCAAATTTTCCTGGAAGCCTAGAAAATAAATAAAGTTAAAGCAACACAGCCTTATCACACACAGGTGGGTTGTAAAGGTACCCACCAGCTGAAAGTCTAAATAAAAATAAAAATAAAAAAAGAGATTGTAATAAACCTAAAATAAGCTCATTCCTAGTATTCCACCACTGGAACCGCTGCAAAGCCTGCCTAGTCAAGCAGTATCACATGTCCAGTCAAGGGAGGTCTTGATTCGAGAAGCAAGCAGTCTTTGCAGTTCTCACATTGGTTCTTCCGCTGGAAGACCCCAAATGCACAGTATGGGGTGTCAAACTATGTGAAGATAGGGTTCTAGCACTGGCACAGCAAGAAGAATGCAGATGTCCTATGAACCAGCCGCTCCATCGCTGTTCCGGTTGCACGGGGCACCAACATATGACCATGGATGTCAGTTGCTGCACTGACTTGCACAAGGCACAGTCCAGTTGAATCCAAGCTTAGCTCTCGTGAAAGCCCCTATCCAGAAATAACCACTATCTAGGAGTAGGCATGATGTGGTGTGACACCTGTGTGGTTGATTTCACTTGTGGAATCCGTGTGGTCTAGACACTGCCTAATATTAGACAGTTTCCTCTCAACACAATACATTGTTCGTTAGATTACGCAGAGATTCTGCAACAATGTCAGAACTAGCCTCAATGTCTAACCAAGAGATGCCACGACTCCTTGTCTTGCAGGTATCAACACCATTTCACGTGACTTGTCAACAAACTCAACATGGGTGGACTTCATATAACACTGCCCAGTAGCAGCAATGCGTGCGACAATGTGCAATGCGTCGTCTAAACCCTCGCCCACGACTATACTATTGTCATTATTGTGAGTTGCAATGCCACAGAAGCGACTTGAGAGCACTGGCTACATTATCTGACCAAAAAGTAAGTGGTGATGTTTCAAATGCCATAGACACTGCCCCAGCGTTTCACGCACATGTCAGAGGCTCCCCCCGTGATTCTTGCTGCTGACCAAACAGTGTAGCCAGTACTTCTTAGTTTGCACCAGGGTATTCCGACCCTTACCGCTGAATATAGTACATCCAATCCTCTCTTGGGCAAACAAAACTCTCGGCAAAAAGGCAAGAACACAGGCCTTTCTAGACGATAGCCTGCTCGAAAAAACATTTTGGATCATCTCATGCCGCCCACATCCTTTCTGTTGAGGCTTAACTTTCACCAGCACACTCCCCAACTTTGACCATATGCATTGCAGGCGTGTCCTAGGCTCTGCTTCCTGTGACCCCAGGACGGGACGTCAGCATCCGTCTAGGAACAAAGCCGTGCTCACGGCGGCCGCGTTACGGCTCTGCCCAGGGGTCGGTGCGCCAGAGGATGGCGTGCATGTTCTGGTGGATGCAGTCTCCGCCCGTAGGCAGGTACCTGCCCAGAAGGTTGCGGTAGCCCTTGCCCACTGTGGCCACCAGGGCCGAGGGCCGCTGGCTGGGCACGGGGCTCTCCGCTCCCCCCTGCGTGGCGGGGGGCCTCCTGCCGTCGGGGGGCAGGCACAGGATGGCCTTGACCTCTTCCTCGAAGGGCCGAAACACCGTTATGGGGCGCATAGTGCTCGCCTCCGCCACCACCAGGCACCCCCAGGTGGTGCCCACGTACAGCTCCGTGTCTACCAGGGCCATGGTCGTCACTTGGCACCTTCCAGCTGTGCGGCAATGTTGGAAACAAAATATATTCGTGGGACCTATATATTGCAATAATATTCAAGTTGTATAATTTGCTGACTATAGGTCCTCGCAAAAATTGAATCGTTTACATCACTGCGTTTTGTGATCCAATGCTTCACATTAACACATTGTGCAAGCGGCATGGGATCAGAATGTTTGCCCAGCTACTGCTGGAGCTGCAGAAACATCCTTCACACAGCTTCCAGGGCATAAAAGTACAAAAACTATTCCTGAAAAAAAGTATATGTTGGCGCTACAGATGAAGTTGGAATACACAAAATGTGATTCTGCGGCATTCTTGGGGCTCGAAGAACTTCGCAAATGTTTATTTTTGCATTTCGCTTTTGTTATATGGGTAAAAAGTGTGGGAGAGGGGGAGATGAGAGCACGTGGGGACGTCGGAGCGCTAAGCTCTGGTTGGAACGATTAGTGGGTAGACACAAAGCTACAGTCAAACCCGTTTATAACGAACAGCAGGAAACGCTACGATCAGTTCGATACAGCAAGTAGTTCGATATGGCAAAAACCATTTAAAGTCTAAAAATGTAGCTCCAACCAATATTTGAAAGGCAACCCAACGTTTTCGGACTCTCACCCAACCAGGCAGATTTCTGCCGAATATGTTTACTTTCAAAAATCATTTACAACGAACTTCTAAGAACTTCCACGATGCCTTCATTGTGAGCCGAGAGCTTCTCTTTATCTTTCTCATCTCTTCACCTCATCCTTGTAACAATGCGCTGTAATTTTTTTTTTTTTTTTCGTTTATCTCTTTTGCTGAATTGCTTCTTCGTGAGCAAACGCTTTTGGGATGAAAATTTCTTTTCTTTTCCTGTACGTGCGTGCAGAGTGCATATTTTACCTTTCTCGCCTTCTGAATCGATTCTCTTCGCTCAATTTGTTTCGCCATTTGAGCTCTTGTAATTTTCAACCTTTCCTACTTCTTTTTGGGGGGAGGGGACAGGCTAGAAGAGGACTGTTTGCGCGGTTTTGGAAGCCTCCCCGAGGGGAAAAAGTTTGATATAGCCAATAGGTTGTTTGTTATAAAAAGTACTTTTTACGTGCATTTTTATTTAAATTTTTTGTGAGTTCGATATTGACAATAATTCGCTGTATGTGGGTTCGTTCTAAATGGGTTTCACTGTACCTACCTTTGGTCTCTACTCATTGTATGAACACATACGCTGTCATCCCGTGTTCATATCTGGACAGTGAATAGACTGGTTCCTTCATATCACGAGTCTCCTCTTTGTTGTTGTGGCAAGGTGTCGGGCCCATCACCATAGGGTTGCACTCAATACTTTGTTCCTTCTTCTCAATTATACTTACTATTTCTTCTCAGATATCGATTCTTTTGTACAGGTTGTCCCTGAAGTATGTGTTAAACATTTTGCAATGGTTTCCATGATGTTCGTTCACACTTTCCTTGGGGATCCCAGCCCTTAACGTGCAAACAAACAGAGCAAAAGTATGGTGGTGCTGCCATCTCACAAAACCAGTCCAGTCTAAACTACAACCGTCCAAACAAAAGACTGCTGGATGCACCAAAACAATAAATGCTAACGCATAAAAAAAACAGCTACACAAGAATTGCAATTTTAAATTTTTTTTGTATTTTGCTCTCGTTGCTTTGGCTTTGTGTTTGTATGTTAAAAAGAGCTCACACTCCAACCTTGTATAAAATTGCTCTTCGTATTTAGTTTCGTTAAAATCATCACAAAGGCACTGTCTTGCAACCACCAAAACACAAACCATATATAGGCGTGCGTAATAGGGAGAAAGAAATGAAGATTGAGTGGTTGATAATAGTGCTCACGGGTGAGGTGCTCCTCGATGCTGATGGAGAGCAGGCTCTCGGAGCAGGGAGCCAGCTTGGAGCAGTCCAAGCGATGCAGGATGCTCCTCGAGGCACAGTCCCACTGGTACACCACACAGCCTGCACACCATCCACATCAACTCACTTGTCCATTGCTCAACGTAAACAAGCGGGTCTTCCTCACCTTATGAAGAGATTTTGAGGAATACCAATTCAATATGCTCAACATTTTATACACAGAGGCAAGCTTGCAAAAGTAGGCATGATTCCACCAGCATTGTGACATATTATATATCTTCATATATAGAAAGCATAGCTTTCATTTTCGTACGTCACAAAAGTAATTCTCGACCCCTTGTGAAGAAATAAGCGCTAAGAATATGAAACGAAACGCAGCAAAAATGGCAATGGACTTAACATGCAAACAAACGAAATGAAAGAGCACGGTGGGAACTGTACTGCCATGGCTGGCACAAGTTGAAGTCCTAAATAGGTAATGCCATACCATAAAAGACCACAGTCGACAAGTCCATGGAAGTCAGGGCTAGAAATGAAAACAGTGCTGTGGAAAAGATCATGGGCATATGTACTCCTGCACTGGCGCCTAAAATGCATCTCGGACTAATGCATTAAGCGTCCTGCACAACAACTGCAACAGAGAGCCCCAAAGTGGCACCAAAATATGCCACACAAGCCGCCGTGTAACGCTACAGCCTTTCACGATCCTGGCGGTGAATAATCCGAGTCGATGCAGGCATTGCTTTTGTTGCAGAATCTCAACCTGTAGCTACCGGGGTTTCTGTTAACTGACCAACTGCAGAGTTAACTACAGCAGAAGGGGCATCTGCTATATCACCCTCCATTGCTGCACCACTGCCAGTATCGCTGCAGCATCACACGGTCGTGTTGTCATTAGGCAGATGTCAAGACAACAAAACAGAGACGTGGCCAACAGAGCAGCCAAAGTACTCCTAGCGGCAGCAGCAGGAGCGGTGTCCCAAGACTCACCTGGATACACGTATGACCAGACGGTGGGCTGTCCCTCAGACGAGGAGCACAAGCAAGACACCACAAAGTTGTCTTGCGGGGGTTCATAGTGGTTCACCACTTCCTGCCCCGACACCACCGACCCTCGGAGTGGGTAGATGGCAATGGCACCCTGGGCCTTGCCACACCACAGCTCACACCTGCTCGAACACAGAGAGGGACTGTCTTAGACGAGAAACAACTTCACAATGAACATGCTGCAATTAGAGCCAGAATGTTATTTTCTTCTTCCCCCCCCCGAACTAGCTGCAAGGCTAGCACGGCAGGCTCATTAAACTCATAAAGACGCTCCCCTCTAAGACATTTTGCAATTCTATTTTAGCATTTGTTGTTTCACAAAACCCTTCTTGACTGTAAAACAAAAAAAGGCTACGTCAGCTGTGTTGAAATATTTTCTCTCAAATGGCACAATAAAAATCGACTAAGCCAGAGATCACACTGTCCAGTTGCTAAGACATTGATTTGATTAATTTAATTAGGTACCACCGTGAAACACCAGGCAAGCGCCCACTCAAACTTTGGAGATAATCGTAAAAAAATGGGGGATGGGCGCTTGTCCGATCATCAATTTTACATGTAAATGTACTGTGCATATTTTGTCAGATCTCACAAATTTGGTAATGGGTGCTTAATTTGGAATGGGCGGATATGCGGTATTCTACGGTACCCTCAGAGTCATTGGCATTACAAAGGGGAGTGGGAGCAAGAAAGGTAAGAATCGCTTTTTTACCTATTTTCACATACTTTCTTTGCATTGTTTCCTTTTGTGCACCACGCTGAAGGCATCATGCTGCTTGTGGGCACGTATCAAATAAATAAATAAAACAAAATAAATAAATAAAAAGAAAATACAGTAATTTATACACTTATTTCATGGAGGCAAAAAGCGTGAACGATGTTAATAGCCTCTCTAAACAATTGAGTATTAACAATACCGCAGTTACTCGCACATTGAACACACCCCCCACAACGGGTACCAATATTTGGACTTTTCTCTCCTTCGTGTCATGAACGGAATTCCAATTTTCAGCTCCGCAAGTCTCGAATTGCTTCCAATTTAGCTAGCCAACAAGCCAATTTTCTTTTGCTGCCAAGCGGTCAGGCCAAGTCGAGCCAAGCCAAGCCGCTCTCGTAATGGCTGCAAGCCCATAGTTGCGGAAGTGATCAACCATGAAACTGAGCGGCGCACACACTTGACAAAGCTTATGTCGAGGAATTGCCCAGCCCCGGATATTTTTCGCCTACCGGATGCATTGACGTCAACAAACACGCCGTCATCAGCAATTCGCTTTCGGACAGCGAGTGAAAGTGGTTAGGCCTAAGAACGATCGCGTTGCTCTCCGTGCTGAGTGTGCTGTGTAGGGCGCTTTTCCTTCGGCAAAAGGCACGCCGAAAGCGCCCTAAAACAGGTTCGCAATTTATAAAGCATGGTTATTGTGGCGTGACCCCGACCAGCCGTGGGTGTGCCTCCATTAGTGGAGACGTGCCACAGTACCTTGCCGTGTCATATTGGCACCTAATATGACATTTGCACGAACTGTGTAAATGCAAAAATTTGCCCGTGTAATGAGCGCCTCCCCAAATATATGTTACTTTTTCAGGGAAAAAAGTGTGTTCATTATGCGAGTAAATACAGTAGATACAATAGAGGCCGGAAGCTTCCAAAGACGTTTTAGGGACTAATTAATGGTACCATATTTTCCGGTGTATAAGTCGCAGTTTCTTTAAAACATTTTTCTTGGCGCGTCCTACACAACAATGTGACTTTTTTTTTTTAATTCACAGTGTGATACAGTCTTTTTTTATGTGCCGTGCACCATCTTTCGTAGAGCACCGTAACCAAGCAGCCATATGGTGTTGCCCCTTCCTGGAAGTACTGCTTTCGCTGCACTCTTCTACACTTTCCTAACTAACTTGGAAAGCAAGAAATTTTACGATTTGCCCGAAGCAGCTCAATGTGTGTAGGCAAGACAGTGAGAATAAAACTTTCAAAGCATGTGGTGAACGTTGCCAAATTCAGCCATGGTTCTGTATTCTTTTGCTTTAGTCCAGTAACACTGAAAGGTAAATGGGCTGGTACACACACACTGCAGAAAATTTTTTTGCGTCTTTCTTAGTTTCTGCTAGATGAGCAGTTTTTATCTGTCATGCTCCAGCTGTGTTGCTACATGTAAAAATAAGGGTTGCAGCAAGCCAATCTTTTAGCGGAAACCAAAAAAATGAAAGCCGTTTACAACTCCCTGTAACACCGAATTAGAGCGCAGCTCTTGAGGAGGAGGAGGGAAGGGTACCGGGGGGTGAAGTGACCTGGGGGGGGTCGCGTGACCTTGGGGAGTCACGTAACCATGCCGATGATGTCATCAGTGATGATGACGATGTTGGTGACGTCATCGATGAAGTCATCGGGGAGGTCACGTGACCTCGGCGAGGGTCACGTGACCCTGAGGGTGGTCACGTGACCTGGGGGGTGTCACGTGACTTCGGGGGGGGGGGGGGGTCACGTGACTTCAGGGGGGTCACGTGACTTTGGGTGTCACGTGACCTTGGGGTGACCTTGGGGGTCACGTGACCTTGGGATGACCTTGGGGGCCACGTGACCTTGGGATGACCTTGGTTACGCCGACGCAGACGCCGCTCAAGCCGGGAACGGGCCCCTAAGAGCTGCGCTCTAAAAGTGTGTCAAGATTTGTCTATCTGCCTGCCCACCGATGCTTTCATCGTCTCCGTGACGGCCTAGGCTAGACCGAGTGGTTCAAAGGTTGGTTCACGAGTGTCTGTCACGTTAAACTTTCGTTCGCTCGGCATGTGTATGCTTGAATAAAGCCGACTACCTTCTCATTTCGCGCGTTTCATGTCCTTTTGCTGCGAAACACTCAATTGCCCCCCCCCCCCCCCCCCCCCCACACAGCGCCGTGCTATGGGCATTTCTCACGAGTCAAAACGTCAAAGTTGCGTGTCAAACAGTATGTACGATCTAGCTGATTGTGCGAAGCTCCAATTTCACGATACCAATGCACGTAAAACAAAATAACTAATCACGTGAACCGTGCAAAGAGATGCGACTAATACACCAAGTTTACCGCGAAAACGGCTCAATATACGGAAGAGTGACTTATAGTCCGGAAGATAGAATAAATTGTGTTATTCTCACAATTAGGGACGCCCAATTTGAACAGATGGTCAATGTGTGGCGAAATATAGAGCATAAAGAACCCTGCTGTGCCCTCCTGAAGTCCCAAAGTGCATCCAGTTGCAATGTGCTGACACACCCAAACATGTCATCACAATGCGGTTATCTCCGCACCATTGTACGTCAGCTGAATGTGTTGATAAAGGTCTACAAAATGAAATCTAGGATATAACGGAGTGCACAATCAAAAGGGAGGCGAAGGAAGCCTCACCCATTGTCGCCGAGCTGGAGCGCACAGAGAGACAGCGCTCCAGGAGCATCCAACTCCTGCAGGGCGTCGCCGTGAAGGCTGTTGTCGTGGCAGAGCCAGAGGCGCCCTCCGCCTCCCGTGAACAGCGCCACGCGACCCACGCTCTCCAGGTGGAGCATGCCCCGCAGGGCACACACAGTGGCACAGTCCGGCGTCAGCGAGAAGCTGGACACCTCTGTATACGTCTGCAGCCTGCGCGAAGAAATGGCAAAAGACTCGTCCCATTACCTTATCCTACCATAACGCTTTGAGGTACAAGTGTTCATGGACCTGAAGCATGTTTAAAGATGAAACAAACCAGCTGCACTTTAATTACGTTACTTTTATTGCTCAGTTGGACATTCCGCGATACTCAGGATTATTTCTTGACGAATACTGAGACACCTTACGATAAAACCACAATAGGAAATATTGTTAGAAAAAGAACCAAGACTTACCCGTAGATGTGGACGACGGCCCGCGAGTCCCCCAGCCAGACAGAGTCATTGACCACGCACAGGCAGGTCACGGTCACATCTTCGATGGGCAGTGTCTGTGCACGTACCAAAAGGGTGGCAATCTCTCAATATTGCATCTGGCAAAGAAACAAGGACGCTCTCCCAAGGGGGCAGAAGCAGCACTTACCTTGAGGTCTGCCCAACCTGTTGAACTGCAGCTGAGCAGGTCTATGTGCCGCCCCATCCGAGCCAGCCACAGTTCACAACTCATCTCTGTAAAAACAGAATGTTCAGAGTATCAAAGAAGTTTGGCAACATTGGACTCGGGCTGCCAAAAAGACGGCTACCACGTGGTACAAGGGGTCACGTGATCCTCTATGCAATGACAGGCGGGACTGGAGCAAACTACCATTGGGGCAGGGGCGTGCAATGAGCAAGTGTCGTCTGAAACGCAGTCTTCACCTTGTTTCAGTGTCTACGATATTCAGCGACGTCTGCACAACTGCGGCATGAGTCCAAGCACATGGTGTGAACAAAAACTACAAAGACACTTAAGACTGCTAAAGTGTCGGATTGCAAAAGCATTTGTATACATAGCGTATACCTACAAGCTGCACGCCACGCTGAGCCCGGCCGAGCGACCCCTACTGCCCAAACGGGCTCTGCGGCCGGCTGCTCTGCAGAGCCCGGCCACCCTCTCCCTCTTACCGGTGGCCGGGCCACCGTGCCTGTAGAGGGCTTTTCTGTGAAGTGGCGTTCCTTGGAACTATGCCGCGCGCCAGCCAATGGGAGTTTATTCATGAATTCGCTGCTACAGACTACAGGCTTCGCTTCATGGGACAGGGGAATTTAGGTGCCGTTTGGCACGGCTTCAAAAGCTGATAACGCCGGCTCACTCCATGAGACAGTTAATGCTTTCGCATTAAAACTCCGAGAGACAATATTCACAAACGGTGAGACGAAGTCGGCGGTTGTGAAGCGGGGGACGGCGGTAACGGCGGGACGACTGGACATCTCCCAAGGCTGAGAAGCGTGCTATGCAGGTGCGTTATGCTAATCACGCGAACACTGTCGAGCGCCGAGAGAAGACGCTGCTGATGTCACCTGTTACGCATTGCCCGGAGAACTAAAAACAAATAAAAAGTAGCAATGTATATGACGTTTCTCTCAATGTTGGCTACGCCAACGTCGTAGCCTTGACTGCGCTGCTGATTGTGCCTGAATTCAGCCGCTAGAGTCGGCTGATCTCAGCAACTTTGCATGTTCCGAAGTTTGCCGGACCGCTTAACCCCTTAACCGTTTTTCATTTTTGGCAATTTTGAACCCTAAACCGCTTCTTTTTTTTATCTTCTTATCTTATGATCTCAGTTACTTCACGTATAAAGCCCCATTATGATTGAACGACGGAGCAAACAGAAACATTTTATTGATGTTGATTGTAATTGCTTTGTTTTGGGGACAAGTTCAACTAACCTGTATAAAAAATAAAAAAAAAAAAAGAAAAAAAAAGCCCGGAATGGAAAGGAAGGTTTTCGGGGCCCCTAAGGCAATTTCGCGACCGTGTGAAACAGCTCGAAACACGGAATTACACATAGAGCCTTCTCGCACTTGCTGCACCAAAACCTTGTCTCCTTCCTCAGCTTCTTTCCGTTTTGGTCCTTCTTCTTGCAACAGAGGTTGCACTTTCGGGTTGGTTCGATTTTCTTTTCGGTCGGTGGGATGTAGGCGGGGAAGTGGCGGCCAGTGAGCCGGTCAACATCAAGCAGGCTGGAGGGACGACCGCGCTTTGGCTTCTGTGAGGGTTCGTGGTACTTGTTCAGGATGCTCTCAATAAGAGCAAGACGGTACTCAATGTGGAGCATCTTACCTCCGTCTTTTTTGTACACAATGAAGGAGTTGTATGTGGCTTCATCTACAAGCTGACGAAATATCTTTTTGTAATATATCTTTTGTCATTTCCTCGACACCGGGTAGTTTGCCAGCATTTGGTCGCACTTATCGACTCCCCCCATGGTGTGGTTGTAGTCCCGAACGATGCTAGGCTTGGCTACGGCTCGTCCTCTTGTGTCTGAGAACTCTTCAATTTCTGCACTATGCACTGTGCTCATTACGGTGACAACTTTCTTGTCTCGCCACTGGAGAGCAACACACTTCCCCCGCTGGTAGGCGTGCGCGTCACCCTTCTTCAGCTTAGGTGCGCGAAACTCTGGTGGCATCTCCTTCCTGTTGGCTCGCACAGTTCCATACACATCTGTGCAGTTCTTGATGAGGGCATCAACAAGCTCCGGCGATGTGTAGAAATTGTCGATGGTCACGCAGTACCCCTTGCCAAGGAGTGGCTCCAGCAACTTCAGCACCACCCTTGTCCCCATTGCAGATTCTGGAGGAACAGGAATAAGAGTGTTGAGATCTGTACCTTTTCCAGTGTAGATCAAACTGTTCCATACATAGCCTGATGCTGCCTCGCACAACATGAAAAATTTTATCCCAAAACGGGCCCTCTTCAATGGGAGGTACTGCACCCAACCCAACCTCCCTTTGAACAGCATGAGGCTTTCGTCGATAGAGACGTCTCTCTCTGGTATGTAGGCCGTCCGGTACCTCTCAACCAAACGCGAGAAAAATGGCCATATCTTGTAGAGCTTGGGCTGTGGATGAGTGCCAAGATCGGTCGAACTCTCGTTGTCCACGAAGTGAAGCATCCTCATGATGAGCTGGAACCGGTTACCGCTCATCACTTCTCCAAAGATGGGCGTGTGCAGAAGCTTGCTCTTCGACCAGTACCACTCTTGCTCCGGTTTTTGCACAATCCCTTGCAACAGCAGGAGCGACAAAAAAACCCGCATCTCTTCCGTTGTTGTTGGTACCCATTTCTTGAGGCGAGAATGCTCGCTAAGTTGGCTGGCGTTGAGTTTTTGCTCAGCATAGCGGTTGGTTTCCCTAACTATCAACGAGATCAAGCCGTTGTCCAGAAAAGCTTCAAAGTACTCAAGCACGTCAGTGGTTGATTGGACTGAAAATGTCTTACCCGGGCTGCCGAGAAAAGGGAACCGAGGGGGGGCTGGCGGAACACTGTTCATGTCAATTTTCGACCACTGCCGAGCATCGGCAATAGCGCGATCTGGATCGTCGTCGTCCTCCGCTTCGTCCGAGGAGCTGCTGAGTTCGACGTCGTAATCACTGTCTTCTTCACTTGAAGAGCAGAAGTAGACATCAGTATCCATGTCGCTATCGAAGTCTTCTGTAAAAGAAGCATTTCTTTTCCCTTTGGATGGGCCCGGGCCACACGTGTCACCACCACCGGACGCCATTTTTCAATCTCGTCTTCAAACGAAGAAAAAGACAAAACACAAACCAAACAGATGCAAAATTGCCGTTCCTGTGCTGCCATCTGTCGGCAGCATCTCAAACTGCGTTATGAACGAGCCTGGGTCGTCTAAAACGGCGAAGGGGCGAATGATGGAGGACAGACGAGCTACACTCGTCCTAAACGGTTTGGGGACGGCTCGAGGTGGACGAGCTAGGCTCGTCCAAAACGGTTAAGGGGTTAAAAAACATTTAGACAGAACTAGGTCTAACGTTTGACGTATGGTCTTTCCAGCTAATACTGAAGAGGGTTGCATTGCTTTTTAAAAATAAAAATAAAGCGGAGTTGCCATTTTAGGGGTAGCTCTCGCGGTGCTGAATCGGCATGCTCACCCTGTTCTTGTGCAGAGGGCAGGCAGGCGACTCCCGCACAGAGCACGGACTCGCTTTTCTCCAGAGAGACCACGTCCAGGAGGTGGGTGAACTCAGGGGCGGTGGCGATGGACACAATCTGGCTGGCCGAGGGACGGTCTCTTGGCTGCTGCGCCCAGCAGCTCACCATCAGGTCCAGCAGGTAGCCTGGGTATGCTATCTCCTGCGAGTGCACCCAGAAGGTTCCGCCCACCACTTTTATGCATGCAACGGAACACAGACTGCTCGCATCCTCGATGGTTATAAGAGGCTGCAGTATAATGGAGACAAGTTGAAGTTAACAAACACTCAAACCTCAACAGATGCAATTTCAAAGTGAAGGTCCCAAATTGAGATTCGATTTGGTGTCCACAGTGAAAATGCAAACCCAATAACGCAATTTCAGCAGCATAAAATTCCCAGGTATCTTCAGTGAGCTTTCGATTCCGACAAACTTCAAACTTAAACCTTGGCTGAAATTTTGTGGTCCCTGTGAATGGTCCATTTCAACTCCTTCATTCTGTCTTGCCTTCAACTCGGTACTAATGTTGATATTTTCCAAACTTTGGCTGCGAGTTCAAAATCACAAGAGCCGAGATAGTAAGCTGCATCTCTATGACTCCGCATAAATGAAGCTATATGCCAAATTTATAGCACACGTTCCTCAACAGAAACAAGCGTGGCATTCAACGAGGAGGGTGAAGAAAAAACATGCTCTTATCTCGAAATCACTTGCTCCCAGCGCTTCATTTATGGGGGTTAGAGGGACCGAATGGGGCATCTCCCTAAAGTGGGAACACTCTGGGACAACCGAGCATTTCGTGCGTGTCCGGGCAGTGGGGGACAGGAGGCCTCACCCTGCTGGTGAAGAGGGGCCGTCCTCCATCCAGAATGTGGTCCTTGACGCAGTCCTGTCCCTCAAATGGCAGCCTCAGGGTGAGCAGCTCGTACATGAACATGCCGAACGAGAAGCAGTCCACCTGCAGAGACGAGATCGGGGCCGACTCATTTACTCCAACCCCATTTACAAACTTCTTATATTTTTTACTCTAATTCCGACCAACTGCTAGCATCTCAGAGAAATGCTTCGAACCATTTGGTGTGACCAGGCTGTCAAGAACTGGTGATAACATGATAACATCAACGACGGTACATTTCTTACAAACGACCACTTCTTGGTGGCTCAAACAAATATGGATTCATACTTGAGGTATCCAACCATTCGCACGATGCTCGACCGATTGCTAGGCACTACTGACGCATTGAAAAGTTGAATGCGAGCGTTCGAAACACTTGTCAAAGAAAGCATTTGATGAGGGTAACATATACATTCAATAATTTCTGTGACTCTCGGTAAATTTTAGCAAGCTTTCCTGAAAGGTAAAGCGAAGGTGTTTGGGACATATTTCCAGTCTCTGTGTTAAGAATCCTTTGCTCCCTATGCATTTGAGTGTTTGTGAAACGACAACATACAGCACATCATTGGAGATTTGTGTTTGTCCTTTGTCCCTCTCGTTCACCTTCTCCAGGGATTATTTTCGTCATTCTTGTCCAGCTTGCTTGGACCTTAACATTTAATTGCATTACAGTATAGACCGCTTACAACGTAACCACTTATAGTGCAGGACCGGGTATAACGCGGTTTTTTTAAACCACCGGTTCGCCTCCCATAGAACTCCATGTAATTACATACCGCTTAAAATGCAGGCGCGCGAAGGGAAATACCGGTTATAGTGCGGTTTTTGGCACAGCCCGCCGACCGCGCCGACGACCGGAGCAGCGAGCACGCTTCCCTGTGCGACACTAGATAACGGCGCTGACGCACGAGCCGCAAGGGGCACTCGCGGGGAGAAGCGGTCAGAGCGGTGAGAGAGGCTGCAGTTGCCGTAGCGACGGAGGGACGCACGCACGTGTCGTTCACGTGCGTGCATCCCTCCGCTGCGTTGGAAACAAAGAAACAAACAACCACAACGACAGACCAATCGCAGGTCGAGGAGAAGTGTTCGCGCGCGTTGCATGCCGGTCGCGGGCCGGCTGCTGCTACCCGCAAACAAGGCGTCGGTTGTGATCGTCGTCGTAGACGGCGTTCATCTCATCGTTCTGCGTAAAAGCGCTATCCTTGACTGTGATTTTTCGTTGTGTGTCGCTATGAACCCAGCACGTACTAGAAGGGAAGATCTACCTACTCGTGCGGCGATGTCGTGGCGGCGCTCTCAAGATGGCAGAAACGCCCGTGTCGTCGTGTTTGTTTACTTCGACTACAGTGGTGCTTTCTAAGCATTTGTGTCCTCGAACATCGCCCGCATTTCTTATTTGGCGCATTTCATGCGTGTGCTCAAGTTCAAGGTATTACTGGCGCGTACCGTATGAAGGATGCGAATTTTCACGCGTTTTCATCTCCGGAGAAAAGTGATTAGGGTTAGGAATGCTGAACGCTCGCAATGTCCGTTAGCAAACCCGCGACGCCGTTAAAAGGCTGCGCCATGCAAAAGCCGCTCATTTCTTTCAAAATGTGTGACACACTTGAGACAGAACTGTACTAGTCTGGTGAAATAAAGACTGCCCTCAAACTAAGCCTTATTAATCATCTAACATAAAATAAATTCTTTTACAAAGGTAAGTTGTCTCATGGCATGTATTTTGGCCTGAAAAATTGATGTTCTGGTTATAGCGTGGTACCGCTTATAGTGCGGATTTTCGCGACTCCCGAGACATACGTTATATGCAGTCTACACTGTATAATCCTACATCATTGGAGTCGTCGGCTAATGGTACGAGTCGTCACAACCTCGACATTTGGTTGTAGAAGAGCCGGTAGAAGAAGTTAGCAGACGTTAACAGCTTCAGTCATTACGGCATCGACGGGACTGGACCGTTGATTGGACCGGCCATAAATTGAGCTAGGGCAGCATCTGTCGTATTAACCTTCGTTGCCGCAGTACCACTACCAGGGCAAACTGCAGTATCACGCAGTTGTGACGTAATCGGGAGGAGGCCAAGGCGATAGAGAGAGGTGCCTCGGACACACTGGCCTAAGACGCACCCCAAGCCCCACAGTCGCAGGCTTTCTGCGTGGGCAGACACCCTAAAGACAGAGAAAAAAATGCCTCTTCGGGTGGCCCGACCTTGTCGGTGTACTCCTCCTCTCCATTGTAGCGCATGATCTCGGGGGCCATGAATCCCTCGGTACCACCGAATCCCTTGGTGCCCGTGGGCAGGGTGGCTCTGCTGATGCCGTAGTCTGCCAGCTTCACGTCTACCGGGCTGGGGCCGGTCTCAAATGGAGCCGGGAAGGCCCACACCAGGACGTTCTCGGACTTGAGGTCCCGGTAGATGATGTGCTGCTGGTGCAAGTACTCCAGTGCCTTGGCCACCTGAAATGCCCAAAATGGGTTGCTTCGTTTAGCCACACTTTCTACACCACAAAGAGTAGACAGCAGTGGTGCAGGGCAGCGCAGTTTGCGCTTTGAGGGAGCCTCAACAATCATCACGCAATATTTTTTTGCAAGCGTCCTAAATAATGAAATGACGAGACTCGCTCGACTCCTTGACGGAGTACAGGAAACGATGGTACCCAAACAAGCTAGGGGGCGCTGGCAGCAACTGGAAGGAGGAAATGAAAACGATATAACAGCAACCTGCATTACACTTAACATGTTCAAGGTGCTCCAGAAGTCAAGGACTCGCGTTGGAATAGCGGACCGTGTTAAAGGTTCTCCGAGGTCTTAGATCTTTTAAGATCCCGTCTAATGGGCAGGGTTAACCTTTGGCTTGCACAGATGGCCCTGGTAATAATCGATAGTATGCAAAAAAAGAAAACTTGAGTGCAGCCTTCGGTATCTCTTGGTTCGTTTTCTTTTCTTTTTTTCGTACCACAAGTCCCAAATGCCTCAGGAATATGCTGAGGTGCAAATGTTTTGTCATCTCCGAGACTCAAACCTATTGAGGTGTATAAGGATGTTCGAAGACGACGTAAAAAGGGAATGGTCGGGAGGGGATGACCATAAATTCTCAAGCCCGAGTTTCCTCATTTTTTTTTCAACCGTCCCCCATGTTGGCAGACCCAAACATAACTGAAGCATAACTATGAGCCAAACACTTCCTAGTATGTGTGTGCTACTGCTTCCAAGGTTCGTAGGCTTTTGTAATGCTTCACCGCATCCATGCCGAAAACGGGAGGGGTTCCTGGACATTTCAAAGTCTGAAAACCCCCGACCTGGACGATGGTGGCCTGTAGTGCGTGGAGTGGCAGGTGTGCCCCCGACCGCCGGTGGTCCCTGAGCAAGGCGTCCAGGGCACCTTTGGGAGCCAGGTGGAGCACCAAGGACAGTGGCTGGCAGCAGACGCCCACCAGAGACAGGATGTGAGGGTGGCGCAGGCTCAGCAGAATGCTCAGCTCCTGCCGAGCCGTGCAGTACGCCTTGCATGCATACTGCAGCGGGTCCCGCTGCCACTTGGTCCAGGCAGCCTGTGGACACAGGGTGCAAGTTTCTTTCTTCAAAATGTGCCGCTGCTGCAAAGCTACATTGCAATGCCCAACCTACGCTCCTGGTGACGTTTGTCCACAAGAACAGGGTGCGACAAAATGCTTTAGGTGAGGGAGGGGAGGTGCTAGCAAGACTGTAGAATTTTGGAAAAGGGGACTGGGCTCCCTGGGCTCCCCCATGCCTGGTTACATGCTTGATACACAGGTATGACATATTTAGTGTGAACAAGATGTTGGGGTTCCTTGTTCCTCTAGTGGCAGAGTAGAATCAAACATCAGAGTTTACCATCGAAATTGGTACTGCACAGCCCAATATATTCATAGTTTTGAAGGCCACACCCTCACTCGTTAAAAAAACATAGAGGACCAGCAACTGTGTGTTCTACAGGGTGATTCAAGGGGACGCCAGGCACTTTAAATCGACTGCAAAATTCGGTTTCTTAACCTATCACACTACGACTTTGTGCAGCGTTGCCCACAGATGGTGCATTTTTTTTGTAAAATTTGCAAAGAGTGAACTTACCTGAGGAAAAAGTAAAGAAAGAAAAAGGCTTAGCTCCTATGGTAACACAGCGAAGCCACCGGTCTTCAAACAACACGGCGCCGTTTCGCACGGGAGACAAGAGATGGCGCAAGCGGTCGCGACGCCAACTGCCGCCAACGAACGAGCATACGACGCTGAGAGCCGGCGTCTTTAGCAGACAAGGAACTGCACTTCCTTGTTGTTACCGCGCCTGTTTTTGTTTCTGCAACTGTCGCCGCCTGCGGAACGCGCGCCGCTTTTGGAAAAGATTGTCTGCTAAAAACGCCGGCTCTCGGCGCCGTATGCTCGTTCGTTCGTGGCGTTCGTTGCGCCATCTCTTGTCTCCCGTGCGAAACGGTGCCGTGTTGTTTGAAGACCACTGGCGTCGCTGCATTGCCATAGGAGCTAAGCCTTTTTCTTTCTTTACTTTTTCCTCAGGTAAGATCGCTCTTTGCAAATTTTACAAAAAAATGCACCATCTGTGGGACCGCTGCACAAAGTCGTAGTGTGATAGGTTAAAAAACCGAATTTTGCGGTTGATTTAAAGAGCCTGGCGTCTCCTTGAATCACCCTGTATAAAGCTGCTCTGTGCATTACCAAAAATCAGACATGCTTTAAAACCCTCTATTTCTGCAAAACCACGTTTTTTGTATATTAGTAGTGAAAAACATTGTTGTAATTTGCAATAAACTTCCGGCTTCCTACTTGTAAGAATAATTTCTGTATGCTTACTAAGCTTCACAAATTTGGTGATTCCTGAAGCCTGTGTTCTCCCTGGACCTAAACAAGGCAGTACGATAATGCATACTCTGTACATCTATCAACTGAAAGAAACTTGAGAAGATCTGCCTTGTGGAAAATTTACACCAGCCCTCAGACGTACAGTCAGCTCCACTAACCTCTTCAGTCATCAGAATGTCCCTCATACCCATCATCCCAAAATGCATAAAAAAAATAAGATCTCATTGTTTGCTTTTGTTTAATAGTACCGTAAAGTACCGGGTAAGTGCCCACTCGAAATTGAGAGCTAATTGCGGAAAAATGTGGGTTGGGCGCTTGTTCGGTCATCAATTTTACATATAAATGTACCATGCATATTTTCTCAGACCTTACAAATTTGGGAATGGGCGCTTAGTGTGGAATGGGCGGATGCATGGTATCCTACGGTATAGATTTTATCTTGTCCATGTGCTGCAGCTCTATCATATAAAAAAACTTTCAGAGAAGGTTTGCTTACCCTAGTAGGCATTTCTTTAAGAAAAAAAGAAACAGAAAAGACACAGTGTGTTTGTTAGAATAAGATGCCGTCTACCTAAACATCACACTTCTTTCAACAAAGAAAACTCCCATTTCCAAGGCCACTCATACCCTGCTTAGTAATGCAATTAGTTCAAGCTTAAAACGCTAAGAACAACTATCTCTTTGCCAACATTGAACGTTAAAATGAGGTCCTATTTTAGTGAGTATGCAGATCAAAACGCCGCTACATTCACCTTGTAAGCAATGGTATCCGAATGCCGAGCACCATAGCCGGGGTCGACAGGCTGGAGCATCTTCATGGCCACCTCAATGAAGTTCCCGGACCCCTGCAGAGGAAGCATTGAAAGATTAAGGCTAGTGCCACTACATAAGGTGAGCTTCATAGTCATATTGCTCAGTAAGGGCAGTCTTGCCAGTCGTCACCAGAACAGGCTTACTATTCGCGTCTCCAGCTCGACGCTCGCCCTCCCGCGGCGGAAACGGGAAGCGCTCTAGTGAGGGTCCCCCGACTCTCCTGCTCAGCGGGCATGGCGGAACTGCTCGCGATCATGGCTCGCGAAATGTCGTTTCTGAATGCAAACAACACTTTTCACTGTCCCAACGTAGTGCTTCAGCCGGTATGGGATTGTGCCTTACTGGATAGTTTTAGTATTGCGCATAGAAGCAAACGCAAGCGGTGTGCGTTTGCGTTAGGGTTGCGTGCCCCACGTGTTGCGTGCGCCTCATCGCCATGCGCCATCCAAGACGGCAATTTCGGGCTCCGCGCACGCGCAGTGTGGAACGCGCAAAGCTAACGCAAACACACAGCGCTTGAGTTCGCTCGTATACACAATATTAAAACTCACTATTGTTTCACCGGCTTCCAACGCCAACGAAACGTGCTGCAGTGAGCAGACGTGCAAGCAGGTAGGCGTTCCTTCGAACTGGAAAGGCTGAGATTGGCAAAACGACGGCGAGCAAATACAAAAGTAAATAAATGTTATGAAAAAAACTAGTAATTAAAAAAAGTTTTTTTTTTTTTACTTTTGGGCATTTGGTCTAGAAGTATATTGGCGGCGACTTTGGACGTTTCGCCGATTGTCAAAAGTCGCGACTTTTATAGCACAATATACTTCACCCACAATTAATGTAATTTTACATGGATTTCTCACATTAGCTAGAATGTTTTCATTTATCTTAGACTATTTTTATTTTATTTGTAATTAAAATGCAGCAATTGGAACCAGTGATGATAATTAACACAGTTTTCATTGTCATATTTCTTCGCGCGTTTAAAATTAGATCATAAGCAACAAATTATATTAGAGCTTGAATAATTACTTATTCAAATATGCAAATTTTAATGTTATTATAATAATACAAATCGCGGCAATGTACGCCTCTAATTAACGCCAAGATCACGAGAATACTCTATTTAACCATAATAGTCTTTCCAGAAAGGTATAATTCTGTTTTCTTTTTAGCATATGAAAAACTCTTACATAGTTATCAAGATAGACAAACAGTTAAACGCTGGATGTAATATGAGGTCCTACGCGTCACGCGGTGCTATAGAAACACACACACACACACTTCAGCTGTCTGACTCGGATTTCGTTTTGGGTTGTTGCAGTGAGAGCAGCGTTTATTAGTTTATGCATTTCGTGGACGTATTGTAAAAATTGGAATTATTTTCTTATTCTTGTGCTGAGATAATTGTCAATATTTCCCATGACAATTATCTGAGCGAGAAAAAGGCAGCGAGAACGCACAGATATCAGCACTGATTTTTTCAACAACGACGAATATCAGCCTGGATCGAACAGTATGTCACAAAATGAAGTTTCCGCGAACATCTTTTCTGAGTAAATAATTACGATGTGAAACATATCTTGAGTCATAAAAGAATCCGAAATTAAGACATATGTCGAGAAGTTAAATCCAAAATAGAGGTAAGTTTCGGTTTTGCTCCAGAATTAAAACGCGCACCTTCCGTAATTAGTACGCTAAACACCGTTCTTTCTTTCAGGTTAAAGAGGTGACCTGCGCTCATAAAACATTAGCTTCCTCGTATTACCAGAAATAATTTATGTCGCTCAGTGAAGCCAGCACACTAGACAGGCTCAACAGCGGCAGCATCTCTGACCCTCACTAAACCCGCCATCTTGGAAAATGAGTGGCGCCACCTATAGTTAGTTGGAGTCGCGAATACTCGGGCTAAACTTTCTGTGGCAAAGAAGAGAAAGCTGGGGGGGGGGGGGGGGGCTACCCAGGCAGCACACAGCATTGGGCCAACATTGGATTTGAGGTGGCCAAGAATGGCCCAACAATGGCCCAACTGAGCCATATGTTTCCCAATATTGGAAACACATTGGACAATAATGGACTATCAAAGCCAATGGTTTTCCAATATTGGTGATACGTTGGCCTAGGCTGGTCAACATTGGACTGTCAAAGTCAATAGCTTTCCAATATTGGATATATGCCGGCATAAGTTGTCCAATATTGGACTGCCGGAGCCACTAGCTTTCTGATATTGGCTATACGCCGGCATAAGCTGTCCAATATTGGACTGTCTAAGCCAATAGCTTTCCTATATTGGATATACACCGGCATAACCTGTACAATATTGGACTGTCAGAGCCAATGGTTCTCCAATATTGAATATGCGCTGGCTTAAGCTGGGTAATATTAATCGGTCAAAGCCAAGAGTTTTATAATATTGGTGATGTCCTGGTATAGGCTGGTCAATATTGTACTGCCATAGCCAATGGCTTATCGATATTTGTGTCGCCTAGGCTGTAGACCCGCGACCCTCTTTTTTGCATTGCAGAGGTAGGAAATTGGAAAAGAGTCATTCATGAGCTCGCTCGGGCGAGAATTTTATTTAGCCAACTTCATGGGGCGTGCGTCGCCGGGGCTTTATAACCGGTATCACAAATACGTCCTTAGCTGCCTATAGGACTATTGCAGTTTTTTGCCGGCTGCTCTCCTTTCACATTGCCTTACCTCGGCGGTGACAACTTAATTCCGTTTTTTAGATTTAAGTATTTTTGTCTTTTCTCATGTATTTTGTATGTATACGTAGCGTTAACGTCTTCTCTTTGTCCGTGCCCCTGCCATGTTTGTATTTCTTTGTGCGTGCTCCATTTTTATATTTAATGTTTCTGTGCATATTTAGTCATTGTCGACGCAGGTGTCAACAAACATAAAGCCACCGCTTACGTCGCAACCGAAGTGACTTCTAATTTTAGTTTTACGAGAGTCTATCGCGCTATAAAGTCATATATTAAACTCGAGTGAAATCTCAAGAGGGTTGCTTCGACTGCCAGTGCACATGTCATCAGTGTAGGCAGAGCAACGACGTAGCAATCGCGACGCGAGAGCATACTGCGCCTTGATCTGGCCGTCCGCGCTCGCTCTGCGGAAATGTGAGCGTGGGACTCTCGAGCCCCGTTAGCTTACTGATGCTGCAAGACGCTACTTTGTTGTCGCGAATCATTTGCCCTTCAAACGGTCGCGAAGCCGTTGCGCCCGGCGCACCCTACGCAGCATATTTCAGAAACCGTTCGCGCAGCATCGCAACCTTCTTACTGCGAGCGTCGGTGATTCATCGTGTGTTGAAAGTCGGACAATGTGCTGTTCGAGGTGTCTTTTATGTGCAACTCTTTCGTAAAAAAATTTGAAGTTTAAAAACGCGAACCTAACAGTGTACCAACAGTTTTAAATTTATTGATAAAAAATATATTTATATATTTATAGATATATTTGTGTACATCGTGCGCAAAAAATAGTCGCGCTTAGTTCTTCATTCTAAATTATAATGTAAGTTATACGACGCAAAACATACTGTCGTCACACTTGCCCCGTTTAGAACCACTTTTGGACTGGACAGTTTCTTTAGAAGTTCGAAAGCTGACCTTCAAAGAGCTGTCCTGTTAAATCGGTAATGACAGCAAGGTAGACGCTATGCGTGTTTAAGGCCAATCCTGTCTCCGGTTAGGGTCACGTGACTACTGTCTCAAAGCTGGCGATAAGGCAGAGCACGGAACCTGCCTAAAGCACAAGGTCACGCATAACTTCTACTGCACCATCAACCTTGGGTAGAAGTGACAAATTCTCTCGCTCCGTTCATTGTTGAGATGCCCCTGAAGATAAGCCTTTGTAAGCGCACCCCACCCCCGTTCTGGCCTGCTTGCATTGTACTCCTTCTCTCTTTTTTCTCTCTCTCCCTAAGCTGAAGGCGCGGTTGCTGTGCGTACTCGCCGGACTTGAATCCGCTCTCTGTGCGCGGGTAACGGCAGAAGTGTGATCATGTGGTTTGACGGATGACACATTACCCGTTGACAAACTCGGAATGCCTGCGTCGCAAGGACCGGACCTAGTTTCGCGCGCGATGCGGCCTGCGGGGTGCAGGCCCGCTGTGGATTTTGCTTCTGTGGTAAATGGTATCTCGTTCGAAAAGTCCTACCCGTGTCGATTTCTTCAAAGAGGCCCAAGACATTCTTGTGAACAGTTTAGTGTCCGGTTCGGCAAATGGCAGCGTGTGCTACATTGTGTTGAATCTTCACGGATCACTTCCTTGTAGTTTTTGTGTTTGAGTGGTTGTTCTGCAGTGCCCGTGTTGACATATAAGTCGGATTACATCTTTCAAGTCCAGTATTTTCAACGTAAGTGTGCTGCAACCTACTTGATGATCATTGTCCGTTCATGTGTGGGCAATCTTCCGGATAACCTCTAGAATTGGGCATTGCCTATCTCCTGGCAGCTGGGAGAATAATTTTCCCGCAATCTTACCGACAGTCGCCTGCCATTATCTGTCTGAAATAATGTCACAACCGCAGGTAGAATACTGACTTTTTTATTCTACCTGCGTTTCGCAAAAACACGTTTCGTTGCCACCTTTCTGGTCGACATTTACGTTTCATCGACATTCGTTACGCGAATTGCGCGCTGTAGGGGCATTTCCTCGCGCGTGTATTCCTGAGGCGCGTGCTCACCGAACCAGCCCACCCTTTCACGCCGCTTCATGCTAATCTGAAGCGGTTCATTGCAACAAAAAAAGAAGAAAAGAAAACATATTTTGAGTTTTTTTATGAAACATCGCGTGTTGATGAAACAATCTGTCTATGAAATGTAGTTCGATGAACTGATTGCACCGCCAATGAGGGGCGACTAGTGGTAGAATTTTGGCGATACAATTCTGTCAGCTGCCGGGAGACTGGACACTACCCAAGAATTACCCCGGTTGTTGCTCGCTTTGCAGTCTTTTTAATTGTATCACAGCTGAGTAGTACCTCTTCACATATTACGAATTGCTGAGATTGTACTTGTCTACAGAATAAGCTGTGTGTAATAAACTGTTAGGAGATTTCAAAACAATCCCTTGTGTCTGTTTACCTTCCTTTTTGCAAACAACTTGGCGAGGGCACTTGCAAAGAGCTGGGCGAGTGCAACGATGGCCAAAAATCAGCATGACGGCCAACATTGGATCGGGTCGCGCTTCCAGTGTTGTCCAATATTACGCCGGTCTTCGCCAATGTGGGAGCACCTTGGCTGGAACCATGGTTTAGCGATGGCCCAACATTGGCACCAATGATGGGGCCGACATCGGCTGGAACGAGGGCTGAACATTGGCCCAACATTGGCACCGATCACTGGGCCAACATTGGAAAGGGTAGCGCTTCCAATATTGTCCAATATTGAGGCCGGTCTTTGCCAATGTTAGGCCAATGTCGGACCGACATTGGTGTGCTGCCTGGGTAACTAATGGAGCTCTGTCTTTGCACCAAGCACTAGTTCCAGACTTTTTTCGCCTCAGTTTCAGTTTAGGTTTTAGCGTGACAGGCACACATTTGCTCCAGTTCATCTCTTTGTATGAGGATCGTGGTTGGGGGTACTCAACCACGATCGCCAAGCATGCCAGGCATATCCACATCTCTCTTCCTGCGTTTTATCCCCTTTTACACACAAGCCAATGCTTTGACTGAAGCACTCGGGCCGACTTACGCGGTAAATTGTACTGTGGTCTATCTCGTCAAAGTTTATTTGCCTCACAACCGATGCAGATATGCGGCATCGATTTAAGGAATGCTGTGAATTTCATCGGCGCTGCAGTTTTGAGGTTTTTGATACGCAAACTCTTCTGGTGCTGAAAAATCGCAACGCATGCACAATATACAGAAATAGGAGCACACACATGCTATGGCACAAAGTCAAATTCAATTTGAATTACGCAGTTACCACTGGCCCTACGAGGGTCGGTGGCGCACCACAGCTCGAAACACGTATAGCGAAAGCTCGCGCTGCAGAACCCAAGGACCTTGGACTCAATCCCTACGCCTGCTCACTTATGCTGGTGAACTCACTAACCAATCGGTATATGAAAACCATGGAAAGTCCCGGTCATCAAACAAAAATCAATTTTGACAATCGTGTTTATACAGAGCAAGGACAGTCTGCCTTTGAGTTGAGGCGACACTGGTTTAAAGCTGCAGATGAGAAATTTAGCCAGTGCAATATGACTGCAAGCCTGGGGTCTTTAACGTGCACCATGTAGTAGTGATACACGACCGCACGACGGTACAATGCTCATCCAGATCGAAACAAGCAGGGGTGGGGATTGAGCCCAGGATCCCTGGGTTCTGCAGCGTGAGCTTTCGCTCCACGTGCTCCGAGTTAATGTGCGCTAGCTCACTTGGCCACCGATCCGCCATGTCCCGCTTCCCTCTGTCTCACTTCTGTGTTGCGCTGCACACCACTTGCTTGGTCAGTTTTGACAACTTTTGGTTGCCAAACTTTGTGAAAATCCTACGGGGCAAACAAAGGGGCGAACTCGCGAAACATACCGACGATACGACGCACACGAGAAAGATGCCATGTTTGTTTTGCAGGGAACAAGAAAACCTGCAGCGAACTTAAACCAAAAAACCTGGAGGAGTTAAAAAAAAATGCTCCAAGTTTGGCATACCCTGACTAATATTATAGTAGCATTGTAAAATCAAAGTTAAAAAGAACAATTTTATATTTTTTAATTGGTTAAGTTCAACCCAGCAAATCAAACTATGTTCAGCTGTGCAGTGAAACGACGTGCTCCAACTCTGTGGCCTTGGCTTTACTGCCACAGAAAGTTGACCCTAAGTATAGACGCAGCGTCTCGGCCAAAACTGCATGAAAAAGAGCCAGTCAAGCCTGAGGCGTGCGAGCGCTCGAGACTTGACTCCAGGTGCCACTCCGCTCGTGCACTATCTTTGACAGTGCTTCCTTTTGCATATTCCAAGCTATGACTTTTTCTAGAAAGCCCGCCCAGTTTTTACCGAGTTTCCTGCTTGCTAAAACAATCTGAGAAAGACCAAATCGATACAATCAAGTCGAAACTAAACAATTTGCTTCTCAGAACCTTAACTGTCGCCAAAGGCGCATGCGCAGCTGACGGCAAACAGAACGGTGGTACCTATGAGCTCCTGGCACCATGCTGGCAGGCAAGCAAATATGGTGTGATATGAACGGAAGAATGACTGCCACAGCAGCATTAAAACATGGGTAAAAAAAGTGTCAATACTTTTAGCGTAGTCTTATCTGGCTCTAGTTAAGGCTATGGTGTCTTCAATTGCCAAGGAGGAAGAGAAGAAAGACTTGCCCTCTGCTTCATGGTAGCCCTGAATACAAAGCCAAAGGCTCCTCTGCCCAGCATCTTGCCTCTCCTGATGTTGTCGGAGCTGATGAGGAACCTCTCACCAAGATCCATGAAAACCTGCGACACAGACGTCTTCAAAATGTTAAACTAGCTAGCATGCATGCCCGAGAGATATGCCAATATCTGTTAAAAAAACATGAAGATGCCCCAGCTCGATAAGGTTGCTTGTTTTTCTAGCCATATACAAACACACACATCATGATATTGGGGCTTAAATAGAGGCCACACAAACAAAATATTACAGTTATAAACTATGATTCTTGGAAAATTATTTTTTCTACAAGGACACAAAAAAATAAAAAAGGCGTTTTGGGAAAATTAATCTTAAACTTGTAACTCTTCTAATTCTTACGATTTTTAAGTGATGATACTGCAGGAGGTAATGCATGTAACCAAATGATTCATATATTTATAAAGAGCACCTTCTGGGCTTTCCATCAAACTTATAATTATAGCTTAGATAGCAGCCTGTCAAATTTCATAAAAAGTAATCCTAGGTGTGTTTGGTGATTTTTAGAAAAAGTGTAAAATGATTAACAATATTCTTTTAGATTAAGACCTCTTCATAATGTCAACTGAAAACAATGTAGAGGCAAAAGCCACGATAAAAAAATGAGTCAAACATGCAACCTTTGACAAACGGGAAAAACGCTCACCTCCACCACAACCGATTCTGCGCTCCATAACTCGAAGCAAAAAATAGGGACTCTAACCAAAAATTTAATAAACATTTACCCGACGTTTTGGGACCAGTTCCGTCCAATGCTCACGGATGAGTGACAAAAAAAAGAGAACACGCGTTGCTTAAATGCACATACGGATGTAGGGATAGCTTTGTTCACGTCATGCAGTCCCGAGAAGTAGCTGCTGGGCAGGGAGCCCGAAGAGCGATTCACGTTCCTCTTTGTGTGTTGGATGAACCAAGACTTAACGAAGAGCCACTTTCGCCAATTCCTCTCCAAGGCCAGCACGGTGCTTCCTTCTGTGTGGCCGGCTGCTTCTGCGTGCTCCGCGAGGGCGCTTGCCTCCACATCCTTGTTACGAGAGGCACGCAGTTGCATGCCTCGCCACAAGATGGCGCCACGGCGGCATCGTGAGGACGCCTTCCGCGAGACTCGAGAGATGGCGCGCAGGATGCGCGGCTGTGGGGGGGGACATCGGCGGACGGAGAAGGAGCGGAGGACGGACGCAAGACGGCGAGCGAAGCGCGCGGTGCAGCGCAAGTGCTGGGGAATAAAGGGGTTCTGGTTATGAGAGTGCCTTTGTTCTGAAACCGTAAGCGAGCTAGCATGGAAGCTCGCTGGGCCCTGACATCCTTCTTCCGGACATTGTATTTATGTTGCGTAAGCCTCTCTGCGAAGTTCTTACTTTCGCCAACGTATGAGGCCGGGCAATCTTTGCATGGTATGCAGTAGACCAAACCTTTCACTTCATGTCTATTCCTAACCAGGAAGGGCTGCCAAACACTTACCTTCCAGCTCCATAACCCGAGAACAAAAAATTATTTGAAACCACGGCTTTCATTTTTTTTCTAGATACAAAATCCCATACAAAACACATATTTTTTTTTTTGTCAAAATAAAAAATTTTACACTTTTTGCCTACGCAACTTGAGATAAAATCACCAACTATATATTTGAATAATGGCAAGTACGCAACAAATTTGTCGCAGCTATCCTAATCGAGGGTATTCATAAATCTGCTTGCTGTGTAAAAATATTTGTTCTTATATTTTAAATTTGACAAAAAACAAAACAAGCATGAATAATGAATGTTGTTTGTCGAGACATAGCTGCCGAACATGCTCTTGCATAATCGCGACGAGATAGCCCCGTTGACTGTGCTTCTCACTTAGCATTACAGTAAAACCTCGTTATAACAAAGTTGAAGGAGCGATCATAATTATTTCGTTATAACCATTAGTTTGTTATAGCCAATGTCCATTTCTTCCCTAATAGCAAGCAAGGGGAATTATGATTGCTTTGTTATATCCATTAGTTTGTTATATCCCATTTTGTTATAACGAGGTTTTACTGTATTGCACTGCGGAGCCCGCGGAGCTCGCGAGCTCTGCGGTGATTGCTTCTCCGCACTGCACAAGTGCTCGGTGAGAAGCGCAATCAAACGGGGCTAACCCACTGCAATCACCACTTAATATCAGCTGGCGTATTTTTCAAAACTACTATTCTAAAATTTGAATATTAGCACAGCACGAGTGTCTTAGCAATCTATCGTGGGTTTCTCAAAACGAACAGGTTCGAGAACTTCAAACTTGGGAGTTAACTTTTGTGATTACAACAATATAAAAAAAAGCTGCCACGCATGATTTTCACGTGGGTTTCTCAAAACCAACATATTCAAGAACCTCTAACTTGGGAGTTTACTTTTGAGACTACAACAATATAAAAGAAGCAGTCACGCATGAATTTCAAACAGCATACGAACGTTAGTTCCAATTTGCCTAGTCTCCTCGGCTTCGTGATCAGTCTTCATTAATGTGCGACAGCCTCAATTAAAATCGAGAGAGTAACGACAGCAACAGTGTCCAGATCAGGCCACCCCCATGTGCCGAAAGCCAGACTAGCCCGCCCACCATGTCGGGAGAAATCTTGGCCAGGCGCAGGTCCCCGTGATCCGGACAGGTGACCATCTTGCGCTCGTAGGCCGACAGGATGCACTCCTCCACCATGAAGCCGTACACAACGTCCTCACTGGGCAGTCCCTTGGGGGGCTGGGGGTTCTCGCTCTGCTGACCCGCCATGGCGTCGACAAAGCCCTCCATGGAAGGCTTGCGGCTGCGGGTAAAGTAACATGCCAGCCTTAGATCCTTCCTCCCAAGCTACAAGGGTGCAGATCTGATTGTAGTGTATGAAGATGGATACCAAAATGCCTGCTAATTGACCACATACTACGCCATACTACGACAACTACAAGTACAACGACGACGAGGGGCATCATTCCTAGAGGAAGGAACAGCGGATAACAGTTACTGCTATAAAACATTTAGGTTGACCTATATTGGAATAGTATTCTCTATTAATCTCAGTAGAATCTATAGAAGTCGACCTATGCAAGAGAATAGGGTAGGTTTCCTTCATGGCAGGGTATCTGAGTGTATGCTTCATATCTGTTTAGTTTACGGCTACTGTAACATGTTCTTTTTGGTCCATCTTTTTTTAATTCATGCCACGTAAGAAACTAGAGCAATATTTGCTCTGATCTGTTTGCCATGTCATAGCTTTTGCATCTTCCACAGATCACGAGCGATGCCTCGCAACCATGCAAGACAGTGGCCACATAAGAAATATCATTGCGCCTCCTTTTCATTTTCTAAAATTTGCAATTCTTAGAAAACATGTTCAGATTATTTTTCTTTCAGTCCGATGTTGTCCCACTCCTACAAACTACCCCTTCACAAATTATACAACAAAACAAATTCAAACAGTCAGTGTGCTTCATACACCTTTGTTTAAAGGGATGCTGAACCAAAATCTGGATTCCACAAAACATGCGGCAAAAGCGTGTTTAGTGTATCCAGTGTTTATGAGAGATGGTTATTTATAATATTGTCAAAAGATTTTGAAGCAAACAAACAAAACTTATACACAAAAATATAGCAAACTTTATGGAAATGTTCCATGGCTACCGGATAGATTATGAGAGAGTGTTCCTTGGTTGTAAGAGATTTCAAGAGGCTTTAAGGGGCACGGTCGTAAACAGTTGCAAATGTGTGAACCAGCCTTAAGAGAAGCAGCAGAAATGCCTTGGAGAGAGCAAATCACAGCAGAAGGCCCCCCACCTGGAGCTCTGGCTGTCCACCCCGCTGTCCGAACTGCCCCTGGAGCTGCCCCTGTTTCGGTCGGACGAGAGCGGGGCCAGGTGCAGGTCTCCCCAGGGGCCCTTCTCCGAAAGCTGCCAGAGGTCGCCGGTGGCACCCTCGTGCGCTGCGCCCCGCCAGGCGCCCTCGGCGTCGGGCACCCTGGCAACGCACTGCGGACAGGGCACCAGCCGCGTCACCAGGAAGCGCCCCTCCGAGGTGTGCACAAAGCGGGTGCCCAGCGTCGGGTACCAGTCCTCCAGCAGCGTGTCAATGTGGTCCACGGCCAGGGAGAGCAGCTTGGCCGTGCTCTCCCGGCTCGGCTTGAGGACCGTCCCGTTCACCTTCAGCCGGTGGCAGGGCAGCAGCACTTCAATGACCACCGCCCCCGCCGTGTCCACGCGGCTCCAGTGACCCTCGATCTGCACCTGTCGGGGTATGCCAAGCAGCCTTAGACGTCCCGCTCGCGATAGAACTTTTAAGCATTCGTGTCCTATGTACGGAACGGTTTACTCATCAATGCGTTGAAGTAGATCTTAGTTATAAAGGCTTGATCATGCTGACGAAGACCAGAGAGCGCAACTCGTGTGTGGTTTGTGCTAGATTTTTCAATCTTTTTATTATCTATTTCTTTTATTGATTTGTTCCTTTTGTTTTATTCTTACTTTTTATTTTATTTTTTATTGAATGCATTTACTTTTTTTATTTTTTATTTCTTAAATAATTTTATGATTTGTATTCAAAACCTGCCGCTCTCACCAGCACGCTTGCATTCAAATAAAAGAATAAAAGGTCTCTAGTATTCAACTGCCACCACACCGACCCAGGTCCCGCCGGGGCTTGAACTTCATATATAAACTTATATATATAACCATAACGTCTGTCACGCTCCCAGTCTGTAACTTGTTCCTGACGCTCATTATGCCCCTCGTTGATGACACTTTTCTCATAGAAAACAACCCACAAGACATACTATTTTGTGATAAAAAACAAAAGTCGGAAGACACCTAAGCACTTCTTATGAGTAGTGAATGCGAAAGCATGAATGTCCAATAGAACGCCGCGGAGTGATCCGCGGAGTTTCATGGCACGTGTGATGTTTTCAAGTTGTGGCAGAAGCACTGGCGACGATGTGGGTGCTACAGGCGGCGCCATGTTCGTCGGCGGCAAGACGAGAAGAAGCCTCCGAGCGCGCGCCGACGTGTCCGTTTCATATGGCGCGGGGCCCGTAGTGGCTTGGGGTTGTGGGGGTTAGTTTTATCGGCGCACTGGTGGCACGGACACGCAACGCCATCTGGCGGCAATCATTGAAACTGACGCGCCCAGCGGCCAATGGGAGCCTCGTCGCCGCCCGCCAGCTAATCGGATCTTTGGGATCAGGGAAACTAGGTACCGTTTTAGCGCTTCAAACTGATGACGTCGGCTTGCTCCACAGGACAGTTAATGCTTTCACATTTAAACTTTGTTATCTATACGAATGCAGAAGATAATACTGTTCACAAAAAATGTCTGGAGCCTCTTGTGCTTTCGCAGACGAGGCAAACATGGCAAGCATCACTCGTGAAACCCAAGTGTAAGCCACGAAGGGTGATAATTTACACTCTTATTTTCTCTCCGACGAGCCTCTCTTTACGTAAGGGTGTGGGCTCAGCAGTTGACTCGGCACAGACCGTTTAGCTTTGTTCACCTTGACGCCAAGAGAGGAGAAAGCAATGTGCTCCTTGGACCAATCAAACGCCTCGCTTTCATTGCGTGACTATGCTCTCTGCGTGTGGAATTGATTGGGAGAGTGATCGTGCCACAAAAGAGACACAAGCCTGGTCCAACAACCACTTGGCATCCATTGCACCCTCGGCTTAGGGGTGAATAAAGTTGGGCACACCGGCAGCAGCCTTCGCCCGAAGGCAGCCCACGTACCTTGAGCTGCACCGCCAGCAGCTTGGCATCCCCGAGGTGAGGCACCATCTCCCGCACCCTGAGCAGCGGTGCATCCAGATAGCGCAGCTCCAGCCCCGTCTGCCAGCAGACCCACTCGGCCCGGCGGCTGGACAGTGCCCCGAGCAGGTCCTTGTCTGGCGGGGACGGGAAGTACGCCCGCAGGGACTCCACCACCAAGTCGTCCGCCAGGATGCGGGTGATGAGGCGGGCCCAGAACCCGCTGGGCAGGTAAGACAGCACCAGCAGGCGCTGAATGCACGGCTGGTCCGCGTCTGCGGCCAGAGGCGTCGGTGCCGGCGGCTTTGCGACGTCCCCCTGGGCCACGGCCACACCCGGGTGCTGGCCGTCGGGCGCAGGGAGGCCCGCCAGGGGCCGGGGCACGCCCTGCAGGCCCTTGGAGCGCAGGCCCCAGCTGCGAGACCGGATGGGCACCTGCAATCGCGGAAGGGAAAAGAGCTCTCGTGAGTCGGGCAAAGACCGACTTGCAGTGCTTTAATGTTTTTTTATGAATAAAGTGATGCGTACGAAACACGAAAATGATTTAAGCTTGTAGGAAGAGCTCTAAAAGAAACCTGCTGAAAGTCATGCATCGTTAGGAGGCTTAACTTTAACTAAGATCAGTCCCTTAGTGAAATGGTGGTCACTGCCATACGGTTTACAGGAAGTCTTTGTAACACCAGTAGTGGGATTAGTATTTCCAAGTGCCAAGTTTTGCCTAAAGGTAATGTTTTCTACATAAGCATTTGCTTTATACACATTTCATTATAAGTAGGGCCAGTAAAACTTGAAACTTGGTTTTGTCATGCATAATAAGAAATTGTAAAAAGAGAAAGGTCTCCGAAAAAGACCAGTAAAAGGAGAGGTGCATCGTGAGTAGACTTGTACACGTTACTGAAAAAAAGTAACCGATTACAATTACAATTACTTCACTGTAAAAAGTAACCGATTACAATTACAATCACTTCACTGTAAAAAGTAACCAATCACAATTACAATTACAGCCTCAAAAAAGTAATCGAAAAATTACTCTTAAGTAATCAATTACTTCCCACGTTACTTTTCATTAAACTTTTTTTTATTATGGTAGCATAATCCATGGAATCTCCTGCTCAGTTGTTCCGAAAAGAAAAGGAGAGCTTCGACCTTTTTTGCTTAGAGCCGAGTGAGTGACGCCAACACACCCAATTCCTCTCGTGAAAAAAATTTAAATAATAAAAAGAGCACCGTTTAAATACTTTACTCACAAGAGGCTGGACAAGTCAATTTTCATACCCAAACGTAATGTTTGGTGTACCCCCAAAAAAATATACCCAGGAACCGAAGCATCGTAAAGTGGCCTACTAATCTCCGAGGTCCCGTGCATAATGGTTTAAAAAAAACAAAAACAAATTGACCGGTGCCCAGAGCTGAGTGACTCCAGCACATCACTACCTGCCCTCCCTCAAAAAAAAAGAAAAAAAAAGGACAAAAATTGTAATGGGTAATTTTGTAATCGATTACAGCAAAAAAGTAATTCAATTACAAGGATCGTTATTCCTTAAAGGAAGTAATTGAAGTGTTACAAAATTATGGTAAAATGTAATCAATTACAAGTAATCCATTACTTGTAATGCGTTAGCGTTACGTACAAGTCTGATCATGAGCAACCAGTCACACCATGATCAAGATTCTGTGAAGTCACTTAAATATAATTCACTGCTTTGATCAGATGAAAAAAAAAACAAAAAAAAAACAATGACAGACCAGAACACAAATAAATGCGATATATTCCCGATGCCTACATATTTAGTGCTACATAGTAGGTACCTTGTCCACTTTGAACAAAGCTTCTAACAGTTCTATTTCTATGGCTACCGATTCCAGAGTGCTAATATAGCCAGATGATAATGATTTATTCATAAAAAATTCCCTAGGGGAATTTTTAAATCGTCATCATCTAACCTTTAGGCTGACTGCTTACCCCTGTTGCATTTTTATTTCAGACTGGCGGCACCTGATCTACTGGTGCCTAACGCCTGGTTAGGGCAGTTGGTAGAGTGCTCCGCTGGTCGTGGAAACGTCCCAGGATCGAAGTTTGAGCATGATTTAAGCATAGCTGTCCCGTGCATTGACGCATGAACCCAAGTGAAACATTCCTGCCTTTCACCCCAGTTAGTGTAACTCTGCTAACAATGTTTGTAAGATTCTGGGTCAGGTATCAAAGCTAGGACACGCAGGGCTAGGTCAATATGAACTAGGTCTCATAAGCAGCATTAGTGGACCCCCAGAAACAACTCTGGCTTATAGGCCATTCCAATAATCGCCTTGTGCATGCCGTCACCGTCGTCTACTGGTCTGAAGGACGCGTTCTGAGCATGCACAGTGGCTCTCTTCCGCGAAGCATCAGACACCAAGAATGCGTCCATAGCCCAGTGACTCGGCATTTTTTTGCTGGGTGGCAAGCGCCGGAAAGGTGTATAGACCCTTTCATGTTTACAAACATGAGCAGTCTCTCAACTTCTGAGAGACTTCTGATCGCTTCGTTTTGGCAGTCCTTCCGAGCATAATTACGAAACTATTGCTAGGACACTTATACCTAGCCATGTCCCACCAGAACAACAAACACCAATTGTTTTTTTTTTTGTTTTTTTTTGTCCGGCAACGAGGTAATGTTGCGTGTCAATGATACTATACCACCGTAGTGACGAACATGAACGACAAACGCTGACAAAGGATCGACGGCAGAGCAGTTATTGTCGCCCGAACTGTATCGCCGACAGCACGTAGCAGCAGTCCCACGAGCGAAAAACGCTCGCCGACGAACCTGTCCTCCAGGATTGGAAGCTGGGCTAGTTAATGGTGGTAAAGCGAACAAGAACTAGATGTAGTTCACTATAGTGGTGGCTCACGAAGATTAAAAAGCACACAAGAAAGAAGGAGAAAAAAGAAGAAATATCCACAGCGCTTTGGCGTGTGCACCCTCCCATGCTCTGCGTTGTTTACTTTGTTTGCATCCGTCTGCTAGCGACATTTGAGCTCTCTTGCCGTCGTCTACCTTGCCGCTGCTATGGTGCCGTGTCGCGAAAGGCGAGCCGCTCTGGCAGTGCTTATTCAACTAGAAGGGCATGACGGTCAAGGGCACTAATCATGAACAAGGCCATGGAACAAAAATAATTCTTTAGGTTTATAGTGGTGTCGATGTTAATGTTGGGCATGCCGGAATTCAGAAAGTAATATTTTTTGCACAAATTGTGCAAAGAAACGAAAGCGATAGCTGTAGCATGGTTGCAGAATGCGGGTGGAATGGTGCCGTCACGTACCCGAGAACAGAGGTGCGACGTGGTTAATACTCAGAGCCATCGTGGTTAGCGTCGTGGATGCCATTGATGGCCGCCAAGAGTGCTCAATGATCCGTGAAGCAAGTGGGTAAGTGCGGTGGAAGCTTCTAAAACCGTTCAACATTATGCGTACCAACTGGGTACTGCTAAAGTGGGATTTTGCATAACTCGATTAACATGTGAAAACAAGTCTTTCAAGCAGACGACACGGAAGACTCTCCTCTCGTTTCGTCGTTACCGGCGGGATGGCGGGGCAGCCGACGGGAAAAACAGACTTCCCTGGCCTCGCACCAAGAGCGGAGGGAAGGGTTTTTCTGTAGTGGCGATGACAGGAGACAAGGTCAAAATTTCTGCACAGTGTCGTCCGTAAGGCTATCGCCTCAAAACGAGGATAAATGTTGACAGAAAGTGTATATTTGAAACTTATGTAGTTTAGAAAATACAAAAAGGACACAAATGGCTAACTGCTCTAATTAAATTGAATCAAAGAAAATTGAATTTGAAAATGATGAACCCATTGTAAAGCATATTCGGGGCAGCCTGGACTCCAACCACAGATCAAGTGTGCAAGCCCAATGCTCTTTTGGGGTTTTCCATCATGTATACAACAATGCGGAATGTATCCAATCAGAGGTGTTCTGGACAAACATATGGCGCCGGGTAGTACACGAGTGGCACGCTTTGGCACGTGGTATGTGCCGAAAATAGAATTACCTTACTTTCGCCGTTAGTTGGCGGGTATTTAGCCCATCTAGCGAAACTAGACAACTGCGTCGCCCGACTCGGTTTGTCGGTGTATTTCGCCGTGTTTTGTCGCCAACTTCAGTCCCATCGGTGAACAGTTGCCGTGTCTCTATCTTTGGTGTCATGTCTGTTAGGTGGGACGGGGGACTCCGACAAGCAGGTAGTCTGTCGGTGTCATTTGTTGCTCGTTCACGTTGGTCGCTGTCAATTGTTGCTGCTGGTCACTCTAGTGGGACTATGCTACAAAAACTATGACGTTCGAGATTTAGCAATGCCCTTCCGCTATGCTATCCAACATACAAGAGACGATCGCTCATCATACTGGAGTTTTCAAAGATCTTTAGAAGTATCTATCGCGAACAAATCTTTTTGCGAAGTACCAAAGAAGTTAGTGAGTAAATATTTCATGGATGTCGCAACGAGCGGTGCCATGGTCAGGATTGTTTGTCCGCTCATTTGACCGGAAGTTAACAGGGACGCGAGATGAAACAGCATCTCCTAGGAAAGGGTCTATAGAGAGTGGGCGGAGCATGTGGGTAGCGGAGAGACAGAGCAAGCTGCTCCCTTGGCGTGGGGCAGGGCCAGAAACCTGTACCCGGACGTCAGCCCCGGGCAGGCCCGACCGCAGCAGCTCCTCCGAGGGCAGCAGGGACGGGATGAGCAGCGTGCGGCCGTCCCACGTCAGGGCCGCCTCAAACTTGTTTAGCAGGCTCAGGATGTAGCCCTGGGCATCGGCCGGGGCACACTGAGAGCTGCGGAACACGTGCTGCAGGTCCTCCAGGCGCATGATCCCTGCGGCCCAAATAAGACGTCGAGTTCATCCTGTCCCGGGAAGCACGCCGAAGAAACGCCTAACTTGGCACAAGCTTGGCAATCCTAGGGGCCTAACTTGAGCCTACCGTAATATCCCGAGTCATCGCCCACCCCCCTACCGCCTGAAATTCATTAAAAAAGTGGGGCGGGCCATGTCTCGGTGGGTGAACACAAACACTTGAAATAAAGCGGAAAAAACCGCCTAATTTTCTCTGCGTATCTAGCGCTGATGCACAAGAGATACATCAAACTCAAAACTTCGTTTAGTTTCATTGTTTTATCGAAAAAAATGCTCACGGAAGAATATTTTACTATAGCGAAGTCCGTTGCTTGCATACGCGCTAGAAACACCGCCGATCTGCATATAGCGCGAACGTTTGTTCCGTGAAAGAATGTCACCACTATGTTCTCCTAGTTAGTAAAAAAAAGAAAAGTCTGCAAGAAAATAGAAAAACCGACCAGGCGCAACGAGCAAGCGAGCGGACCAAAGGAGCGACCAAGAGCAATGCTGGGAAAACGGGAAAGCCGGCGGTCGCGTTGGCAAATATTTTGGCGTCAAGCCAAGTCGGGCGCCTTGTCAATCGCAAGCTCTTGCGCAACTTTCTTGTTTGGCGTGTACATACGTGCGTCCGTGCACGGCGGGCTATCAATGCACGATTGGGACGCTCTGCAAACGTCTGTGTAGGGCGTCCCAGCAAAGCTTTATTTACGCATTGGCTTTGCCTAAAATATTGCACAACCGCGGTCGCGACGGGCGGGAAGAAGGAGCGGGTTTGCGGTGACCTTACTTCGGCGGAGACAGACTTTGACCTAACACTCCGCAGTTACATTAACAAACTCTTATTTTGTTATCTCCATCGTTTTCTTTTCGCACGGATACACGACCACTTTGGGGTCGCTCACGGAGGAAATGCGTAAACAAAAAGAAGTGTCTTTCCCTCCTTCGTTTTACTTTGTCACGGACGTCCTCCAACTGTAAGGTCCGCGGCCGCGTCATTCGGGTAGGATGAGTGTTCGCGGATCGCAGAGTCCGCGCTGGGGTATTTGAGGGGGTGGGCGATGACTCGGTGTTTTTTCGGAAATTGATATTGGCCCAAAAAATGGGGTGGGCGATGGCTCGGGGATGGGCGATGACTCGGGATATTACGGTAATATGGCTTGGCTCCAAGGTGTTAGTTATACCAGAGTACTCTTATTTGGCATCTCTATGACTTTTCTTTGGCCCACCACATAACTTCAAGGGTGCAAGACTCGAGCCAAATAATAAACCAAAGAACCAGTAGTTAAACCCTAATCTGGCACTCGTTTGGCAATGTAAGCCCAAAATGCCAGATAACAGCCAAACTAATAGCAGCGAAGCCTAATTTTGGCGCTTGTTTGGAAAGAAAATCTTCTGTATCAAAACACCAAAATAATCATAATCATGGGAGACATCAATATTGATTTACTCTCTGACACTAGCAATCAACGTCAACAACCAGAGTAACGTTACAGAGCAGCACGCTTATTGATGTTTGCATTACAAATGTTAACCAATCGCACGCTGTGCCTGGAGTATTCCTTGCCGATATGAGCGATCATTTCCACTTATTTTGCTTTCTATCACATATTGGAAATAGTCATAATTTACCTCAACCAGGAGCCAAATTGTTTCAAAAGATCAATCAACATAGCATAGAGGCATTTCACAAAATGGTCTCTGATACTAACTGGGACAGTCTGATGACTAGTCACGATGTTGATGAATCCTATTTTGCTTCCTTGACAGCTCTTAAGAAGTGCTACGACGCAGCTTTTCCTCTACAACAATTTGGAACACGGCGATATAAGCGTAGAAGACCACGAATATCGAGAGAATTGTTACAACGCATCAACAAGAAAAACAGATTGTTTGAAAGGTTCCAAAAATCTAGGGATAACTGCATACTACTAGAATATAAACAATTTAGAAATGCACTGAACTGTGACATAAAAAAAGCTAAATCTCATTACTACGTTAGCAAGCTTAATAACATTCAATATGATCCCAAGCGTACTTGGAACGCTTTAAACTCTATCATCAACCCCATTTTCAACCATACGCCACTTAATGAACTGCAAATTGGGTCAAGCAATTTCAGTGGACGTGACATGGCAGTTGCGATCAATGATTATTTTATAAACGCTAGTGCATACAATCACCCAAATACCACGTCATCGAGCATTTTTACATGAGCCCACCTAGAACATACTATTATGCTGAATCCTGTCACTACTTTTGAGGATGAGGCTGTCATAAAATCACTAAAAAATAAAAGCACTTGCGGGGATGATAACATAAAAGCTGAACCGATCAAATACGTATCTAACATTATAAGTGAGCCCTTGCAAAATATCATGAATCTTATATTTGAAACAGGTAGTTTCCCACATGCCTTAAAAACTGCGAGAGTAACTGTAATTCATAAAAATGGACATAAAAAGGATATTAGCAATTACCGTCCGATCTCCGTGCTCCCCGTACTCTCAAAGGTTTTTGAAAATTAATGAACAGTCGAATTCAAGCTTTCCTTATAAAATTCTCAGTTCTATCTACAGCTCAGTACAGACTTCAAAAGGGAAAATCAACAGAAGATGCCTCGTTACATATAAAAAATAAAATATTAAATAACATTGAAAATAAACTTCTTACCCTTGGCATACACTTAGATTTTCGAAAAGCATTTGACAGTATCAATCATGACATCCCACTACAAAAACTTCCCCGCTATGGCATTAGGGGTAGAGCATTGGATCTAATAAAGAGTTTCCTCTTTATACGAGATCTACGAGAGTTTGACCCTGCTTTGAATGTGGGCACCCACCCTTCATTGGCCTCATCATCTTAAGAACAAAAAGTGGAAATGGAGTAGACACAGTACATATTCTTCTCCGAAAAAAAACTGTCAAAGCATTGCACTTTTTGCTGCATGCATACCTTGGAAATATGAATTTATAGGGTGTGAAGGAGCCAGTCTATAGCATGACATGTTGAGTTGTATTTCAGCTAGGTAACTTTGAGTGGTCGACCGTACAACCCGAGCGTATGTTACAACCACAATTCTAAAAACCAACTAGAACTAGTTATATTGCCGACTTTTCTTCCAGCCACGTGAAAAGTGAGACGACCAAGCATTTGGGATAATGTGCCACGTGCTGTATGTGCATATATGCACAGAAGACACACTCTCTATGCAAGCCAGCATACTGGCATTCTCTGCTTTAAGAGAACCACCTTTCACTAGCCACAGTTCCAAACAAAACACTCGTTCAGAAAACACATGACACCCAATTCCTGTTTCTATGTGCAAGTATTTATAAGAAATATTACCGTAAGCGATGTGGCATCAATTTATGCTTTCGCAGTAATGACACTATGCTGTTTATCCTCAAGAGAGGAAACGCTGTTAAGACTCCTGACAACAGTTCGAGACGTCCTAGCGTTGCATTGGCCCACCCACCATTCCTGGCAAAAGGGTTGATCTCCCGGATGGTGACCACATGAGCAAGCATGTCACACAGCCATTGAGGATCCAGGAAGTAGAGGTCCTTCAGTGTTGAGTCCTCATAGTGCAGCAGAACCCCTGGAATCAGACAAGTCAACCGGTCATCGATTCCAAAAGCTTCTGAAAGCGCAACTCAATCTCGAATATTAAAACATAAAAAAGAATCACGAATGATGAATGCAGGTTGTCGGGGTATCTCTGCCTCAAATATACTCTTGCATAACAGTCACAGTTCAATTTTGAAAATTTTACTGCAATATAGATATCAACATTTACAAAGTTTCCATTTCTTTATAAATGCACCAGGCGCGCGCATTCACCATCCCGCTTTGAAAGTGTGGTTTTCTCCCAAGCATGCAGCTGCAATATTCATATGTTTCCACGTGTTGATCGCTGCAAGCTATTTCATTGAGTGTGCTTTTTACCGAGCACCGGTTCACTGCAGAGAAGCAACACTCACGGGAGCAAGCTCCACGGGTGTTGCTTCTCCGCAGTGCACCAGTGCTTGGTAAGAAGTGCGCTCAATGAGACTAAACTTTGAAAAATATGAATATCGCAGTTCAGCTCGAAGTGAATATTGAGTAGTGTATTATTCAAAACTATTTTTTATTATTTTGAATGTTTTCACAACACAACCCTTGTCACTTCATGAGTTTGTTACAAAAAGTAGTAATATGCTCTGCAACCTTGCTATTAAAAAGACACCAGTGGTACTAATATTCCAGATTGAGGTAGCACTTAAAAACTGAACTAAAACTTTCCCACTCTACCTACCACTGACATCGATCTTGGGCCAAAAAACTTTGTCAATCTACAAAACACCACATCTTGGTCATGCCCAGTTTAGTATCTCATGTCAGAGAAAAGCCCCTAATATACAATTCACAAATGGTATGGGTGTGGGCAGTGAGCAACGTAGATACTTTGCCATTCCAAAACTCGGTCATTACAGAGGCTCAGATGCCACACTCACCATTGTCATGAAGGAATGCTGTGGCCTGGTTGAGTTCAGCCATGTCCCGAAAGACAATGTCAAATTTGTGCTGCAGTTCGTGCATCACCAGCATTCTGAAAGATGTCAAAAACAGGGCATTTCGGCTGTGCCTTATACACCCCCTGAAAAAAAGATGGTTCAGTTCAGCCGCAATGCATTGCTCTTTTACCAATAAAAAAGTTTGATTTAGCGAAAATAGTGCAGCTGAAAGAAACTACGACGCTAAATCGGACCATGCTTCCCAGCAGTTTTCCTGTTTTTCCATAAAGCTGAACTCTAAAAGTAGAAATTCCAACCGTGAAATATGCTAAAGGTTGTTTTCTTTCATTCTATCAATAAATATTGCAGATCGGAATGTGACAAGTAGATACGAAAGAGTTCTTCACATTAACCGTAGCTATGCAATAAAAAAGAGAACAGGAAGCTTCTCATGCACATAAAACAGCCATAGCTAATTGAGTGCTCCAACTTTTTTTTTTGTTTTTACAGATTACTAATGTGCATTTTGGTGTAACACTTTATTAATACACAGAAAAAAACACTACATTTTTCTGGGAAAAAGCTACAAACATGGCCAATGTGCATAAATATCAACAAAGCTGTTATGGGTGACTAATAATAACAGACCCACACTGAACAATGGAAGTGTTTGCTCAGAGTGGGTTTTATTGTATGCTGCACCTTTCAGACGTGAACAATAGTTAAATCCGCCAGAACTCTGGTTTTCATTATACTCACTTTGAATGTAGAATTAACTGGCTATGCATCTGCTATTTAAGAGGAAACACTCGAGGCAGGTGCCAGTCCAAGTGTTACCTGTACTGCTCAGAATGAAGCACAGGATCTTTGCCCTGCAACCTCCTCTCCACAGCAAGGTAGGCAACTACGTCCTCCAGTGCCAGATAGGTGGCCGGGATCTTCTGCTCCAGCAAGCGCTCCTTGCTCCCTGAAACCAAAAGACGGAATAATGAGCACCTTGGTCGTGAAACCACATAGTTTAAAACCTGACTACCAGGATTTAAACAGTTAATCATTTCTTTTAAATTTATTTTCTTTCGGACAAGGTCTGAAAGAAGGGCCTGTACAAAAGGTTAAGAAGCCTGATGAGGCAGTGGTCCCTTATAGTTCACAAAGGTACATAAATGGACAGGAAAAAAAAAATGAATTCAGCTAAAAACTACAAACTCAAAGTGATTGGCATCTTCCCGATAACATGGAAATATATAAACAAAACAAAACAATAAAAGGTACACATGATACAGGAATGACTGAATATATGAAGAAAGTAAACAGGATAATGCAAAACCCCTAACAGTATCAAAAACAAAATATTCATACATTATTTTTTTTTTTTTAATTTCCAATACATTGTGGTTTACTACAGGGTGCCACGACATTGAAGGAACCAGGAAGACCCCTGGCAAGTCACCAAAATGGGCCAGACGAAGAGGAGAAGCTGAGATTTATTTTACTGGCACGACAAGCACACTCAAGTCTGGAAACAGGTTTGAAGGAGGGAACAACATATTAGTAACAGGACTGGCCTGCTTTCAATCTACCCCACTAGTATTCAGCTCGTTAGTACAAATTCAAAGCCTCAATGAGAAAAACCAATTATCAGTAGGGCTCTGCATTTCCTGAGCTTATATGTAGTATTCTGGAGAAAGACAAGGGGGTGTTCTAGAGTCTCCAGTGCCCTGATGGACAATCTAGATCTTTTTGGGTAGAATACTAGTTTTTAAGCTCACGCACTAATTTTCCAAGAGTTTGGCTTTCTCATTTGGTATGTTATTAAGACTTTAGAAGAAAAAAACTGACAGAGAAAATGGGATGTAAAGAAGGCATGTCCTTTTAGTATGTTGATTTAATCATTAAATCAGCTCTTTCCATGCGGCTCGGATGCCACCTAGCTTAATAGGCAACTGCACTCAGGTTTGTAGAGTTTAAGCTGACGACTGTTTTTAATGGAGTCAGCATACCTAAATTACAACATATGATGTTTCTTTAAAGGGGCGATGCAACGATTTTTGTATTTTACGCAAATACCGCTTAGAACGGATCCCTGGCGTTAATGACCTGTAAAATAGTCGTTGTTCTTCACCACACGCAATCGAAGCCGCAGAAAAAAATTAAGAAAAACGAGCAAAGTTCACCCCCTCAAATTGCAGCCAGAACAAGCGGCCACGTGATCTGGAGCCGATTATATGCCGCCAATGTTGATCATAGCCATGCGCTGGGGTTGGCAAGGCACAGGACACGCGCTGCGTTCCAGACATTGTTATGGTTCGGCTGTTTTCGTCAATGCAGCGATTGGACACAGGACAGTACCCGAATGCTTCTCGAGCTATAGATTATCACGAGCCCAAATCGAGTGCCCACGCAATGCTCGGGTCCAATCTATGAGCCGCATTCAAATATCGTCACTGGGCGGTACTGCTACTGCCCAGCTACGTCATAAAGTTTTGCGAAGGAGAGAATGAATGAAAACGCTCGGTTTTGTCCTCGAAATTACAGCGCAGCAAAGGAGTTTCTTGGTCAGCGGCGTTGCGTGCGAGTATCCTTGAGTCCCACTACTGCCAGTAAGCGCGTATAAAATGAAAGACATTCCAATTGAATATCATTGCACCGCCCCTTTAAGTATAGTGTGCACAGTTCTTTAGATATCGGCTCTCAAACTTCATTTTCGTGAATTTATGATTTCATCATAAATTCGCGAAACTTACTGGCAACCTATTGTGGCACCCTCACTTTCATGCCACAGTACCTACAACTGGCTCAGTCAAATGCGGCATGAAATAGGACGGCCGTGTATGAGCACATTACACTCAGCCGCATAAGAGCATGGGAAAGAAACCACTGCATAGAAATACCAAAACTCGCCCAATGTCTCTTCTGCAGCGGCCGACCCACTGGTCTCGGTGAAATAGCCAAAGAGAGCACTTCCAAAATCGCTTTTTGCAAGGGTCACGGTATCATTTCGACCAAATGTTTTGGTCATGATTGTATTATGTCCCAACGAAGCAATCTGCCGTTTGTTCCGGTTAAAACTTTTGGGCGGAGCTGCACCCTAGAAACCCGGACACGCAAGCAAGGGGCCGAGAAGGGAGCGCACCGGGGCAGCGCAGGTCGAACACGACGTCGTAGATGAGGTTGCAGAGGTGCCTGATGTTGTGGCGCGTCCTGCAGCTGACCTCCACCGTGTCCAGAACCCGGGGCAGGCCGCACTTGTCCGCGTCCACCACGTGGATGAAGCGCTCTCGGATGAGGCTCTGCAGCTCGTCCGAGTAGCCCGAGGGCAGGGCCTCCCGCACCAGGTCATGGTGCGTGCCCACAATGATCACCGGGGAGTTGGGGGCACGGGCCTGCAGACAATGTGCCGCTCCCGTCAAGAATGGGGGAACATTTCTCCCAACCACATCCCTTTTTCGAGCAAATCTGACACCCAGAAAACCCCGCCTCTTCTTCGCTGAACGAATCTGCTCGAGAACAAACGGGCTCAACCCACCTTCAGTCTGGCTCAATGAATGAATGATCCACCACCCGAATGGCAGCAGATATCTTGCCACCTTTCTTAGGACATTTTAGTATCCAGGCATCTCGTCCCGCAGTAACTGTCACTTTATGGTTGCTATTGTGCAGCTCGGTGGTCCTTGATCCTCCCTTTGCGGGCACACAATGAGGTCACTCAAGGATACGAAGGCTGTCGCCACCCAGAAACAAATGGACAGAGACGCGAGGTCCGAGGCACCTTCTCGGATGGGACTGGGCTGCCGCCAACCCACCTGTATGTTGATGAGCCACTGGTGAATGCCCTTGACTCCGCGCTCGCCGTCAGTCATCCTCCACACCACCAGGTAGAGGGAGCGCTTGGACAGGAAGTACTGGTGCGTTGTGTAGTACTCCCTCTGAAAGAGCGGTTCCAGCTGGGAGTGAGCTTATCTAGTCGAGGCATTTGAGATCAATGAAAGAAGATTGATGCACTGCACTTTTCCCGATCTGAAGCGAACTGCACTAGCATTCATTTATCCACTTCATTTATTCAGTACCTGCAGCTCCTTTCGGCATTATAGCGGGGGGGATACACACACAAAAAAAATAAAGCAAATGACCAGGTAATTATCTGCAACAAGCTATGAACAAAGCACCTATGATATTAGCTAAAGTAAGTCCATATTTCACAACATTCAAAGCACATTTTAAACCTCGCGAGATCAAAAGTGTTCCGACACATCTCGCAACATCCAAAAACACCTTTCAGATTTTGCATCACTCAATGCACCCCATCAGACTTCACAACATTGAAAAAACAAATAAACGATACACAAAACCCTATCCCTCCAAGTACAACACGGTCTGCAGCACCTCTACATAAAAATAATATAATCTAGTACTGTGCTAATAAAACTTCTGCCTGGGCTTTATCGTTTAAGCAATCAAATCAATCAAATGAACCTACTGTTTCCAAAGCAGTATAAAAGGCATTCTTTCATAAAACTAAGACAACAGTAGAAGGTAGTTTTTTCCACTGGCACACTGTTTTTAAACTCTTAAAAGCTGCAGTACCTATCTCACACACTTTAAGAATATCGCCACGCGCGTTGGCGAGCGAGCGTGTGCGTGGCCAAGTGGTTGCCGCGTTTGACTTTTGCGCGGAAACCCAGGGTTCGATTCCTGGGAGTCACGTGTCTTCTATTTATTTCTTCAGTTTAATGTACTGGCGAATTCGAGAACATTGTTGTTTATTCTAGGTCCGAATGTTCTATGCGTCGAACCTTCCACGCCGATTATTCCAGAAGCCCACACGTGTACATAAGGGGCTTCGCGTGGCGAGCCAAAGTCAGTTTCGTCCCAGCGCTCAATCCTGCTGTTTCGTCGACGCCTGCGACGCAAACATTCTTCTATTTCATTTTGGGCACAAGTTCGCCCCATTAAACAATTAGTTTCTCTAGTTAACTGACCACCTCATCTTTCGTCATTCATGACAATGTGATCCACATGTGCGGATAGGTAATATCAAGGAAACAGGTAGGTTTCACGCGGGATGCCAGTCTGGGAGTGAAATATACTGTGGAAAATGTTTAAACGAAGCCTTGCTCTGTGGCGTTCCAGTGTATTACATTTCATCACATAAACACAATGCCATTCAAAATATCTCATAAGTCGGGTTAGGCTCAAATATAAATAACCCGGCAGTGTCATCGCAAACATATTGAAAACATTCATGGTGCAATGCTAATCTGGAGCATGCAAAAAAAAAAGTATATATGGTACAAACATGATCAATAATAAAAGAAGAGAAAGAAAAAGCGGCACAAGGAGTATAGAGTACTCTGGTTTCAGATGCAAAACAGTCCCACGTTTTTAGCTATTATTTTACTAACACATCAAGCCAAAATTGGTGCGTATTTTCCAACCTCTTCTTAGGAACCACAGTGAGCTGCTCCAGTTACGCCAAAGCTGACAAATCAACAACGGGTCATAGAAACAGCTGTTTCATTATCAACGTCGAGAAGTTTGCAATCAGGATGATGCAACATGCTCTAAATTGTGGAGCCTACAAGCCCCATTGTAAAGAACAGTATAAAGAGGCGCAAATATTATAGTCACCAAAATCAAGCAGATGGCACGTGTACTTTGACCCGCTACATTAGCAGCTACCGAACTGAGAGCTGAGCTGAGAAATGGGCGACAAACGAACGCTTTGCAACAGAAACGTCCTGTACATCTGCTTTTGCACAGGTAATACGGTGAGCCAATCACAGAAATTATACGGAGTGCATCAGCACATCACGAGGCATACTGACTGTTTGGCTCGAAAACATGGTTTGTACACGAACAGTGAGCTTGACTTTTCACATTCTCTATTTGTTTTCGGGATAAAGAGGTGACCTGTGTGCGTAGCACCCCAGCTTCTTCATATAGGCGGGAATAATTTGTGTCGTTTAGTGAAACCAACACACTAGACAGGCTCAACAAACGGTATACTGGCACACATCTCCGACCCTCACTATATCTGCCATTTGGAAAATGAGTCGTGCCACCTATAGACAGTTGGAGTTGCTCAGTGGCATCCAACTGCCACCTTCATGACTGTAACGCTCCCAGCGTGTGACTCGTTCATGACACTCGTTACGACGCTTGTTCAAGACAATTTTCCCATAAACACGACCCACGAATTCTGTGTTTAAAAAATGATGGAATGAACAAGCTGTCGGAGCCCACTGTTGAAGAGAAGTCCTCTGACCTGTCCCCCGAAGTCCCAGGTGCGGAAGGTGACCGGACCATAGGTGTTGGGGCCGCGGCCCTTCTTCTCGTAGACCCAGTCCCCCACGTCCACTCCGACCGTAGACAGGGTCACACCCTTGGGGGTCTTGAGGCTCAGGCTCTTGTGGCCCATGCGCTTGCCCCAGTGCTGCGTTCGCCGTAAGGCAACATGAGAGAAAGGGCGTCGGAGACAAGGGGACGAGATGTCGGCAACTCCGCAGCTGCTCCTCTAGTATTGGCTCCCCAAAAGCAGTTTTCTGTAAACATCTGCAGCACTTTTTGCCACGGGGCACAGAAAAGTCACAGCTATAGCTGTTATTGCCCTTGGTAACATTCACTTTTAGGCATATCCACTTTTTACTTACTCGATCAAACACAATCTTGGATTCACTGAGGTATGCAGGGAAGAGAAGACACAGCACACAAGTCAACGTCCCTGCCTAAGACAAAATCAAGGCAGGTACTGTGTGTGCATGATTACAACGCACACTTCTTTTTGCCAAAATCAGTGCCCAAAAATACAGGCAATTTATGATCAAAACCAAAAACCGAGACTCAAAAGAAAAACGCAGTACAGTGTAGACCGCATATAACGTATGTCTCGGGAGTCGCGAAAATCCGCACTATAAGCGGTACCGCACTATAACCAAAACATCAATTTTTCAGGCCAAAATACATGCCATGAGACAACTTACCTTTGTAAAAGAATTTATTTTATGTTAGATGAAAAAATAAGCTTAGTTTGAGGAAAGTCTTTATTTCAATAGACGAGTACAGTTATGTCTCAAGTGTGTCACACATTTTAAAAGAAATTAGCGGCTTTTGCCTGGCGCAGCCTTTTAACGGCGTCGCGGGTTGCGGACGGACGTTGCGAGCGTTCAGGATTGCTAACCCTAATCACTTTTCTCCGGAGATGAAAACGCGTGAAAATTCGCATCCTTCATACGGTACGCGCCAGTAATACCTTGAACTTGAGCACACGCATGAAATGCGCCAAATAAGAAATCCGGGCGATGTTCGAGGACACAAATGCTTAGATATCACCACTGTAGTCGAAGTAAACAAACACGACGACACGGGCGTTTCTGCCGTCTTGAGAGCGCCGCCACGACATCGCCGCACGAGTAGGTGAATCTTCCCTTTTAGTACATGCTGGGTTATCATAGCGACACACAACGAAAATTCACAGTCAAGGATAGCGCTTTTACGCAGAACGATGAGATGAACTCCGTCTACGACGACGATCACAACCGACGCCATGTTCGCGGAATGGCATGGAACGCGCGCGAACACTTCTCCTCGACCTGCGATTGGTCTGTCGTTGCGGTTGTTTGTTTCTTTGTTTCCAACGCAGCGGAGAGACGCACGCACGTGAACGACTCGTGCGTGCGTCCCTCCGTCGCTATGGCAACTGAAGCCTCTCTCTTCGCTTCTCCCCGAGTTTTCGAGCAACCTCCATGCCCCGCGAGTGCAGTTTGCGGCTTGCGCCGTCAGCGCCGTTATCTAGTGTCGCACAGGGAAGCGAGCTCGCTGCTCCGGTCGTCGGCGCGGTCGGCGGGCTGTGCCAAAAACCGCACTATAACCGGTATTTCCCTTCGCGCGCCTGCATTTTAAGCGGTATGTAAATACATGGAGTTCTATGGGAGGTGAACCGGTGGTTTAAAAAAACCGCGTTATACCCGGTCCTGCACTATAAGCGGTTACGTTGTAAGTGGTCTATACTGTACTCGGTATAAGGTGGCCAACCCCATCGCGACAGTTTGTTTACATTTGCCAATTTTGATATCCGGATCACGAGCATTCTCTCGAGTCTACGGACTTATGTCTGCCATTTTAAGATGAAAAAACAAAAGAAATTACGCTAGGAGGCTTTATTTAAAAGAAAGGTCATCACACTGGTGGGAAAAGATAACAATGAAGCAGTACTGCATGCGTGGCCCCTCAATCCCAGCGACCCATTGAGATTGCAAAGTGTTGCTTGGAAGACGACCCTCCCAGAGGCGACAATTGCGCACTCGTAGAAGCACTACAAGCGCGGCACCTAAAACGCTTTAGACGAAAGCAAGTATTACCTCTGTGGACAGCGAAGAACCACAGTCGGACACCCACAACGGCGACTAGTGCACGGTATTTATTTTTGTGTTGGCGTGCGTTTCATAAAATCTGTTCTATGAGGTATTTGTTCAAGCTTCATTATTTTACCTGCGCGGAAGAATCGGCAGCACCTTACTTTTTGAATATCTGGGAGCTAAATCTACCTGCGCCTTAGAGTCGTGCAAACAATGTATGTACCATTCAGCCGTTGCTGTAATTATCGCTGTAAGAGTGGGAAGTTCTTTATTACTCGGGTGGAATCTGCTCGTACACACCATTAAGAGTTTAGTACAGTATCGCATTTGATGTATACATGGTAGCTGGCAATTTTGTAAGGTACATCAGCCGGAAACATGTCTCTCACGTGTTGACAATAAATGCTGTCCAACTGCTTCCTCAATGTGACAGCACCTTTAGTGAGACATTGGCTACCACTCTTAGGCTTCCAGAAGGTTTTTTCCAATCAGCTTGGATTACCTTTGTGACTCCTTAAAATGGAAGAGTTGGGTTTCTAGATATAAGTAAAAGTTCTTATGTGACAAAAAAGGATGAATAGGTTTCCCGACCGTCCCTTTCTAGTAATGTAGTAATGAGTACCTCTGGCTTTGAATCGGGCATGGCTACCCTTCGTAAGAACACTTCCCATGAGGGTGCCAGAGGATTGGCTCCATCAAGGCCACTCACCTCAGGAGGCTTGCGCCGGTAGGAGCCCGTGCCTTCCTGCCGCAGCTGTTCCAACAGAGAGGTCTTGCCGATGCCCTGGACGCCCACAATCATCAGCTTCATCCTCGCATACGGCTTGGCACTGCAAAGTGTGCGCAAGTCCCTATATGTATCCCCTACATCAAGAGAACAGCATTCAGTGCTAATCCAGAAATCAGCAACAAGACATTGCAGGACCTCAAGTTTTAAAAATGTATGGCACGGCCTCACCTATGATAGTTCGTCTCCACTACGTCTCTAAAGGAGTGGGCCCCAAATCCTTTTGTACCACATCTAACAGTGTTGCCAACCCAGGCCCACTGACCAAAATTTTGGCAATACTGTCCTAAGACAATGTAGTCAGTTACTGGTTTTCATATCAATGGGCAACTAACATAAAATAGATTTTAGAAACTTACTACACATTAACCAAATGAAAGGCAACTTGGAAACCCAGTGTAAAATGTAAAATGCCCACAAAGGCCTCCCTGGGAACCTAGGACCGAAATCTGGATGACACCAGAAAGCGGGCGCGGCCACTCACTCTTCTAGGATGGACTTGAGGTAGCCGACGATATCCATGGTCTTGTACTTGCGCGAGTCGACCATGCAGCGCAGTCGGTCCTGCAGGCTACAGCCGCGCAGGTTCAGGTTCCACAGCTTGCCCAGCAGGCCTAGTTCCGGCGGCAGCTGACTGATGCCCACGTTGCCGCTCAGGTTCAGCACTGACATGGCGCTGTGCTCCGAGAGGCAGACCGGCACCTCACTCAGCAGGTTGTTGCTCACGTCCAGCATCGACAGGTTCGGGAACAGCAGGCGCCCCCGGGATGAGAGCGGCTCCTGACCAGTGGGGGGAGGTGAGGGGGCATTGGGTCACTCTTCACCATCTCGACAGTGACCAAGATTCTCAATCCGACAATCAAAGGTGGTCTGCAATAAGAGGCCAAGTCCACCTGGCATGTCTCCCAAGAGCCTATAGCCGCAATGTTTCCAACGTGGACATTCAACCGCTGAATTTACTACCAGAATATAGGTCTAACTTTTTATTAGCACCAATCTTTGAAATTAGAGTCTGCTTAAAATAGCAGCAAAGTTCCTAATTTCCTACAGCTAATTGAGAGGCCCTTGCCTACCATAAAGTTCCTAAAGAACACCTACCCAAAAGGAAGAGATGAATGGTGAAAACCATGGGGTGGGCTATCTTTAAGGACACCACAGAAAAACTTTGTCAAAAACTGGCTATAAACCATGTGACGTGGGAACTGATACCGCAGATCACGGACACCGCAAATTCTCGTTTCACTATGCGATAAACACGCGGGAGTTTGCTACCAACACCTGTGTCACGGGAAAGGATACCGCAGCTTGCAGACGCAGCACATTCACGTTTAACGGTACGAAGGACCCTCGGAAATCCACCGAGAACTCGCATCTCACGGGAACGAATGCTGCAAATCGTGGACGCAGCAGATGCAAGTTTTATGCTGCAATAAACACGCGAAAACTCACTACAAACTTGCCTGTCACGGGAACCGATATCGCGCGCGCAGATCGCTGACAAAAAGGCAGGAATCTGCTACAAACTCGTATGTTACAGGAACAAATACCGCAGATCGTGAACTCAGCAGAATCATATTTCACAATGCAATATACATGCGGGACCAACTCGCGTAGAATGGAGATCGCACATGCAGATCGCAGACAAAAACGCGGGAATCCGCTAAAACTTCATCTCACGGGAACGGATACCACAGATTGTGGACGCAGCAGATCCGGATCTCACAGTGCAACATACACGTGGGAACAACTCGCATGTTACGGGAGCAGATATCGCCTGTACAGATCACGGACAAAAACACGGGAACTTGCCATAAACTCGCTAGCCAGACGTGCCCATTGCGTGACGCCCGACGGAAATCGGGGGCGGGCGATGTTTCGGAATGTTTATGTTACAGATGTTTGGCCAGAAAAACGGGATGGGCGATCTCTCGGGGGCAGGCGTTTTCTCAGAACTTTACGTTATGTCACTTCTCCACGAATGACGCAGCAAAGTGGTGAAGCTTGGCGCAAATGGCGCGGCAAAAGTGCCAAATGCATGAATGAAATGCATGAAATATTGCAAAATGACAGACTCAATGTGTCAATCATGCATATTTTCAATCTTATTATCTTTCTTTTTCTCCATTTTCACTTACTTTTTGTTTTTGTTAATCTTTACTTTTGTATTTTATTTTTGTCTTATTTATTCATTTTTATTTATATTGTTTATTTGTTTATCTTACCTTTTATTATCTAATTAATTTTATTTTTGACTCATTTATTATGTTCATCCCAAACCTGCTGCTGTCGCCGGCAGTTTTGTATTAAAATAAAAACATTGACCGATTCATACCAGCCGCACTAGTAGCTCAGTGGCTATAAGCATCTGACTGCCATCGCACCGACCCAGGTTCAAGCGCCGCCGGGGGCTCGAACTTTATATATAAACTTTGTATAAAATATTAATGGAATGCTCCAAGAGTGTCACTAGTTCATGACATTTGTTATAATACCCATTCATAACAATTTTTTTATAAAAAATGCCGCATAACTGCGTTAAAAAAAAAAAAAAATTACAGGAGGACACTAAAGACTGCTTACATGTAAGAAGGCGAAAGCATTGTAGTCCTGCAGGAGAAATGTTTTCGGGTAATGTTTCACCTGTATTACAGTTTAGGACGATGTCCTAGAGATCAGCGCCTAGAACGACTTCAAGGACAGTGTCTAGGACGATGCCAAGGAAGATCTTTCGGACGGCATCGAGGATGATGTCTAGAACGACGCCTAGAGGAGGACACTCAAGGAGGCTGTGGTATATTTGCGTGGGCGGCCATGTTTGCCTGCGGAACCGCCGCAGGTGTAGACGCTGCTGCCAAAGTCGAGAACGTAGATGCAGACGCAGTCGCCTCACAGTCCATTCCGCGAAGCACAGAACGAGCACAGATGAAGTCCGAAGCGCACTTTTTGCACACGGCGCTCCGGCGGTGACATCACGTTCCCACACTTGAGCATGAGCGGCCCGTGCTGGAAAACATATTTTTTCGGCCATCTTCCGGGCACAATGACGCCGCTTTTTCGCAAAATGGGACAAGTAAGGCCGTCCTAGAGGTCTAGGACAACCTCCAGGATGACCTCAAAGACAATGTTGTCCTTGAGCATACAATTGAGCGGTGCATGCCGCTCAATCGTATTTTTATGGCCATATATGCCGCTTTTTCGCTCAATGAGACAATTACGGCTTTAGCCTTAGAATCACTAGCTCCTTTAGACATGCTCACTTCGACGTAATGGTAGCAATGGGTTGAGGTATGTTTGAGAGGTTTGGTGCTCTTTTTCCATAAGCTGGCGCCAGAGCACTGCTTGGCGCTGCAGTGTTCTAATTGTTCTGTTTTCAGCTCGCTCCGTCTATTGCATTTCATACCCCAACAGGCTCTGAGAAAGTCACATTTACATTGCCACCACAGAAGATGGCACCCAGCTACCGCTCATGTCATCCAGTCTTCACATGTGTACAGTTTTTCCCCACTAACACACGACAATATGTGTTACTGCCGCCTCTGCCATGCTAAAGGGGCGACTTTAAGAAAAAAAAATTGGGGTCAACTTTTATTAAAATATATTTATATTATTATCGGCACTTTCTCTGGTATAGAGATTGACTTATCTTCCAGCGAATACGGTGCACCAAGTTAATGGACATCCAGTATCACTTTCTTGCACCATCAGCAATGAAGAAATTCAATCCCAGCACTAATAGCATCTTAGCAGATATTTTATCGAGAAGGAGGCAATTAAATCCGCCCCTCATTAGATATGGCTTTAAACATGACCGGGCATGAGAGAGGGCACACAAAACCAGTACCACACTTAAATATACAAATGGGGAGAGCGACCAGCGCATACTCTGGGGTCTGCGGAGTCCAAAGAGCGCCTGTCTTCGTCTTCCTGCTCTTCGTCCAGCGTGAGTTGGAGGGAGTGAAACTGGTTATTGGCCAGAGCCAGGGTGCGCAGGTTCTCCAGGCGGGTGTGCCGGCGGTGTGGGCAGGCCCCGCACCAGCCCTTCTTGCTGGCTGTGGGCAAGAACGAGCGTGGCACGATTTTTGCTATGGGGCTCGCCCCGACACGATGGAAGCACGAATGGGGCTGGATACAAATCTGCTAAGCTTCGGCAAGTCGTTTACCAGCCAGGATAAGTTTCATCCAAAATCTTTGGGCTCAGAGTGGATGTGGAGATTTAAAGGTTGCGGCAATTGCAAAATAAGCCTAACTTTGGACAATCTCTTACAGGGGATCCAGTGACCTTCAGCTTGCCAAAGGACGACAACTAAATTGAAGGAATTATGAAACAAACCACCACCAAAAAAATAAACAGCGAAAAGAATTGTAGGAAAAGGTACATAAACAGCATTAAACAAACTATAGTAAATTACAGCTCAAGAAGGTAGGGCGAGGTAAAGGAGGGCTGGGGAGGAAGAGGCAGATGGAACGCTGTAGAGGAGAAGGGGAAGCCTCCTCCTCTCTCCAGTGTTCGGTCTGCTTCCTCTCCCCGGCCTTCCTTTCACTTGCCCTACCTTCTGAAGTTGCAACACACTACAGAGACCTTCAGGAAACCATTTCTCTGAGTGCAGATGTAACCACAGAACCGAGATGCCACCACCAGGGGCGGACTTAGAAATAGGCAGAGTAAGCAGCTGCCTCGGGCGATAGAATCTTGGGGGCGACCAATTTGTGGTTACCCCCAAATTAATTGGCTCTTTCTTTTCTTTTCTTTTTTTTTTTAATGTCTTGCTGTAAATTTAGTTACTTCTGAAATTCTAGCTCCAAAACCAGCTACTTTTGAAAAAATTTAACTGCAAACTTCGCTACCTCCTCTCTGTCCCCCCCCCTCCCCCATCCTGGGAAAGAACAAAATTTTCGTTCTTTCCCAGGACAATAACTACATGGAGCCAGCTGCCAAAAGATATAGTAGAAAGTGCCAGTGTCAAAGAATTTATTTCAAATTTGAAAGTTGTGCCCATGTGATTGTTTTGTAATGTTTTTGTTGTTGATTTTTTCCTTCCAGTTTACTTTGTTTGTAAGTCTTGCAGCTGGTATCGATGTCTTTTCGGTGTTGTATATCATGTTTATATTGTGATGCATGCTCACTCCTGCTTGGACCCTAACATGAGTCTGCAGTATTTATAAATAATAAATAAAATAAAACCCCGCTCTCCATGGTCAGGGACCACGGAGAACGGGGTTTTGTAAAATGTTAACTCTGCCTCTGCCCACGACCATATATATTTGTGTGCAGACTTGGAAGAGGCCTCAGCACAGCAAAGGTGCCTAACTGACACCCTGAGTCAGCTGCATAAAAGTTGGTCCCTTTAACGTTTCGAATATCTCACTGCAAGGTCCCAGGGGTCCTATTCTGCTCACTGCGAGAGCGAGAACAAGACGGTATGTCTGCATTCATAGATGGTTCGTCTGTTAACGCAAGCGAAGAATGTGGTTTATCACTTTCTGTGAATGACCAAGCGTCATTCACAGACGGAAATAAAACAAGAAAACACCATAAGTTGTTCGCTAACAGACCGTAAAAGGAATGGGTCGCCTACTATGAACTGAGTGCTGCGGCGAAGTGAGATTGGATACAGGCTGAAATTGGGCTGTCTGCTATTTCATACAAGAAGCCACTGACAACACGAGCTTCGTTTCAAAATCTCAAGTTGATCTGCTGATGTGCACAAGCTCACATCGACCGACGAATGAAGGAATACTAAGGACCAGCACATCAGAGGCTGAGAGATCTCTCTCACTATTTGTAAGTTTGTTGCATTGGTTGTTTATATGCAAGTTGTGGCCCACATCCCAAAAAAAAGGCAAGACTGCTCTTGCCTGGACAGTCTCCCCTTGAGCCAAATCAGGGGTACTTCACCTGAACTGTGCGGCTTGATGGCCTTGGGGCTGGAGCGCCCCTGAGGCTCCGGAGCATAGCAGAGGGCCAGGCTCTCGGGGGCCCTTGCGGGGGGCCACGCAGAGAGGCGGTTGGAGGACAGGTCCAGGTGCCTCAGCCCCACGGGGTAGGCCCCCAGGGGCCCCATCGACGTGAGGGCATTGTAGCTCAAGTTCAGGCGCGACATCTGGCCCGCACAGCACGCCAGCATCGGGGGCAGACACTCAAAGGCGTTGTGGGACAGGTTCATGCTGCTTAGACGGCTCTGCTTGTCAGAGGGCGCACACTCCTCCAGTGCCGCATCCACAACCTGCGCGAGCGCAGAAGCGCATCCTGTGCCCTGGTTCTCGAGAAGCAGTGTTGCGGGAACAGTCGGCGACACTATGGGGAACGCCTAGGAAATGTGTAGAGTGGACTTCTTATATCGTATTCACCGAGCATTAAATTCTCCAAGAGGGGATTAGGTCAAAATTCAACGAGCTGCACCAGCCCTCGAATATTGTAGCAAAACAGCACTCAACCTCGTCAACAGTTTTTCGCTTACGCTGCTCTTAAAGAGTGATGACAGAAATTGAATGGGAGCTTAACTGTCGCACATGTGCACTAAGTTTGGTATGATTCCGACTTGCGCTGTTAGGTAGTGTTAGGTTAGGTAGTGTTAGCCTCTTCGGCCATGTGCTTGCTTGGCCTTTACGTATCGTTGCTGACTGTGCACTGCTTCACTGATACTAACATTTCATCGATAGAACACATTTCAAAGACAAATTATTTCCAAAGAACATTACTTTATTGATAGTTAGAATTACATTTTCTCAACATTCATCTCGCAAAAAGCTTCTCTAAATTTTTGTTGGCCACGTTTATCTTATCAGCATTCGGGTCAGATTGAGAAGGAGCAAAGGCACGAGTGAGGAATGTTGTTTGTTTACAGACAATGAATCTCATTAAGAGCATGGTTCCTTATTTCTTTTTAAAATTATAGCTGCACCACCACGAGACTAGCAGTCTTCCAATTTTGGAGAAAATGTTGCAAACATCTCGGCTTGCCATACAAAATGTCCTTTGGCGAGACAGTTGCACTGCAATGCGGTACCTGGTCACGACACATTTTACACTAAGATGCACTAAGGCATCCCTTTTACCTCCTATCTCTGTACCAACGAAAACAAAATAGTGGGCTCATTTGATTTACCTGCACCAGTGTGCACCAGCACAAAAAGTAGCAAGGCAATTTTACTTCCGGCTGTGTTTTCAGATAGGATGCACTCGTAAACCGAACACGGTGGTGTGCACCGAGAGCAGCTGGTGCAGGTAAATCGAATTAACTGAGTGATTAACGGCCCAGATGGTAACGAAGCACAGGGGCAATGACGCAGCAGTCGGGACGTGCGGAGAAGAGGGGGTCCCACCTCGAGGGAGGACCTCCAGACGGAGTGGTGGTGGAGGTCCTGGCGCAGGCAGGGCACTGGGGCCTGTGGCCCCTCGTGGGGCCTCGTGTCCGGCTCCTGGGACTGCCCCACGTCCTCTCCCTGGGGCCTCAGCCGCTGGGGGATGCAGCTGGGGAGGCTGCTCAGCATGTTCATGGACACGTTCAGGTCCCTCAGCCTCGGTGCCGTCCACAGCTCCATGGGCAGGGTCTGCAACGAGGGCCACGTTAGGCGAGACTGTGACGACGCACTCCACTACTGTGGAACACATGAATACATTCTCAGTTAAAACGTGTCTGAATTTAGAGGATGCTGCACTGTTGTGGAAAGAAGATAAAACAAATTGTGCAGGCTCGATCATGCTGAAAAAGGCCAGAGAGCACATTTCCGCACAAACCACACTTCGTGTGTCCTTTGCACTGGAATTTTCACACTTTTTCCTTATCTATTTTTTTATTTCGATTTTTCTAAATTTCTTTTTAATTTAATATATTTTTTTATATTTTTATTTTATTTTGTATTACTTATTTATTTATTTTTTCTTAATTTTTTTGTTTATTCATTTATTTCATATTTTTTATATTTAATATTATTAAATTAATTCATTATTCTGATTCAAATCCTGCTGCTCTTCGCCACACTTTTGCATTCAAATAAAAATCCCATCCAGACCAGTTGTGCTATTTGGTTTTGAAAATACAATGCAGTCCTCTTCAGCATTGCTTAGGAGGACCGCACGTCAAATATTACGACGCAGTTCTGTTTAAATGTTTCTTAAATGGTCCGGCAAACTTTACAACTCACCAAGTTGCCGAAATTGGCTAACTCGGGTGGGTGAATTCAGGCGCAACCAACAGCCCAGTCAAGGCTCCGGCATGGGCGTAGCCAACATTGAGCTAAATGTCATCACAATTGCCCCTTTTTGCTTGTTTTAAAGTCTCCGGGCGAGCGTAGCGCATGATGTCAGCAATGTCAGCTCTCAGCACTCAGTGGTATCCACGTGGTTGGCGTAAAGCGCCTGCACAGCGCACTTCTTGGGAGCCGTCCGGCCACCCGCCGTTACCGCCGTCTTCCACGTCACAACCGCTGTCGTCTCACGGTTTGTGATTATTGCCTCTCGGAGTTTCGTTCACACTACGGACACCACGAGCGCAGACTTATACCGCAGTTGTGCAGACGTCGTCGAATGTCGTAGACACCAAAACGTGGCAAAGAGTGCGGTGCAGATGACACTTGCACACGCCCGTCCCAATCCCGACCATTGGTGGGCCGAGGATCACGTGACATCTCGTACCACGTGATGGTCACGTTCTTGGCCGCCCGAGGCCAATGTTGCCAGATGGAGCCGAAGTTTCGGTTTCAATTTCCGCTCGTGTTTAAACTTAGATTTAAAAATATATATTTCATTTTTCGCGAAGCAAACGACGTAGTGTTTTTTACTAGAGCTTTTTAATTCGAAATCACTCATTATCCCGAAATCTTCGGAATTGAGCGGAGTTTCCCTTTAATCCTTACATTTATAAATACTTCTTTCCCACCATAGTACAGCACCGCTGCTCTTCCTTCCTCGCTACAGTGGAAAGGCTGAAAGTTTTCCTTTCCTTTATGACAAGACTCGTTTTGGGTACGCCAGGCCGGAACTACCCAAAATCTTTGTCTTCAACCCTTTTGTGCGCAGCAACGTCACAACACCAGGGAGCACATAATAACAATAACTTCCACGATTGCGAGGAGGTCGTGGTCGGGGTTAGATAATCAATGGAGAGGACGAGCGCAGCCACTGGATCCTTAGGCCGAAGCAAGAATGAAAGCCGTTTACAATTCCCTGTAACGCTGGTTAGAGCGCAGCGCTTGAGGAGGAAGATGGAAGCCTACTGAGGGATAGGTGACTCCTTGAGGTCACGTGACCTCAAGGGGGTCACGTGACTTCAAAGGGGTCACGTGACCTCAGGGGTCACGTGACCTTTGGGGGTCGTGACCTCGGGGGTCACGTGACCTTTGGGGGTCGTGACCTCGGGGGTCACGTGACCTGAAGGGGTCACACGACCTTAGGGGGGTCACGTGACCTAGGGGTGTCACGTGACCTGGTGGGTCACGTGACTTCAGGGGGTCACGTGACCCCAGGGGGTCACGTGACCCACCCAGGTCACGTCACACCCCTAGGTCACGTGACCCCCTTAAGTCACGTGACCTCCTTGAGGTCACGTGATCCCCCTTAGGTGACCCCCAGAAGTCACGTGACTTCAAGGGGTCACGTGACCTAAGGGGGATCACATGACCTCAAGGAGGTCACGTGACTTCAGGGGGTCACGTGACCTAGGGGTGTGACGTGACCTGGGTGGGTCACGTGACACCCCTGGGTCACGTGACCTTAGGGGGATCACGTGACCTCAAGGGGGTCACGTGACTTCAGGGGGTCATGTGACCTAGGAGTGTCACGTGACCTGGGGGGGGGGGGGGGGTCACGTGACCTCGGGGGGGGGGGGGGGGGTCATGTGACCTCGCGGTTACGCCGACGGCGACGCTGCTCAAGCCGGAAACGGGCCCCTAAGAGCTGCGCTCTAAAGCACGGAGAATCTCGCAGGCGCTCGTGACTTCCGCGGCGGCTAAGAGCAGGTTGGTGTGGTCCTTCCACGCAGAAAGGCGGCACACCGCGTGCGGCATTCCGCCGCGTTTTGCCGCTAGTGTGGCCATACCTTTTAGACTCTCGGCTTCAGCTTCTTTAGTGGGAGAGGGAATAAAAATGTATGATAAATTGCTAGGCAATTGTATTACAGTGAAAGGTAATAGCATCGCAGACGTTAAACAATACTCCAAGTTTCCAGACGCCTACGTTCACGGCGCTCTTCATCAGATAGTTTAATGTATACCTAGTGTACACTTAATAGTTGTGTCTAGAGTGAAGCGATACTACCGCTAATCGGGAAAATAAACCTGGCAATCTTGTTGAGCCTTCCTTACTCTAGAGCTCTTCTCCCTCCAACCGCACAGATGGTCGAGCTCCTCCATGCCTACCTCGCGTACCCTTTTAGACATGTGAACCCCTTGTCAACCAATCGGTGTCGAGCACCTCACTCCTGCTCCCCCACCTGCCAACCAAACAGTGTCGAGCCTCGCAGCCACGCTCCAGTGTAGGGTCATGACCCCTACACTGCAGCTTCACCTCTCTTTCCACATTTTCCCCTTCTCTGTGTAAGCTCACACTGACTTCTATTCAAACCAGTAGGGTGTATCTAACATCTTTTCTCCACAGCGTTGTCGAAATCCAGCCTTGCCTGTAGCTTGTTGTTGGAGAGATCGAGCAGGCTGAGACTGGGCATCCGGAACAGCCCACCAGGGACGCTGTCCAGCCGGTTGTCCTGAAGGTGGAGCTCCTCCAAAACGGGACCCGACGTTGGGCCAATCTCGGGCAAGGTGGCCAGCTTGTTCTGGGAGGCCGTCAGCACCCGCAGGGACGGCAGCAGGTTGAAGACGCACGAGGGCAGGTCCTCGAGCTGGTTGCTGGACACGTCCAGCCGCGTTATGGCACCCAGGGCGGGCTCCCGCACCTGTGGCACACCCGAGGAGGAGCGGATGTTCTCTGTGCTCCAAACCAGATGTCGTTATACTTTTCCATATTAAGGAACATCTAACTCCTCTATCTGATAGCCTAGGAACCCCTCCTGCACTCGACATTGTGGCAACAAATTCAGAGGAGAGGCTACAGACCCCGTAAACAATAATACACATATACTGTCAGGCATAAACAGCAACAACAATAATACAGATATACTATAAAGCATAAACAGCAGTGGTGAGAAAAAGCAGCCTTGTCGTAGTCTACTTCCGATCTCAACCTCCTTCGATGTGTTTTTGTCCCATTTGATGATTACCTTGGATTCTGTTTATTTTCCGAATGTAAACAATGGTCACAATAGCGATGGCGCTAGCCACTTTATACCGAGTATTGCATTTTAATGCGAAAGCATTAACCATCCCATGGAGCAGAGCCGGCGGCGTCTGTAACTGCAAAACACATGAAAGGAATGCCCATTCTCCCATTGGCTGAGCAAAATGGCTCTTAGATAGCCATTGGCGGCCGCTTCACGAGAGCGCATGCCCGGCAATCTCGGCAGTAGTGAAACGTGGTCGTTCATGCCAGTACACTGCAGACAAAACTAAGAAAGTGGAAGGAACGACATTCATGTTTTTGCATTCACCACTCATAAGAGGTGCTTAGGTGTCCTCGGATTTTTTTCTTTCGGAGTTTCGCACATATTTTCGGGCCCCGATTTTGTCGAAAAAAAGTGTGCATTAGAATCGTGCAAACACGATAATGTAAAGATATGCCGAGCACACTGGTCAGAAACTTGTTCCAGGACCTCCGCCGCTGTCTCGGCATTCAGTCCTTGGCCTTACCTGTGGGTTGAGCTTGAGCTTGATGTTGTGGCTCATGCTGGCGTCGACGAGCCACCGGTCAGCCAGGCGGTTAAGACAGCGCTGGCCGTGCCAGTTGACCATGACCGGCACATTGGGCAGCAGGGTGGCAGTGAACAGGGGCCCCTCAATCGCCTCCAGGGCCTTCTTATTTATCTTGTACTCTGGGTCCTTGTGGGCCTTCAGGGAGAGCAGCTTGGACAGCAGGCGCTCATTGTCCCCCTCAGACTGCATGGCCACCTGCATATTTCGTCAGAGCTGATACGCAACTGGAGCATGGTGATGCGCTTCGTAGTCGAGCGAGACTCGCAGTATTTGACCATGAAGTATGTGCAGCCCAAGCAAGGCAGCTCTGTAGACACTGAGACTACTTTTTCAGATGTGCAAACAGTAAGGGGACCAGAAAAGCAGCTCAAAGGCAAAAGAACAAAAAAGACAAAATGTTTTGAGTGTTTATTTGACTTCTTTTTAACCTTCCGCGCTCTTTTCTTAGTCCAGATACCGCCGTGTGCTCATTCGAGAAAACCTTGTTGCAAGGGGAGTGTAGAAAAAAAAAAAGTCACATTCAAAGTTGATGTAGTTCCCCGTATAGCGCCAATTTTTAATACCTTCGATGCCCCAGTTTTTTTTCCCTTGTACCACCACATTTACAACTCTAGAGATAAATGTGCACGGGGCGAGCAGAGAAAGAAAAGAAAAGACTTCACATTTAGAAGATAAAGAAATTCCTAACTAATAAAACTTCGAAACTTTTTATACAACTCAAACACTCAAAAGTACTATTCAGCAAAACTTGTGCCCAGTGATGAGCCAAATCTGGTGAAGCTCGGATCCAGCAAAGTGCGGCACATGCCGAACCTTTGGAAGAAATTTCGGCAAATATTTGACAGATGTATGTGGGCGTGCCCAGGCAGACTGCGTAAACAAAGCAATAAAAAAAAGTGATAAAAAATTGCTGCAGAGTGGCAGTGTGTTAACCAACACTACTAGATCAACTCAGTTATGGACCTGCCCATAGATGTGGCTCCCACAAGCAGTACTCCCTCTCTCACCCAACAGTCTGCCTCCCATCGTTCCATGCGCCACAATTTTGGGGACGGCTGCTATGGTAACTGCAATGTATTCCATGGAATACACATGTTTTGGAGCAGAGTGTCCACATGGCACTTCACCATACTCCATGGCAGTGCTTCTCAACCACTGATGTTTCAGAGCCCCTTCTGAATCAGCGAAGTGATGGGGGACCCCATCCACTGGGGAAGAGGGGGGGATCATAGATGATTACGATGACAAAAGGGTAAAGAAAGAAAACTTAATTCATGCAAGTCACCTTTGAGGGCTTTACGGACCCTAAGAAAACCTTCGGGGACCCCTAAGGGGGACCCCCATTTGGAAATCACTGCCCTATAGTATACACTATTTTGCAACGGAACTCTAGCTGGTGCTTAAAACGACGGAAGGAGGAGGGGAAGGGGAGAGGTGGGTACCCCCTTCTATGGAAGTTCCACAACTGATGTACTAATCTAGTAATGCACTTGGCCATCACCAGCTCTCCCCAGACAAGGACCCCACCTGCAGAGCCCGGCAGTCGTCGTCCCTGGCTCCGTGGCGCAGCAGCAGGTCGACCATCTGCGAGTCCCTGTTGGCGCAGGCTTCCACCAGTGCACTGGACACTGAGCCCTGCCCCGCGTCCCTGATGGGCAGGTTGGCGCTGGCTCCCGCCTTGAGCAGCGCGGCCGCCAGCGCGTAGTGGCGCTTGCGCACCGCCACGTGCAGGGCAGTCTCCCGCTGCTGGTTGCAGTACAGGTCCACGCACAGCGGCGAGATCTGCACCTCCCGGGGCGGTGGCTCCCCGCCTGACGCCAGGTTCAACCGCGTCACGATGCTCTGCACCCGCGTCTTTGGCGGAGCCTCGCCCTGCCGCGGCGAAGACTGCTGCGCGTCTTCGGCCGTGAGCACCTGCCGCGGAGACCGTACATTGGGCAAATCTACGGACTCCGCGGAGACCGTACATTGAGCCAGTTCACGTTACTCAATAATTAATGAAACTCCCTACACTGGGAACAATGCACGTGCGAGGACGCGACACAATGTATGTGTGATCCTCATTCTCGAGGTCTCGTTCACCATAATACTTTAGCGATTCAAGCTGTTAAACGGGCTGCTTTTTGAGCGTTTCAGCGCTAGGCATTTTTCTTCGAGAGAATTTTGAAATGAGTTAAGTGACCAATGCCTGCGTATTAAAACCCTTTGCAAAGCAAGAAATGGCAGCAGCAATGCTGACTTTACCCCCAAAAGAAATGCCTTTTTAATTTCTATATTTACTTGTTTGGGTCAACTCTAGAAAAGATAATACTCTGGGTTAAATTACGTTGTTGATAAGCAGCGATGCCTTGACTAGCACTTTCGTTCCAAATTAGATACTGCCACTCTCACTGAAGCTAAGCATACTCTTTGTCGAAAGAGCAGGCATTTCAGTCTCATTTGGTTGCTTCACCTAGTGCAAGGACTTTAAGATCAAGCTCAGTTTGGAAGCCAAGGATTACGGTATATCACGAACAACTAAGATTGTTCTATCTATCTACACCTTCGAATGCCTCTAGGATTTAAGTCTATGCCCTAATTGCAACATAGTTGCGTGTTACGCAAAAATATAATTATAAGTATACTTAATTTGCATAGTGTAAGCATTATCGTCAATTTTTTTTAAGCTTTTTCTCGAATACCTATCCTTAAGAGTGTTAAAACAATTGTTCCCTACAACACTGCAAGTTTAATATTGCATACTGTAAGCATAATGCAAAGCCTACTCTGCTGCAAGCCATGGTTCCACGACTCTCCCAACAAAAACAACTTGAGCGTGGTAACTGTTCTCAAGTTCTGCGAGACATTAAAGGATTAATCCGGAATCCAAAACTTTTGAATGTTTCCAGATTCCAGGGTCAGCTCATTTTAAACATTTTTAAGACAGTCCAGTGGAAAGCGCCTTCCACGCTGGGGCACGCAAAAGCACAAAATGCTGTCTTCATGTGCAACTCTGCTTGAACTACCACTTTGGCAGTGCTTTCTCCTGAACCATTAAAAAAAAAACACTGAAATTAAAAAAAAAAAAACATTTTTTTAAAAGATCTAGTGGGACACACATACCTTTTTTATACATAAGTTTAAAAAAAAAAATGGAGCAAATTTTACACTGCTAGAAGCAATTTAAGTGGGGGTAGCCCCGCTCTAGGTACCGCCCAGTGCACGGCTAGCTAAGCACCTTTCCTCGGCTCTCATTGGGTGGGTGGAGAGATGACCGACATGTAAAACGTTCATTGCAAGGTCGTTTCATTGTGCCGTGGTAGTCTTTTATTCTACTTCTTTTTATGTTTCAAAAACAAACTATATAGATACAGTCATTATAAAAATATCACGAGATCCGTTGTTTCCGTTTTGGTTTCAAAAATAACAAACATGGCTGTCGGTGTTTGTGGCAAGCGTTTGACAAACTGCACAGCTAGTTGAGCTTGCCTGTTTTTAGGAGTGCGAGTCGTTTCACATTCACGAAGAGTTTAGTGGATGATTTCCTCAACCGATGTAGTTTGCAGCAAACAACTGTCACAAGTACTTGCCTTTGAAAGACTGTGCCGGTGCTTGTTTTCGTAGCAGAAGTGGCGCAAGCCTAGCGTCCCACGTCAGCTATTTTGCTCAATGTGGCTCAATTAGTTCTTTTGGGGGTTTTATGCTAAATAAATGTGTCGGTTCCCTTAAAAGCGACTGTGCTACTCTGAGAATCATGCAGCTGCCGTGATCGCGGCCAGAGTTTGAGTACCGAAAGGTGACCTACACAGGTAAGAATTTGCGAGCCATTTGGCTGGAAAAAATCAGGTGTTCACTTCGTGTCAGGTTTGTCCAGGTATGCTTTTGTCATTTCGCTCTGGAAGACACTTAGCTCTCACATTTTGAGCAGTGCACCTGGCTTGCTAAAGAGAATGTTTTTAGGTTGCATTTTAATGGTGCGTCTTGACGCTCAACCACCTTGTCCGCGGATGCCATGCGAAAAAAATAACAAGAACAGTAAAGCTAAAAAAACTGCATATTAACTTTTCTTTTTTTTAGTCCTTTCGGTTGCTTATTATCCCATATCGTCAGATGTTGACAGACACTTGCAATGGACGGTGGCTCATGCACGATGGATCGCTGGAACGCCACTTTCACGGTCGCGTCTTGCGAGGGTTGCACGGGTTTTTAGACGGGGGTGAAATAGCAGACGGACGAAGACGAAAACGGACGCCGACACGCAGCTTTCATGTCTGTGTCCTATGGGCACTGCAGACTAGATGGTGGTGGAATAGCAGACGAAGCCAGAGGCTGCCGCACGTCTCGCAGGCGGTGTCGGACGCCAGACCAGATGGACAGGATGTCGCGAAAGAGAGACACTAGGCTTTTTAGAGTGTTCGGCCAAGCTGCCAAGCCAATCCAGTAGTAATGGACGGGCCAGCGATCTGTGGGTGGGGCTTAAAGCGGGCCGTGACCCCCCATCTAAATCCTGTCTAACAATGTAAATATTTTGCAAAATATCTCTCTTGCATTTGTAGGAAAAGCGATTTAAAAAAAAAGAAGTGTCCCTTTTATGCTTTTTGAAAAAAAAAGAAAAGAAGTCTTTTTTTACATTCCAGTAATTTTTAAGAGAGAAGCCATTTTGAGAAAGTGAGCTCTGGGTTCACAATTCGAGATCCATCGAGCCCATCGGAGTGGAAGTGCTTGGGGCTGACCTGTTTTCCCCAGACGCGGAAGCGCAGCAGGCAGTCGACCAGGCGTTGATTGCCCAAGCAGGCGGCCATGTAGAGGGCCGACTGCCCCGTCACGTCCTGGGCGTTCACGTCGAATGCCAGGGTATACTCCCACCGGCCGCTGGGGTCCACAAAGAGTTGCAGCACCCGTGACGGGTACGAATGGGAAAGCAGCAGCTCCAGGATGGCCACGTGGCCACTCAGCGCGGCCGCATGGAGGGGAAGCCAGTGCTCCATTGTGGGCTCCCGGATCAGCTCCGGAAAATGCTGCCAACAAAATCGCTGCATTGGTCGCGTCACCGACGGTTGATATCAGGGTACCGTCATATCCTGACGGTGCATTTTTAGTTATCTATTTATTCCCTTAAGCACCTCCAGGCTTGGAGCCACTTAAAAGGGAAGAGGGTTACGTAATAAAAAATGCGACAAACAAAACACGATGGCGGTCGCAGCTGGTGTAGAAAGAACATGGAGTCTCATGGGGCAGACAATGTTTCTCTAAGAGAGTTAGCTTCTCCTGCTTGAAGGAAATGTGTTGGCTGCCACTCTGAGGCTTCCAGGAAGTTCCTTCAAGCGATTGTAACTACCATGAAATACCGAGCAAGCGCCCACTCAAAATTTGAAGATAATCGCGAAAAAATAAAGGGTGGGTGCATATGAGTTCAACAATTTTACATATATACTGTAGAATACCGCGTATCCGCCCATTCCACACTAAGCGCCCATTCCCAAATTTGTAAGATCTGAGAAAATATGCACAATACATTGATATGTAAAACTGATGACCGGACAAGCGCCCATCTTCCACTTTTCGTGATTATCTCTAAATATTGAGTGGGCGCTTGCCCGGTATTTTACCATATGTACTGTGCATATTTTTTCAGATGTTTCAAATTTTGGGGGTGGGCACTTAGTGCGGAATGGGCGGATGCACTGTATTCTATGGTAGTTATACAAGCAGCAACAATTGAAGGTAATACAAATGTCTGGAGGGATCAATATAAGAATTACTACTAATAGCAATTCGAGTATAAGGATTTCGATCGTGGCTGCAGCAGATAGGCGATTCTGACATAGAAAAATAATAAAAAAAAGAGAATGACAAAAAAAAACACGAAAAATTGAGTCGCAGGATGAAATTCTGTTTCTTGAGATATAAAGGGAAAGTCATTTTCAAAGCTGAAGGACTGCCAAATGTTGTACAATCCTATCTGTACATCTGTACTGCCTGATGCTGCTGCAACACACATGTAGTACCTAATGCAAAATACAGACCTGTCTACCAATCTGAACTGTATGGACGACCAAGCATGCACTGTCGAGAAAATAATGACATCTCTCACACGACGTGTAGTAAATACAGTAAATGACAAAAATCTATGAAACAACTAAATGACAATTCTTGTGCCCAGTGTAGGCAAGCAGTTCTCTATTTCAGAAAGCTTACCTATTTACTCCCCTTTAGTACTCGTTTTGGACAAAAGGGGCACCCAGGGAGAGACAGCGAGAGTACTACTACAACATACAATCTGGAGTGAAACAGCAAAAGGTATACCAACGTTACTAAAACACTCAGTTGGGAAACTTGCTGTCGAAACCTGGGCCGCTGGCGTCCACCGAGACCGAGCTAAATGCGACAACAGCGCCACTCTTTTTCGTTTGTCTGTACTATGGTCACCTCGAGCTTTTTGAAAGCCTGTTTTTGCGTAAAAACAAACGGAAAAGACTCTTTTGTATGAAATTTATAGGAGTTTAGTACCAAATGATGGGCGCGTGATGTTTTTATCATCTTTAATTCGCAAGGTTTTGCGGAACAATTAATATTGTTTTTATACAACCATGCCTCAGCGGGCCTTTCGGGTGGCGCGTCCCGACCTAGGTGCATTTTAACTTCGGTAGTTGAACGCGGCGCGTCCGCCGGGGAGACGGGGATGGCACCCCTGTAACCTCCACCGCTGTATCTGTTCTTTAGCGCCAAAGTAGAAGTCACGTGCAGTTCCTCGAGTGGCCGCTGTGGGAGAAATGGTGGCGTTGTGATCGTCATTAGCTCGGTGCTCGGAGACAGATTGGGGCCACTTTTTCAAAGCTGTCTCTATGGGAGTTTCCCAACTGAGTGTTTTAGTAACGTTGAGGTATACTAATATACAGTATAGACCACTTACAACGTAACCGCTTATAGTGCAGGACCGGGTATAACGCGGTTTTTTTAAACCACCGGTTCGCCTCCCATAGAACTCCATGTAATTACATACCGCCTAAAACGCAGGCGCGCTACGGGAAATACCGGTTATAGTGCGGTTTCTGGCACAGCCCGCCGACCGCGCCGACGACCGGAGCAGCGAGCACGCTTCCCTGTGCGACACTAGATAACGGCGCTGACGGCGCGTGCCGCAAGCGTTGCGCAAGCGTTGCGCAAGCGGCACTCGCGGGGCAAGGAGGGTGCTCGAAGAAGCGGGAGAAGCGAAGAGAGAGGCTTCAGTTGCCCTAGCGACGGAGGGACGCACGCACGTGTCGTTCACGTGCGTGCGTCCCTCCACTGCGTTGGAAACCAACAACCGCAACGACAGGAGAAGTGTTCGCGCGCGTTGCATGCCCGTCGCGGGCCGGCTGCTTCTATCCGCGAACAAGGCGTCGGTTGTGATCAACGTTGTGATCGTCGTCGTAGACGGCGTTTATCTCATCGTTCCGCGTAAAAGCGCTATCCTTGACTGTGAATTTTCGTCGTGTGTCGCTATGATAACCCGGCACGTATTAGAAGAGAAGATCCACCTACTCGAGCGGCGATGTCGTGGCGGCGCTCTCAAGTCGGCAGAAACGCCCGTGTCGTCGTGTTTGTTTACTTCGACTACAGTGGTGATTTCTAAGCATTTGTGTCCTCGAGCATCGCCCGGATTTCTTATTTGGCGCATTTCATGCGTGTGCTCAAGTGCAAGGTATTACTGGCGCGTACCGTATGAAGGATGCGAATTTTCACGCGTTTTCATCTCCGGAGAAAAGTGATTAGGGTTAGCAATCCTGAACGCTCGCAACACCCATCCGCAACCCGCGACGCCGCTAAGAGGCTGCGCCAGGCAAAAGCCGCTCATTTGTTTCAAAATGTGTGACACACTTGAGAGAGAAGTGTATAGTCTGGTGAAATGAAGACTTTCCTCAAACTAAGCTTTATTTTTCGTCTAAGATAAAATAAATTCTTTTACAAAGGTAAGTTGTCTGATGGCATGTATTTTGGCCTAAAAAATTGATGTTTTGGTTATAGTGCGGTACCGCTTATAGTGCGGATTTTCGCGACTCCCGCGACATACGTTATATGCGGTCTACACTGTATTGTAAAAAGGTTTCAACATGGCAGCATAGGAGCATAGGACACTCAAAGCAATGTGACCACTTTCCAGTGGATTTTCATCTGGTCGTAGAACTTTGCTCCCTACCTTAAAGTGAAACATAAAAGTGCTTAACTGTCAGTGAAGAACAGTGGAATGCACTGTATAGACCCCGCAATAAAAAAAAGAAAAAAGGAGAGTACCTCAAGAAGGATGCGCACAATGTCCTTCCTTCCATAGTAGCAGGCAATGTAGAGTGGAGAGTACTGGGTCACCGGGTGGATCCTGCCGTCCGCCCCAAATTCCAGAAGGAGATTCACAATGTCCTTGTGCCCGTCCTCACAGGCCCTGCAAAGATCGATGCGGGACGATTCCAGACACGGGTCCTTTACTGAAGCTCAGCAACAAAGAGAATCGGCCAGGGATTCGGGGAGGTGGACGCAAGAGCCGAGCTGAAAGTTCCTTGTGTGGGACTCACTTGTAGAGAAGCGTGTTGCTTCCGCCACTGATGCTGTTGACGACCGACTCTGCCTGAGATCCCAGCTGCTCGAGCAGTTTCCTCGACCCTTCCACATTTCCGGAGGAACATGCAGACGCGAGGCCTGCAAGGACACCAGATAAAGTTGTCGAACGAGTCTTGAAAATAGGCTTCTCAATACGAGGCCGGAGGAGAACGTGGTACTGGGTACCTTTCCTTGTCAGTGCCAACGCACCAAAGTGATTTTCTGCACTGTTTACAGGTAAAAAGTAAAAGTTGACTCGTGTGGACACCAGTGCCAGTAGACAAAGTATGCCGCAAAATTTTAGCTCTCATCAAGAAAATCCTGGAGCTATGTATCTCTCAATAAAGTTTGGATTCCAGCTTTAAGTCCAGAAATTCAGAAGACACACCATAAGACAGAGGTGGTCACGACACCTTAGAAGGATTCAGCTTCCACAGGTAGGAGATCAGGATAGCGTCAGACATGAGTCGAACAAGAAATATGGACTCGTTGTAAGACCAGATTTCATACTTTTACAAGAAACAAAAAACAATAAATGCAACTACTATGTCGGGTCTTTTTAATTAGAGGTCCTTGAACTCTTCCAGCACTGCAAAGAGCCTATTTTAATTGTGCTCCCTCCAGCTCATCAGTGAAAGCTTTGAATACAAGCCCTTAGCTTGGTGAAAACATTCCACTATGGATGTGCTCGAATGAAGGAAGCACGTTATAGCCCTCTGATCAAACTAAAATGCTGTAGAGAAACAACCAAGCTAGGAGGGCATAAGTGCACTCGCAGCTAGGGCAGGTTCTCTCACTCACGCAGCTTTGTCTAAATTTCTAGCAAAGTTAACATCACCTGACAAGCCAGGCCGTTTTCAACAGTGAGGGGGCCAACCGGAAGAGTAGTGACTCACCGGCATATGTCTCCTGGCGTTTCTGTTCCGCTTGATCTGTGTCGGAGATAGTGACAACAATGAGTGAAACGACTTCACAATCCCCATTTCCACGAGCAAGCTTGTTGGCGTTCTTGCCCGGGGGCCACAAAAAAAAAAAGCCCGCTTGCCTGCGGCACATCGCAGCAGTTCCACCACCTGGGCATGGCCCGCTCGGTCGGCTATGTCCGTTGCCGTGAGGCCGTCCCCATCCAGAGCCAAGAGGTCCGCTCCATACTCCAGTAGCAGCTTCACTGTCGAGGCATTGCCCAGTTCGGCCGCAACGTGCAGCGGAGTCTGCCGCAGAAGGAGGAGCGACCCATCGACAAATTATCTCCTCGCTGCCCTGGTGCTCAGACCTATCACTGTGTGTACCAACAATAAATTTTGCAAAGAACCGGACGTGCAGATATCATTTCTCAAGCAAGGGCAAGGTGGATGTGCCCCTAACAATCTAAAAAACCGAAGTAGGTCAGAATTTGCTTGACTAGGGTATGCTATATGCTTGGCTAGGGTAGCTATCAAACGAGTTGAGTCAGGAGGGTGTTCCGTTGAGTGTCGTAAGGCGCCTTGACTGTCTGTGCATATGGTGATGTGATTTCCAATCTTGTGTTGCTGGATGGCTTCCGTGATGACCTGGATCTCCAGTGCCGTTGACGTAGGGTGTTAAGAGTGTTGATGAGTGGACTTAAAATACGAGCCTACTACTGCGGTGGTGACATATTTTGACTCGCTGCTGTCCCGCGGCAAACGAGTGCCGTAACATATCTATGGTAATATTCAAACATGTCTTAATTTTACAATTTTGAGGCATTTTTACAGTTTGCACACAAGACTTCTTGTTCTTGATATTGTTCTAGGACAACTAAATTTGGCATGCATAAGCCCAAGGATATGTAGAACGCAACTATCAAGGTTTAATTAGAATGTACGGTATTAAACAAGTTTTGTTAGCTCTTTGAAAATGGTGCTTTTGCAATTTTTATTTATTTTAAAATAAAAGAGTTTTTATACATATTATTTTTGTTGTTCATTGCACTCAGTGGTTTAAAAGTCGCCATGCCCCACATGTACACAAGAAAATTTTTTCTTGGCACGTGCATTGCGTCTAGAACACAAAAGACAAGCTACATAAAAATGAACAATATATTTACGGAAAGAAGATCAAGCACCAGAGACTGAAAATTTCATTCAGTTATCACAAATATATATATATTTTTTTTTTTAAGTTTTCTTTGGCACATGTTTTCTATGTCATGCTGTGTTCGTAACTGCCAATTAAATATTCATAGCATTCTAGTTATAATTCGGCCCCCATCAATGTGCGCACTCCACACAAGCTGCCTTTATGATACGAGCAGAAACAATACCGTCAAATTTGCAACCTACGGTACATATCATTGTAGAATTACTCGAGACTGCGATGACTACAGAAAAACATGAGGAAGAAGGAAAGATCTCAAACACAGCTGAATTTTATTGCCACAGTCCTTACATTGGTTTGGAACTAAAAAAAAACAAAGTGAAAAGGGGGAACGACACTCTCTCCAGGACAAAGCAACCATGGAACTGAGAATCTAGTTTCCGGGCACAAACATTGAGTTTGGATTCTCAGTTCCATGGTTGCTTTATCCTGAAAAGGGTGTCGTTGGTGGGTTCCCCTTTTCTTTATTTCCCCCTTTTCTTTTTGTTCAGAACAAATATAAGCAGATTTTGTGACAATAAAATTGACCTGTGTTTGAGACTTCCTTCCTTCTTCCTGAAGTTCTTTTGTTGGCAGCACAGTCTCAGCTAATTCTATAATGATGAACTTACACCAGCTCATTTGCGCCGTCACGTTTTGTTCATAAACCCAAATATTGCCACGTGCATCTCCGAGTAAGCGCACACGGGCCGAATGGTTATCGTGCTTATCTCGGATGCAATGGGCCAAGGTTTGATGCCTGGGAGTGGAGGCACCTCTTTTTTTTATTTCTGCAAATGTCGCTTTCTGATAAATTCGAGAACCGTGTTGCTTGTTCAAGGTCTAAATGTTCTACGCACCGAACCTTCAACGCCGATTGTTCCAGAAGCCCACGCATGTACATAAGGGGCTCCGCGCAATGAGCCAGTGTCAGTCTTTCGCCAGCGCTTGACTCTGCGTTCGTGCCGACATTCGATACCCGCGACCCTGTTCTGTTACCTTCTGTTATTCTCTTTTTCGTTTGGCACAGGTTTGCCGATTAAATTTTTATTTTCAGTTCATTTTCACTGCCGTCGGACAAGAAGGCCGTAAGAAGATTCCTAAGCCTTACTACCTCCTATAGGCGCTTTGTCTGTGACTTCGCCAAGCACAATAACCATTCGGCCACGGGCATGCTTGCTTGAAGACGCGCATGGCAATATCTTATCACAAAACTATGATAGCAAGCTATGTCATGTGTTACGATAGTAGATTCAAGGCTTATAAAAAAAACTTATATAGGTATGGTTTGTTCCTTCATAAACCTCACCGTGGCAACTTTTTAATTTTTTTATTGTAAATTGCAAACGGAAAAAAAGAACAAAAAAAAAAGCAAATGCTTACCTTGCAGTGATGCCGAGAACCGCAAGCCATGTTGGGGTTTGCTGGGAAGATCAAGGGAGATTTAAACAGGGGTGTTAAGTGTAAACTACATTGAGGACAGCACAAGTGCAGACTTGGCAGCAGTGGCAAAGATATGTGACGAGAGAAAGGTTACCTCCAGTCTGTAGGAGGACTCTTGTGCATGTTTCGTCGCTGTTAGTGGCGGCGCCATGAAGAGCAGTCCGTCCGTGCATGTCGGTAGCATTGATGAACCGGACCTGAAATTGCCCCTTTCTCTTAATAAGACCAATTATGAATCACTACGAAAGGTGCGAGGCCACCACATTGTTATCTACCTGCCAGTACGTATAAGGCATCCCTGGGAGGAATGTAAAAATAAGACACACCGCATAAATCACCTGTTCGTCAGAGCGACACACCATTTCGCATGACTGCCCTCAGACGAGTGATGAAGGCCAAGGAACAATGAAAGAATGCCTCATGAGCTAGTGGGAGAGTTGTATGCTGGACTATCCAGGTGTGAAGCATCAATATTGTCATTCCAGAAAGCCTGGAGATAAGGTGTATGCCTCCCAATCTCGGTAAGGGCGTTTTCGACTGAAGCATCTGATTTTTGCAAAAAAACTGTTAAGATGACAAGCACATTCAAGCGAAAGGATACTTGCCCTTTAGGGCAGTGCTGACTTGCATATTTTACGCTCTGCCTCTCCTTAAAGGTGCACTAAAGACGTTTTGAGATTGTCTGTTCCTGGTGATAACTTATCTCATGGACTACAAGCATCCTAGAAATCCAAAAATTATGCTTGTGCAACGTCTATTTCCCTGCTAAAAATGTGATAGAAGTTTGTGCCACACCTCTTTATCAGCAGGAGGATCTGGAGCACAAAATCCAGCGGAGGCACCGGCGGCATAACGCCAGGCGAGCGTCAGCTGGTCACAGGCCCCTTCCGAGAGAGATGGCTCGCGACTGGCTGACGCGTGCCCGTCGTCACGTTGCCGGCGCTTCCGCTGGATTTTGTGCTCCAGATTTTTCAGCTAAGAAAGGAAGGTGGCACAGACTTCGATCACATTTTAAAAGGGAAATAGACGTCGCACGAGCATAATTTTTCGATTTCTGGGATGCTAAGATCCTGTAGAATCGAAACCAATTAAAAAAAGAAGAGCTATTCCCAGGGTATTTTCGTCAAGTTGAAAGTATGCAGTGATCTGAATCTCGCAAACCCAAGGTTGGGCTCCAATAAAGGCCTTACCCAATTGCAACAAAAAAATTAAACTGGGCTAGTTAACACATAATTTCGAAACGATAAGCGCCAAGAATATAAGATAAGGTGAGCAAACTGCAAACCGTTACTTTCAACATTCGCCGAGCTCAGTGTATCAGCAATCCACGTCAGTATACCAGTGTTGCGGAGTTACCACTTTGGAGTTGGTATGATTCCAGAATCATTCCGCACTTTCGCGATCCTGGAACGGAATGGTGGCAGCGCTGGGGGGACTGGAATGGGAATGGAATTAGGTACCTTTTGCCTGGAATGAAGTGGAAATGCAATGGGATCGGATCTTATACAAGCAGAGTCAATTTGCATCTAGGGTCTATGGGTTGAGGGGGCAATTTGCTAGAGCATGGAAAGTCGCTCTTGAAACAGCATCATTGCACTGGAGGTGACCGACGGCTTGATTGTCCCACTGGCTTATGCTCCTCTGAGAATAAAAATGGTGTGCCCTCAGTAAAACAACCATAACTGCAGTTGCAAGCGGGCAAGCTGTCATTCCTAGCGCTGCCAGACATGACAAAGCAGCTGTTGTAATCATGTAGGATTAACATGTAGCTTTTAACCAGGGTATCGAACCGAACCCGAACCTAAAAACATAGTAAACCGTTATTTTTAACTGAACCAGAACAAAAATGTAACCAAAATGAAACATTTGATATTGAACCTAAACCGGAACGGAACCTTAATCTCATGTGACGGTTACCGGTTCATTGGAAACGGTTCGGCGCAATAAAATGCGAGTCAGGCCTTCTTGCTGGTGGCGGTGCAAAGCCAATGAAATATTTGTGACAGTGGTGTCAGCGGCTAAGTTTTGACTAAACAAATGGCAGCGATGACATGGAGACAGCTCAATAAAAATGAAACAAATAAGTACACTTCGTGCAGCATGAATTGGCCTCTGCGAGTCGGCACAGAGGCGTATACTTTTATACATTGTTTTATTGTACGGTGGACTGCAAAGGGGACGCTATAAGCCACTGGAGCCAATTTATAGCTCAGCGGAAGTCACGTGACAAGCTACGAACTATGGATTGGCTCGTGTAGTTCGTAGCACCCATCACGGTACATTGTAAGGTGAAACGGAGTATATCTGACTATGGCGAGAGGCTAAAGAGCCATTCTTTGTGTGTTGTGTGTGTTTGCTTGAGTATTTTCTTTTCTTGCTGCTAAGCAATATTCCTCAAGGAAGGAGAATGCGAATATAGACGTAGAAATATAAACAAAAAGTTGACGCCTGTCAGCGCGTTTGTTTCGCGTTGGCGAAACCTCAAGGTGCCAAGAGGCGAAGCCGCGACACTACAGCGCCGGGACGCCAGTCGCCCAGAGCCCTAGTAGAAGATTTTGTGTGTGTCTGTGTGTGCGCGCTTTCTAGAAACAGCAAGTTGCCCATTGTCTTTTTTTGTTTTAAATGTCTTTCGAGCGGCCTTCGCTCTCATTCTTCTCTTCAACTCAGTCATTCAAACAAGTTGTTCAAGCGTGCAATGTAAGTAGATTGCCGTTTCATTCTGGATGCGTACCGGCGTGCGGTTGTGCCAGTACTGGATGATTCCCATTAAAGACCCCAGGCTAGCACTTGTACTGCCCTGGCTAAATTTCTCATCCACACTGGATAACAATGTCGCCATACTCTGTCAGACTAAACAACCAATGACTAATATGTCTTTGTGGATAGTTTACAGTGTCACGGTGTCACTGCGCGTGCTGACTGATTGACTTCGCATGCGAGTTCTGCAATTTGGTACGGTTTCCAAGCGCCTTTATAACCCCGTAATTTCCATAGAATGGTGTTTGAGTTAAATGTTCAAGATCACAAAACGAGATTAAGCACATATTTGTATTGCTGTCCTTGTTTTTGCAGGTTTAATTTTTTTTAATGTTGATGACGCCGTGTTCAACTTCCCTGTTTTTCTCAACGATTGGGAGCTGGGGACTTTTTTAAAGAACCGGTTTGAATTAGATCGTGCTAGGTGGGACCGGTAACTAAACCTATATTTCAAAAACATCGCTGAACCAGAACCGAACCGGAACAAAATGCTGAGCTACTGAACCCAAACCGAACCGGAATAATGATTGGTTCGACTCCCTGCTTTTAACCCAGTCAAACTTCTAGTGTTTGCGTAGAACACAAATAAAGAATTGGATTGAATATGTTAAGACACTGCAAGAATCTACAACAAACGTAAGCAGGTTCCATGTAATATGGTGCTATAGACCATTGTCCTAGGGCGGTATACCGATTGCACTTTGTCAGCGGTCTGTCGTTCTTGCCGCAGAGCATGAACATTTGGGACAGGTATACACAGCATCGCTTCTAACAGCACACTAGCGGTGCTGTTGTGCAAGTATTCGAAGCAGAGAGCAAAGTAGCTTCTTTTTGCACCGTGCACGAAGTAGACATTTTTAAGGCCCTACCAAAAATATCTGTAGAGGGCATGCGGTCTGTTTGCGAAGAAAATGAGAGGTTTTAATATTTGGCGTAAAATAATAATTGAGGTTGTGTGGATATTTATACAGTGTGTAGTTGGTGAGCCATTTCAAAGTTGAGATGAGTCACTCGCTGTAGATGAGCAATTTAGCCAGTGCAGTACAACCGCTGCTAGCCTGGGGTCCTTAACATGCACCACGTAGTAGTGATAAACGACTGTATGCCGGTACGGTGCTCATCCAGATCGAAACGGGCAGGGGTGGGGACTAAACCCAGGATGCCTTGGTTCTGCAGGGCGAGCTTTCGCTCCTCGTGCTCCGAGCTGGTGTGCGCTAGACCACTAGGCCACCGATCCCCCAATTTTTGGCGTCTGTTGCGACTCGCGAGCCTTTTATGCTTGATCGCGCGATTAATGTCTGAAGTGGCATCGATCCCACTTCCTTCTATTCCTCACTTGCTAAATCATATAGCGTCGCTAGAAATTCATATCATGTCACATATAAAAATTGCATTGCTAACATGGCATAAAAATGCACATTGTTTATTTGTTTGTTAGTCTATTTTGGTTATTTCTTTTTACGTTGTCTGCCATGTAGGGGTGCAGAGAACTTGTCAAGCTGTATTCAAACAGCTTTTCCCTCAATATCCATCAAGCGTGATGGAAAATAAAGATGATTTGATTTTCCACTAGGTGCCACGAAGCGCTTTGTGCGACCACCCTTTCGTTTACCAGAATGAGTGTTTTGAGGAAGCTTTTGCATACTTTTGCAGTCGTCTCTGCATTTCATAACGTCAGAAGCTTGATGCTAGGTACTTTTTCCAGTAATTACACAATAAAGCTGTCAATGGGCTTTCTTTTTTTCTTTTTTACTTTTAGGAATTAAAGCAGTGGAGTGGTGGAGTTCAGCCATTCCAGGAGTGGGAATGGGCAGAATGTCTCCATTCCTAGGAGTTGAAAGGAATGCATTGTAGGAAACTCTAAATTGAATTGGAATGGGTGCCCATTCCGCAATACTACAGTATACATCTCGACGATACGAATTTAGAAAATAAAGCGTAAATTCATTTTTTGTTAAAAAAAGCCTAACCGTAAGTACGGAGCGCGTGGTGTACTCTCCACTTCCGTCCCGGTAACAGTGACGCTTATCGCTTCAACCTTACCTGTTCCCCGTTCAGCAGATCTTCTACGAGCTCCGCGTTGCCCCAGAGAGCAGCCTGATGAAGCAGTTCGCCCGGATATCCCTCCTGGTCGTCATCATCGGCCATTATACGCTACGGTGGTGCAGGGAAGACGCCGATAGAGCAAATCCTGAGCCCCTGGAGCGAAGCGAAACCCTCGCTTCATTGGCAGCTCCCAAGTCGCGTCTTCTCAGCCCCCGACATGATCGCAGCTGCCGTCTTCACCGAAGCTCGATTTATCGCAATCAGAGACGGAGATGAGCAGTGAGCCCGATTATCGAATCCTGAAGACAGCAGAGTTCACCAGGGCGTAACGGTAAACGCGCACGGTTTCCACACTCCATGTCCTTGAGCTTTGTAGCGGTAAGAAGCGAGCGGGGACACCGATCTCGCTAGGCCCTAGCCATCGGTCAGGTACCTTGGCTGAAATTTTCGATCAGCCTTAGCTTCGCGGCTGTAATGAGACAACGAACGCGTGACCATCAAAGCTTTACACCGATTAACAATTTAACACCGAAACTACTCTTCCACAAATCTCGCTTACAATGTTTGCAGCAGCCGTGCTTCTGCCCACAAAACTTCTCCAAAACAGTAGCAACACTACCCGTACTCATATAATTTTCTCACTAATCAAAGTTCTAAAAAAGTTTATTTTAATAAAAATTAAGTTTCTGTTTTGACGTTTTCTTAAAAAGTCTTGGTTTATTTTGCCACAAAAAAAGTTTACAACTTTTATGAGTGGCTTTGATTTTTGATACATCCTGTCCAGACGCATCCAAATCCAATAAAAAAATCATGAAGGCGTTGTTGTTGTTACTCGGGTGAGTGGGTGTGAGGCCCGATCATCGGTGGATGATCGCAGGCCTGGGCCCGATAAGTATACACCATCGGAAGACTAAATTATCCGGGACAAGCTTCCGTCCAACACAGAGCAGCGGTCCACACCAGGCCAGAGCCCGGCACGTCGATTCTCCATCCGGTAGATCCCTGCTCGTGTGCTTGTCAGGTGGAAGGCTCCAAGTGTCATCAGTGTCGAAGGACAAACAGTTCAAAATCATTCCAGTTTATTGAGGACCGAGAAAAATAGAGCAGTAATCAAAACATCTGCCGCCGACTACGTCGTATTTTTCAGTCGTTGCGTGTCTGTGCTTTCTCGTTGGCACTGACTGCTCCTTGTAGCACACCACCCTCCACAACATCAACAGTTTTGATCTTTTTTTTTTTTTTATTTGAGGCACAGCAGTTTAATAATGGATGACATTGAAGTGAAGGAGGGCTACCTGTGCCCAATCTGCGTCAAGGACTTGGGGACTATCGAAGAGCTGACCGCTCACTTCGAAGCCGCCCATTCCGCAGAAGAGAAGGACGTGCTCCAGTCTCTGAAGGGCCTTATTGGTAAGAACCCTTCAGATTCGAGCACCGCCGGTCATTTCCATTTCCTTCTTTGAGGCAAAACGGTTGAATCATGAGACACTAGAGTGCTGGAACGCGTCTCTGACTGGTGTACTTGAATGTACCCCAAAATAGCAACAAAATATGTCACAGGAGCTATGATGTAATGACCCTTGTGATTGGTTGTAATTGTGCCGGTGAACAAGGCGAGTGGACGCAGGCATTGCTGTCGTCATGGCGTACCAACTCCTGGCTGCAGATATTTTCGTCGACTGTGAATTTGCCGGCTGCAAAGCAGGGCGAGTTGCATCAGGGCAGACATATCTGTCAATCCTCCTCCACTGATGTGCTGCTGCTGGGATCTTGGCGATCGACAGCATTACACTTTTGTGACGTCACCGGCCTAAGTCGGGGAGAGAAAGACGCAGTAAATGCACCAGTTAGAGATGCATTCTAGGCACCCCCATGTTCTAACTTCAGGCTGATACTGCAGGGCGTGCAAAACGAAAGATCCTCAAAGAGAAAGATCTGGGTGACAGCCGTGCCGAAGAGGACGACAACGGACCTGACAGCTTTTCCAGGCTCAACTGGGACTATCAGGAAATTGGTATGTGATGCACAGTTCTTTACAAAAAGACTGCTGTCATTCCTTAACTTCCATGATTAGACGAGCTCAAGCAGCCAGATCACTCTCGAGTAAAATTGGCACAGATCTTCTCGTGTTTCAAATGTGTTCTCTGGCCAGACCTTCAAAAAGGAACCTCCCGGAAGACATGAGAGTGGTAGCCAGCACTTGGGTTTTGAAAAGGCTAAGTCCCTGAAAGAAACATTAACTGCCACTCTGAGACTTCCAAGGGAAGTTATCTTCCGAGTTTATCTTAGCAACTTGGACTGTCCCTGTGACTTGATGTGTTCCTTTTGTCAGGCGCGACGCAGAGGCACACAGAGGCCTTTCGGAGCATCAGGTCCCAACGTGTGGAGCGGTATGTGAGCCAGACCAACAAGCTGCTCATTCGTCTCGGCAAACTGCTCTCGGACGCTCCTGCTGATCCCGAAAAGCGTAAAGGTGAGCTGCGCAGGCTTATCTTCCCATAGATTAGAGTCCACAACTTTGATAGAAGAAGTTTCAAAACTGGTCGGAGTATGATTCAGAAGTAGTGAGGAGGTAGTAACTGTTTCCATCTACTGGGATTACTATTTGTTTACTTGTTATCTTATATTTTTTAATTTGTTTGCCGAGCAGTGTTGTCAGCCTTCACCTGAGGACTAACAACATTGTCTGCATTCAAGTGATAAGTGGCAGTTTAAATACATATTTGCATTGAAGTTGCCAATGAAATAACGTACATCAGCATGATGCTACTCAGAGTTGTACAATTTACGCTAGGGGTTTAAAGTGCAGCTTCACACAGTCTGAGGAAGGCACCATGACAATGGCATAGAAATTACCGTTCGTTTTCAGGGATGGAGTTCAATTCTGTGGTTTTTTTGCAGCTCACGAGAAGTCCATAGTGCCCTGGATTCAAGACGGGGATGTGAAGCTGTGTCCGGGGTGTGCCAAGCCCTTCAACCTTTCACGCAGGAGGCACCACTGCAGGCTCTGTGGTGGCATCATGTGCCATGTGTGCTCCCAATTCTTAGACTTTGCCCTCGCAAGTAAGTCATTTTCTGCCAGTCTTTTCTGGGTGCACATTTGAAGACCAATGTCAGTGAAGTCATCCAGCTCTCAACCCTAGAATTACGACTGTGTAGATACCACTCTGCGGTTCTAAGTTAGCACAAACTTGACATCGGTGGTTTTTTGCATGTTAGATAGACACAGTATTGATACACATAAAATTGTACTGGCTAAGTTTGTGCACAGGAATTTTACCACTCAAGTATGGTTGTTATTACAGTTTTTCAATTGTGAGGGAAGACCAGGGAAGGCCCGGCAATTGTGTGCTTGTGCTAACTTTGTTGTGGTCTGTACTTTTTGGGAATAAAGCTATTGGGAAGGTCTCGTAAAGTCCCAAAAGAACGCCCACCCAAAATGAAGAGATAAATGGGGAAATATATGGGGTGGGCGATGTTTGGGGATGCGACAGCAAGAGTTTATAAAACAAAATTGTGTTAGGCACTAAGGGGGGGGGGGGGGGGGGGGGGGGGCATTACAAACTACCTATGTGAAATAGGAACTGATTCCACAGATTGCGAACATGGCGAATTTGCATTCCACAGTGCAATAACTATGTGGGAATTCGCTACAAACTTCCCTGTCACAGGGACGGATACCGCAATATACGGACACAGCACATTTGTGCTTCACAGTGCGATAAAAACGCGAGAACCACCTACAAACTTGAATGCCACAGGAACCGACATCGCAGACAAAAGCGTGAGAACGCGCTACGAACTTGCATGTCACGGGAACAGATACCGCAGATAAGTAAATTTGCTTTTCACGGTGTGATACACACGGGTAACTGCTACAAACTCGCGTATCTCCAGAACCAATATTGCACGCTCAAATCACGAAGAAAAAAAAAGAATGCGGGAACGAGCTACGAGCCTCCATGTCACGGGAACGGGTACAGCAGATTGCGGATGCATCTGATTCGCATGTCGCAGTGTGATAAACATGAGGGAACCCGCAACGAACACACTTGTCACACATACTGATGCTACAAATCACGCAGTTGATATGATTTTCATCGGACATCGCATGATCGATATCCGGCAAAAATCGGGAGGGCGGGCGATGTTCAGAAATTTTTGTGTTACGGATATTCTGCCCAAAAGCGGGATGGGCAATCTCTCAGGGGCAGGCATTCATACGTGACTTTACAGCTGTGCATAACCCATGAGGACAACAACAAGAAATTATTTGTTCATATTCTGACACAGCACTTGGCTGATCTTGCCGAAGGCTGCGTCAGCCTTTGGCCGGGGCCCGTGTTCAGCCAGTAAAGCACCAATCGAACGAGAGTCCCAGCGGAACGCTGATGCAGCACTTGTGCTTGACGGAGGAAGTTGATGCAAAGAATCTAGTCCTCAGGCCTTGCGTTAGAAAAATGCCGAGCTCTGTGAAAACAAGATGGACAAAGCACCCCCTACAGTTCTATCTTTTTGCCAATAGCCACGCATAATCCGCTCTATCTGAACAGTTATAATATGTCTGAGTGCTGAGGTAGAGGCACCAGTATATCACAGTGTAATTACACTACTATATTGTAAACTTAAGATGACTAAACATTAAAGCGAGAGTGTTCATTCGTGCAGCCATCATTTCGAAGGAAATAGACACCTGGACGGATGAGAGTAGAAGTGGCATCCTGACGAGTTTGGGCACTCTCTGTCCATAGAATGACATCGGTGTTGGGCAGGGTGTGAGAGTGTCCGTGCATGTTTCAGGGAAGCTGATGAACCTCACGGCTTTGAGCACCCCGAGGAGCAGCGTTGCCGGCCCGTTGCCCGAAACCTCTTTACGGGTGTGCAGGGACTGCCTGCACCTGCTCAACCGCAGGGACCAGCTCAGGGACCAGGGCACACCCAAACTCGTGGTCATGTACCAGGTATGCATGCATCCGAGCGACTTCTGCAGCATGGAAGCTGGGCATCTTACAGGGCCTGCTAACGGACTCAGCTCTCGTTAATATAATACAGGGCATTTGTGGAAATGCAGGCCAAATCACACCTGCGAAAACTGCATTGCACAAAAAAAGGTTGATGCCGTAGTGGCCTGTTCAAAGGACCCACTAAGAAAAATGATTGAAGTTCAGTTTAATTGGGTAATTAATTACTTTTAAGTAATTACATTTTTAATTGTTAACTTTAAAGGTACAGTTTCAATTAGAAACTTGATGCAAAACATCCAAAGCGACTAAGTCCACCCATATTAAAAATATATGAGGCATCCGCAGCATTTTACGGTCTTCCAAAAAATTGCTCAATTTGGACGCGTTTTGTTTATGGTTTTCGGTTTCTTATCGAAGCACATCTCTTTGCCGGAAATCCTGCCCTCCTTGACGAAAAATTGCAATGTGCGTGCACCACCGTGCATCGCATGGGAAGGTGTGTCTCCACACTAGCACCAATTTCATGTGGCAGCGGAGGGACTCTCTTATCTATGTGTGCGTTTTGGCCACAGAGAGCTGGATTTCTGGTGCGGAGAGGTACTCCAAATTGAGCAGTCTTTGGAACGATGCTATAAAATGCTGCGCATGCCTTATATCTAGAGTTCCATGTTTTCAAGGTTTTTGTTTTTCTTTTTTTTTTAAGTTTGGGGGTTTTTCTTTCTTTGGGGGGCGGGTATTTTTTTTCACAGATTCAGTGTTTCTTATGGGAATTGGTTGTAACTTGGCAAGTTTACACAACCAAACATGGCATCTGTAAGAAAAAACACCTCTCCCCCTCCCCCCTCAAAGAAAATACCCCCAAATTAATAAACAAAAACAAAATTTTGACAACATGAAGCTCTTTATATCATTGTAACGTGGGTGGTAGGGTTGTGCAAATATTCAACATTTCGAATAGTAGTTTCGAATAATACTCTATTCGATATTCACTTCGAAAAGAACTGCGCTATTCGCATTTTTCGAAGTGTTGATTGCGGCGGGTTAACCCCGTTGAGCGCGCTTCTTACCGAGCAGCGGTGCACTGTGGAGAAGCACCCGCTTCCGTGGGTGTTACTTTTCTACATTACACCGGTGCTCGGTAAGAAGCGCACTTTACAGAGTAGCTCGCCGCGATAGACACTTAGAAAAGTATGAATATCGCAATGGCGTGCGTGGAAGAAAAGCATACATTCAAAGCGGGATGGTGCATGCGTGCCGACTGTATTTGAAAATAAATGGAAACTGTTAATGTGTATATTTACATTGTAGTAAAAGTTTCAAAATTAAACTGACTGTTATGCAAGAGTTTGTTAGGCAGAGATGCCCTTGCAACCTGCATTCATCATGCGCAATTCTTTCTTTTTTTAAAACGAGATTAAAAAAAGAATATTTTCTATTGCCAGATTTGTAAATTTACTTGAGTATAGTTGGCCATTTCTATAGGATCCATTTTATAGCAAATCCATTGTTTACTTGCCATCTTAAGACCTCAGACTTTCTGAGGTAACAGTTCATAAATATAGATAGATTAAACTTAGCTTATAAATGAACAACTGGAAGAACCTTTACAACTTAGCTGGGTTTTCGTCTAAGCATTACGCAATGGTAGTGAAAGGCGTGAAAAAACCATTTGATGTTCGAATCGAAAATATTCGGTCAAAGCCACTATTCGCTTCGATCTCAAAATCCACTATTCGCACAGGACTAATGGGTGGAATTTACAGTTTTTAATGATTTTCATCAAGCTTTTAATTAAAATTATACCTTCAAAGCTAATGATTAAAAATGTAATCACAAAAGTAATTAATTATCCAATTATACTGATTGCTAATAATTTCCTTAATGGGCCCTTTGACACAGACCACTACGGCATCAACTTTTTTTCTGCACGATGCATAGTTTTCGCAGGAGCGGTTTGGCCTGCATTTCCAAGAACAACCTGTATACTTGCAGCTTAAGTTGGCACCTTGGGGTCTTTGCCTTTTAAAATAATACTGTGTCTGTAACAATATTACTTATGATCTATGACTGAAAATTCAATGGTCAGTTTAATATTACTGTCGAGACCGGTTATAACGAAATAGCGGCTACAGCGAAGCGATCACGATTTCCCACTCTCTTTTGCACTTCGTTATAACCGAAGTCGGTTATAACGAAATAACGGATATAGCGAAGTGATTTCCGTTTCCCATTGACTTCGTTATAACCGGTCTCGACAGTATGAAGTATAAAAGTGTAGCAACTGCATTTCATTACAGCCAAGGTTTAGCCGTATATGTAAGATCAAATGTACATACTATCTACGAGAAATGGTCAATTATAACATTATCAAAATCTTCTCAAGCAAAAAAAGAAAGAATTATGCTATAAAAGAAAAGGAAATATACATTACAGGAACTAACTGAAGTACCTTTGTGGAGATGAAGACGACAGCTTGGGCCTGAGTTTTAGTAGTGACAAGTCTGAAGCAAGGGTGTTAAACGACGAAAGGAGGGAACTCCCGAAAATACGAGAGATCGAAATAGATCATGTAGAAAAATACAAATAAGTATTTTAGAGGAATGTGAAGAAAATATATTTAGAAAAGAAAAAAAGAAATTCAGTCATTATGAAACTCGAGGCACTCTGGAATTACAAGAGATATGAAGTGGTCATGGGTATACTATACGGAAAGGAGTAATGGTGCCAGGACTGCGTTTTGGCAATGGTGTGTACCGAGCCATCATATCGGAGGTTCAGTCAGGATTGGAAATTCAGTAAAGGGTTGTAGGAAGATTAGCACATGGGAATGCACCAAATGAGGGAAGTCCAGGGGGACCTGTGCTGTTTGTCCCTTTGAGAACAGAGACAATTAGTAAATTGAATTTTGAAGAAAGGTTAACTGAAATAGATGAAACCCGGTGGGTACGGAAAGTATTTGGGTATTTAAACACAAGATAGACAAAATGAACCCGAATGCTGACATCTAAATATCTGCACACTAGTGAGGGGGCTGAGCAGGCTAGTTCAGCCAAAAAGGGAGTGGAAGAGGCAGAAAGGAAAATATGGAAGGGAAGAATGCAAGAAATATTGGCTTTAACAATGTACAGGTAACAAAAACGGGGTGTAAGAAAGGAAAAATTGTTCAATAATTCGCTGGAAAGTTCTTTGCTGTTCGAGGCAAAAACAGGAGTGTTAAGGGTAAAAACATACTGTAGGGCTAAATTTCAGGAGATAGACATATTATGTGCCATATGCCATAGTGATATCAAGAGGCTGGATCTTTTGGCCTTGAAATGCACGGGTGTTCGCCCTGCCCTCCCAGATGGGGTAACAAATTTGGCAAGGGTGCTGGCCTTTGCTGGCGAGGATGCAAGAATGGAGGAGAAAAAGATTCCAGTTGCAAAGAGGAGGTTAGAAGACTGGTGGAAATCATCTAGGGAAAATTGAATGAACTAAAACTAACTAGCACAGATGGGAACATTTGGGACAGAGGAAAATTGGGACTCCCTCCCATGTGGCTCCAGCCTGAGGTATCGACCCTGTCTCCCAGTGGGTTTGGTATTGGGGTAACACCGACGAAGTTTGACCAGAGGAAAATTGGCGACTCCCTTGCCGGGGGGGGGGGGGGGGGGAGGGAGGGAGGGAGGGAGGGAGGGAGGGAGGGAGGGAGGGAGGGAGGGAGGGAGGGAGAGGGAGGGGGAGGGAGGGGGGAGGGGAGGGGAGGGGGAGGGGAGGGGAGGGGGGAGGGAGAAGGGGGGGGAGTGGGGAGGGAGAAGGCGGGGGGTGATGTTTTTAGATTTTTTTGCCAGATCCCCCAAAGGTCATCCTGGTCCCACACTGCCTGGTGACGGTTAAGGAAGGCTGAGGGGAAGGAAAACTGACTCAGAGGGGCGAGGAAAAGAGTCATATTTTCGGTTTTTACGGTAGATGGCGCAACCCAGTTGAAAATTCCCATTAGATTCCAATTGGAATTTCCAATTGGTACCAGCTAGGTTTTGGGACAACCAATTGGTCACTGCAGTGGGAACCAATTGGAACCCATTAGGATTCCAACTGGAAATTTTTTTCCAATTGGTGAGACCCATTGGTCAGTGTGCTTCCAATTGGAACCCACTAAAACCAATTGGTTCCAATTGAAACCAGTTAGAATTTCAATTGGATCTAATGGGAATTTTCAGCTGGGAAGCTACCATCCATTACCATGGGCGTACCCACCGGGGGGGCAAGGGGGGCACTCGCCCCCCCAGTTCTCAGAGGGGGGGGGGGGGGGGGGGGCAAGATATATGTTTTTTGCCCTCCCCTCCCCGAAGCAGCCGCCAATGGGCAGGGCAATCTCTGGCTGGCAGCGCCCAACATATACCAAGGGCACCTCCCCCCAGGCCCTGGGCGGGGGTCTGGGGTCTGGTTTGCCCCCCAACTCAAAAACAAGTTCGTACACCACTGCCCATTACAGGGGTTAGCATTCATCCATCCATGGGAACTGAGTGTTCCATGGCTATTCAAAAGATGGCGCCAATGTCTCGTCATAACAGGTTTTAAGGCACACGGGCGTAAGCCGTCGCAAGTGTGCGATCCAGCCCTCAGAAGATGAAATGTCGTCTGATTTTAGATGTCAGGGTTGTATTTAAAGGGAAGATGGGGCACTTTTGCATTTGAGAACAAACTATTTAATTGCACTCATTTGTCCTTTAGAATAACAGATATCACAATTATGTTTCAATGCGACGCACTGGAGAGCCATAAGAGCAATTTCAAAATAGGGCTGAAGCCCCGCCTCCCTATCCTTAGGCAGCCAAAAGATTCGTCACGTACAGCGACTGTCTTTCGCGTTTTCTCGCGTTCAACAATACTTGCGCAGCAAATGGTTTCGGTATTCGGGTTCACGGGGTAAGAACACACTAGAATTCACTTCCCATTTATTTCAAGAAGCTCCGTAGCTTCCCTTTAAATATACTGTACATTTGCCATTTTCCTAGAAAAACAGACAAAGCATGAATCATGGCAGACTCAATGCTAATTTCAAGGGTGGGAAAAGAGGGTGCATTCAAATTACCTCTAGTATAATTTTATTAAATTATCTTTAGATGTTTTAGGCAAATGGCTGATAGATGCTCCAGATATTATGGGACCCCCTGCTAAACTAGGCTAAACTAGTTAATGTTCTGTTGGCCAATAACCCGTGTTCCTCGTATTGCTTTGAAATTGAAACTCTTATGGTATATATATCCCATTCAGACTTTATCGTGCCATTTGGGATAGTATTGAGGGTTAAGCTTTACGATGATATTCACTTGTACCTAATTTTTGGGGAAATATGTGGCTTATTGCAGAAAATGAAACAGTCCATGGATGAAGCAGAACATATTTTGCCACAGTACTACAAGATCATAGACTCCTTACAGTAAGTGGGATCAGCTGTATGCACTTTCAATTTTCTCAGGCGAGTGCTTAGTTTTGTTTCACACTCCACCGTTTTTATTCTCAATTTCCACGGTTGTCTGTAAAGTGTTTTAATGGAAACAATATGCAATATCCATAATGGTCTGTAAACTTTTTATTCTCCATTTTTGTGATAGTCTGTAAAAGCTTTTAGTGGGAGCAGTATTCAAAACCATCCTAAAACAACAAAATAAGTTTGTATTTTTTGCACCAGTAATGCAAATGTTCAATTCGAGAAATCTTTTCCCAAATTGCTCAGTGTTGTTGGTGGCTACGATAGAAGTAAACTATCCACATGTACTACAAATAATAGTCAGTGTCTGTTTGAGTTTTCGTGTTTATGATTGCTTCCTTGCAGTAATGGCCAAACAAGTCATACCTTGGAAGAAGCCCAGATGCTCAGAGTCCAGCTCACCAAAATTGCTGAGAGGGTGGACCTCCTCAGGTGAGCTCTTAAAGGCACTCTCTTCTTTAAGGCCCAAGCCAAGCTTTACCAATTCAGCTTTGGGCTCCAACAGAACGTGATTTGGCTTGGAAAATGTTTATGGAATCTCTTAAGTTAAATCTCTGGCTAGAAATTTAACTTCTGAACTACTCAAGTGGTGGGAATGAAATTTGCAGGGGAGATTTAATGTCAGATGTAGGTGTACTGTGCATACATTCAGCTTTGGAGGACAACTTTACCTACCTGCATAAGAAGATGTGTCACTCTTCGTTAAGAAATCTATGATATGCAAATGTGGTTGTTAAGCACCATTTTGACTGCTTGAATATAAAGTGGGGGATGCAGGACTTTGGGATATCTAGTTTCTATAACTCAAATGTAAATATTTCAGGAAGAGTTATTAACCTCAAAATATTCGATGCATATCTGTCCTATGTCAATTTTTGAAAACAGTTTCTTTTTACAATGAGGACTCCAACTTAATTACAATGAGGACTCCATCCCGATTCCCCCGGTAAATTTCAGTTCAGAAACATCTTGATTGTGGTATCGGAATACTTTTACCTTCGAACAAAAGATTCCTTCGTATGAATTTTGCAGCAAAAAGTGGAACTGAGAAAAATACATTTAAACATTGAACTCCTTTACTTTGTTACTGCCTCACAATGCGTTGAAAATATTTAATATCAACGTAACTATTTGGCGTATGGTTATCAAATTTAGTGTAAGGGTGTATAATTAATTTCTAAAACTAAAAACCTCAAAATTTAAAAAAAAAAATGTTTTAAAAAACTTTGAAATTTAGGCCCATGTCCCCCCTTAAACAAGCTTAAATGCTTGTTTTTTAAATGTTTAGTGAATCTCTTAAACAAGGAGGGAGAGCGTTTTTTGCTGCTGATTGGAGGTGGTGCCACAGCTCTCGCATAATCAGCCAATGAGACATTTTTGACCCGTTTGCGAGTTCACAATCAGGCAATATTTTGGTGAGAACGTCTCACCAACATGCAACCAGCAAGAGAGATCTCAAGGGTCTCCGGCGTGCCTGTCCTGACTACTCCTTCATCCACCGGCTGATGCAAACGAAGGACAGGTTGTCAATGACTTCATAATGCGAAAAAGCAGGCAATCACAATTTCAGCCAGAGTCGAATCTCACTTTGCCGTGGTGTTTGGTTGTTAGCAGACGATATGCAGTGTTTGCTCATTTTATTTCCATCTGTGAATCGCACTTCGTAGCGAACAAACTGCATTTTTTGCTCGCGTTAAGAGATGAACCGTCTACGAATGCTGTCTTCGCTCGCTCCGCGAGAGGCAAATTAGATCTCACTCTCGCTCTCGCTGTGGCCAAAATCGGACCCCTGGATTTTTTACAGACTGGTCACAGCTGGTTAATTTTTCCATACAGCCCAAAGATTTAAAGATAGATTGGCTTTCATTGTGCCAACACCAGCTGCACAATTGCGGCAGTTTAGGTTGAAAAGGCTGTTTCACTTAGAGCAATTTTCCACAGAGACGCGCGTGCGGTTTTTTAGGACAACCGCGCACCGCATGACACAGCCTCACTTGCGAGAGCTTGTACAGACAGCGAGGACCTCCCGTTTTCGGTCGCTCTCATCACGTTTCTGACGGTCTAGCCGTCAAAGCACCGTAGCTCCGCAGCACATTGAACGAACGCTCGTGCCAAAGACTCGAGAATTGTATGCTCGATCATACGCGTTTTGTTATGTAGTCAGTAGCGCTTGGTGCGTGTCAAGGTCTCGGATCGGGGCCATGCTGCCCCGACCAAATTTCTCTCTTATGGCCAAAGCATGAGACGCCGTTTTGGAGCTAACTTATTACGTGAACGTCCCTGCGAGGGATTCATCACGACTCTTCAATGCCCGCCCGCGTTGCAGCCGCCAGATCGGTGCTCTGGGGTCCGAGGAAGGTGGGGGCCCGTCCCCCCGTGCCCTGCAGCTGCAGGGAGGGGTGCGTCTGGCGGCCAGCCACTTCCTGCGGCAGTGGCTGCTGGGGCTGCCCGGACCCCCCTCCCCCGAGGAGCTGCAGAGGCTGCAGGGGGCCCGCAGGGAGCAGCTGCAGCAGCAGATCCAGAGGGACAAGGCCTCCGCTCTGCAGGCTCAAAGGAGATCCGTGCGTGTCCCCCTTTGTACATCTTAGAAAACTCGGAATGGGTTCTCTGTTGAGTAGACGTCGTTTACATGATTTATTGATTTGCAACGATAGCTCTCATGGGTTCTTCCCACCACTGGAAATGACGTCCGTTGTCGTCGCCGTCGTAGGGCATCCCCCGTCGATATCGTCGAACGTTCGAAAAAGATTGTCGCAGCGTTCTCGGGATTGAATCCTGCATCCTCCGCATATGAAGCGTTACCACAGAGCTATGCCACAGCTTTGACAGCATGCTTTATATGGGGCACTTGTTGATCACATACAGTCTCGTCTCATGTAGCGCCCACTACATGTACATGGTCACAGTTGCTTTGATGTTGTGATAGAAAATTTTTTATCATTATTAAATTATATAAATTTTAATCAAAGTTAATTGTTGAAATTAAATACCACCTAGAAGACAAGTCCCGCTTATTGCGTCGTCTTTAGTGGGTTCCTGAGCTGCCCCAACTGGTAAATGGGCTGAAACTTGACAAGAGCATGGTGCAAAGCGGCAGACGCGTGCGTCTTGGCATCACTGCATGCTGGCATTGCGCTTGTTGCAAGACGCTGAAAAACGCGCTAACAGCTCGCCGTTCATCGCAAGAAAAATGGTGAGGTGCGTGCTCGTGAGAACAAAGCCAAGAGACTTTGCTGTCAAGACCTCGCGGCACGTGAACGCGACACCGTTGCCCAAAGAGACTGCGGTAAAACGACACAACACTAAAAAGTCTCTAAAACAGCTCTGCGGAGCTGCGTTAGAGACTTTTTAGTGTTGTGTCGTTTACCCGCAGTCTCAGGGTTTTTTCAACTATGTGCAATGTACACCAGCTTGTTTGCGCCCTCACGTTTTGCCCAACGATTTCGCCGTGACCTATCACAGCTACTGCTGTGACTGTGCTGTAGATTCACACAGCACTGCTCATTTTTTACATAAGGTTCTGAGTGCAGCTGTTGATTCAATTCTGCTTTTAACCTCTGTTTGCTTTCATGCCTCCTCTCTGTCCAGTCGCTCTCAATACCCTTTTTATCTCTTGGTTTGGTTCCATGTGTCACCAGTTACAACATTGCAACTCAAATATGGCGAGCTAGACAATCTGTTATAGATATTTTTTGTGACACAAGCAATTTTCGATGAGCAGTCGAGCCACTATTATGTGCATGGCGATGACTTTGCTCGTCTTTTTTTTTTTCCTGCTTTGTACATGTTTGTTTTTCTATTCCTACGAGAGTGTACTACCTTTTAGGCTTAGTGCTGTTTGTGAACACATCAAAATGAAGATTATAGACCCCTTTCAAAAGTCACGTCATGATTGTTAGAACGGAACTACTGCGAAATGGTGGAATAGGTGACACCGCTACCATACAAAATGCAAGTCGTTACACACGTTGAAGTGTAACTGGCGTTAGGAGCTGACGAACCAATCAAAGAGTGCTGAATGTGCTACGTCACTATGTTCATCACTTTTGCGCTAGGTGTGCAACCGAATGCAGAAAGTGCACCGTGATATTTTAATTTTATTTTATGTCCAGCACTGTGCAGGGATTTCGCAAGCTTCCAACTGAGGGCACACTTTCAAAAGGGGTCTATAATCTCTGCACGTCTCCACGTGATGAAAGCTGAAATGGGAGGGTGCTGACATTGGAAAGAATGACTCCCCTGTAGACTCTTTGTTGATTCAAACTGATGATTCATGGGTGGAGAAGCCAAGCAAATCCCATATATTTGGTTGGCTGGTTACTGGCCAGGTCCTTTGGAAATCACTTAAAGGGGTGATGCAAGAATTTTAACTTCGAAAGAATTTGCAGTTTTTACTTTTTACGTTGTTTATCTTGCCAAACAAAAGTGGAGAAGCCACCTCATTCTTTCGAAATATTGCGATCATATCATTGACAAAGTCGTACTATATTCAGTTTTAGTGGCGCCATCTGCCCAATTAGGTGAGAACTATTCCTCCCTTGAGCCTCGCCCCGTTGCTACTGCGTCAATCCAAGTTCCCTACGGCAAGGCAAGCGCTTCGCCCCCCTCTCTCTACATCGCTCAGACCAACCTTCAAGGTCGCCATGTGAATGGCAAGCAGGGGCCTTGTGCACTGGAGGCTCTGAAAGAGAACCCATCCAGATTCTCTGTGTCCCCCATCCGGGAACACATCGCTGCACACGTGACTCGGAAGATGGTGCAAGAGTTGAGAGGCGCCCAGAACGTCAACTGTTTGACACTTTTTTTAAAGAGAACTTGCGTGCCCAGTAAAAATTGGTCTTCACTTTTCAGTTCTTTAGTCGAGACGTGACAGGGAACAAGTACCACAATTATTTGACCGAGTCCCAAACATTGTCACACAGCCCCTTTAAAGGAACTGTGCAACGTTTTTAACGTTGAAAGAATTTGCATCATCTACTTTTGATATTGTTTATCTTGTCACAAAGGACAGAAAACACATCTCCCTCCTTCAAAATGTTGTGATTCTGCTGCGTAATCGCGAGGCAAAAATTAGAATATTTCCCGACCTGCCGCCGCGAGCGGCAGCCATGAGAACCACGCGGCGTGACGTCAATGGGGGACTTGTAAAGAGATCAGAAGTTGTGCGAATACCCGCTCGATAAAAGGTAACTTTTTTATAAATCTTGACGTTCCAACAAAAATATAAATGCGTCAAAAACCTGGTATTATCGACAAAACTTTTATTATACGGAGTTTTAGTGGCGCTATCTAGTCTAGTTCCACAAAACCGTCAGCTCTTTCTGCTATTGCGAACAACCGCCAGAAGGGGAGGGGGCGGAGCCGGATGGGGATGGCTGGACCCGGATGAGACTTTCCTCCTTTCGCCATTTTGTCCGCGCTGCGTAAACACGTGGTCACGTGGACGCGAGCGGGTGAGTTCTCGCTGCTCACTGATGGCTCTAGAGGGAGAGCTTCACCGGAACCCCGCGCGTTCCCCATTGACGTCACAGCGCATAAGTCTCGGAAGATGGTGAAGGAGTTGAGAGGTGCCGAAAACCTCAATCTTTGTTCATTTTTAAAATAAAAACTAGGACATGCAGGCAAAAAGCGGTGTTTTGTTTTTTGCTTCACAAAAGTGGAGACACCAACTCCCAAATTATTTAAGCAAACCACAGACATTGTTGCACAGCTCCTTTAATGTGAAACTCGGAACTCGCCCTATTCATGCTTCTTCTCAAACTGTCGCTGGGTTCTCGGAGCTACTCGAGTTGACCGCAGGACCAAATCGATGAAACGGTATTGGCGGCGTTACGAACGAGCGGTACTTAGCAAGAATGCTACGCTACTAACAACTTAATAATCCCAAGATGAAGGCAGGGGAAAAACCAAAGAAACACATTGACGTCTTCAGTTTTTTGCAATTCTAAAAGTGTGCAAAAAGAAAAAAATAATCTACACACGACCTAAACAAGCACTTCCTTGCAGCCTTATGTTTGTTTTACATTTTAATAATTTTGAGTAAAATTCTAGTTGTCAGTAAGCTCCAGTCGGTGCTGTTATTAATGCAAAAGCATTAACTGTCCCATGGAGCGAGTCAATGTCATCAGTTCGAAGCGCGAAAACGGCATCTAGTTTCCCTGATTCCAAAGGTCCCAGTGGCTGGCGCGTGGCGACGAGGCTTCCATTGGTTGCTGCGCGCATCAGTTTCAACGATTGCCACCAGATGGCGCTGCGTGTCCATGCCACCAGCACGCCGATAAAACTAACTGCCGCAACCTCATGCCACTACGGGCCCTGCGCCAATCAAAACGGGTACGTTGGCGCGCGCTCGGAGGTTTCTGCTCGTCTCGCCGCCGACCAACATGCCGTTGCCTCCATCATCCACGTCGTCGGCGGTGCTTCTGCTTGTCTCGCCGCCTCTAGCATCCACATCGTCGCCAGTGCTTCTGCCACAACTCAAAAACATTACTCGCGCCACAAAACTCTGCGGATCACTCTGCGGCGTTTCATTGGACATTCATGCTTTCGCATTCACAACTCGTAAGAAGTGCTTAGGTGTCTTCCGGCTTTTTTAGGGACGAAGCTCCTTAGGGTCTAGCCTTGTCCGTCCGGAGTCCGCAATCTTGCTGGTGCTCGTGTAAGGCAAAAAAAGAAATGTTTGCACAGTTGACAGGATTCGAGCCTGTGCGGGGAGACCCCGATGGATTTCTAGTCCATTGCCTTAACCACTCGGCCACGACTGCAAGACGAGTAGGGGGCTCTGAGATCTGGTAGTAACTCAAGAGCTGGGGATGTCATGGATGAAACGTTGCATGTAGCCGCTCAACGTCTATACAGGAGAGGGCGCTGAGGTCAAATGCGTATACCGTATTTACTCGCACAATGAACGCACTCGCGTAATGAACGCACCCCCCAAGTCGGCTCACAAAATTTCGACTTTTTTTTTCACCCGCGTAATAAACGCACCCCCAACTCCGACCTCAAAATTTTGACCCCCTCCCCCACGCGCGCGAAATGAACGCACTTTTCTATCCTGGTGCAGCGAGGTCGCGAATGCATGGGCGAACAAAACGCCTTGCAAAAGGCGTTAAAAAAATTAAAAAAGAGCCAACCGAAGCAAAAAAAAAGAAACATGGAGAGCTTTTTTTTTTTTTTTGCACAGCGCAGTCTGGACTTCGGGGTCGCGCGCCGCGCGCAAGGAGGTAAGAGAAGCGGAGAAACCCTCTAAGAAAACGAAACAGCTTGCGAAAGGAGGCAAAAAGAAAAAAAAAATAACCACGGAACTAAGAGAAAAAACGAACAGAGCTTTTTTTTCTTCTTTTTTTTTTGCACAGCGTTGTCTGGACTTTGGAGTCGCGCGCCACGCGCAAGGAGGTAAGAAAGAGAAGCGGAGAAGCCCTCTAAGCAAACGAAACAGCTTGCGAAAGGCGACAAAAGGAAAAAAAAACAACCCACGGAACTAAAAGAAAAAAACAAAAACAAAGGAACTTTTCTTTTTTTTTTTTTTTTTTTTTTGCACAGCGCAGTTTGGTTACGGAGGGGGGGGGGGGGGGTCGCGAGTAGGGCGCCGCGCGCAAGGAGATAAGAAAGATAAGCGGAAAAGCACTCGCCTAAGCAAACGAAACAGCTTGCAAAAAACAGGCGGCAAAAAAAAAATTAAAGGAACTGTGAAAAAGAAAACAAGAGGAGCTTTTTTTTTTCTTTTTTTGCACAGCCCGGTTTGGTTACAGGACGCGCGCTGCGCGCAAAGAGATAAGAAGTTGCGTTGATTTTTCGTGATAAAAAGTCCGTTCATTATGCGAGTAAATACCTACGAAAAAATTTTACTTCGCGTAATGAACGCCCCCCCTAACTTTGCATCAATTTTTCGGAAAAAAAAGTGCGTTCATTCTGCGAGTAAATACGGTATAATCGCGTTAAACTTAGAATGCATTGGCTCAACGTTTATAGACGAGAGGGCGCTGCAGTCAAATGCTCAAATGCAAATACAACCACGTTCCATACCACACATTCTCTTTCCGAGATGGATGAAAACGAACGAAAGGCTCGGCATGCTGCGGCTCACCGTCTACGCAGACAAGCGCCACCAGAGCTTCGCCCCAATCAACATCATTCACCACGTGGAGATGCGGTCATTTTTTTTTTCCATCTCTTCTCACTCGTTTTTGCTATGCAGCTTTTAAAGAATCCAGACAGTTTAGATAATCAGCATTGTTTAAACATCCATGAGCTTAGAACTTTATTTGAAATTCTGCTGCGCTAAGAAGCAAAAGAAAAAAAAGACTGTTTTAGCTTAATGACGTGATCGCAATGCACAAACATAGGTAGTTTGTATAAATTGCACAACTAACTTGTCTTATATCTGGTTCTCTTTTATATATCTGTAGTTAGAGCTTCTGCTAATTAATTCGGACAACTGACTGGTCCCTTCAAGCTTGAGGCACAGAGTCTACTGTGTGTGGCTCGCTATTGTTTTGTCCTGTTGCAGACGCGAGAACCTTTCTTAATAGGCAGAGTTTTTCAACCACAATGGCATCAGTTCCTCTACCACCCCTCGCAGGTCCTACAAATAAAAAAACAAACTTGGAAGAACAGTTTAGAGAGGTCCCATCTTATTTTGCCCGTCTCGGGCTTTCAGCAGAGCAGTTGTTGCAGCGGTGTACTCCCGACATGTTGTCTGGCATACGGTGCAACAACAGCCACCACATAATAAACCTGAGATGTGGACAAGCTGAATGCGCATCATCTTGTCCATGTTACGGTCCAATGAGAGCCTCTAGACCACCTTGTTGTCACTCACAGCTTATGTCAGTTTGAAGAGTGGCTCAGGTTTATCGTAATTTCATGCGCTTGCGCCTCGAAACAAAATATATTTGTTGCGATTGTTACCGTTGTCCACATTCTCGGTCACAATGTCTCGTCTGTTGCCACACCAAGCCCGCCGTGGACTGCATCCATTTTCATTCTTTCGTGTCTGGGAAGTTTTGAGGATAGCGAGCCGACACATTATGCCGCCCCCACCAACCCCTCACAATGCGTGCCTCGCAGTCGCAGCAGCAGCCGCAGCAGCAGCAGCAGCATCAGCAGCATTCGCCGGGGCCACCTCGAGCGAGTCCGGCGGAAGCGGTGGCCGAGGCGGCCGAGAGCGGCTGGAGCCCCGCCAGCGTCGCCAGCGGCTCGGCAGGGCAGGACCCCATGGTGCTACAGATGGGAATCATCCGGGGCTACATCCGGCAGGCGCGGGAGGCCAGGCGCTACGATGAGGTGGCCATCCTCGAGGCCAACCTCAAGGAGCTCAAGCGGGAGTACATGAGCATGACCCTGGGGCAGCCACCAGGGAGGGAATCCTAGTCGGCGCACTTGCCACCGGGCCCCCTCGCTTCACCCCACACCGGCGCCGGAGGGAGTTCCGGCACAGAAAGGCTGCAGGCCAAAGCCAAGTGCTTTGTCGCCCCGTCCTCCCGAGCTCCAGTCCTCGCAAAAGATGCTCGCTTCCGACGGTCGCGAGGAAGCCAAGAGGCTCGCTCGTTCACAAACTTGCGACTGCTTACAGCTGTCTGCGCCAAAACCTTTTAAAACCTGACAAGAGAACACACCGGCACCATCTATACCATGGAACACTTGCAGTTTCCCCTACACTTTCCATTCTTTCTTTGTTTTGCTGAAAAAACTTTTGACAATGTTATACCATCTCTCATAGAGAGGATGTGCATTTCATCTAGCAAATACCACCTTCACTCTGGTGAAATGCTGTTCCAGGGTCACCTCATAGATGGCGCCAGCGTGCCACCGTGTTCTCTTATGGCAAGAAATCGCAAGAAGTCGGTCCTAAGCAAGGGTGTGAACAGGCCGTGTGTGCAGGGAGCGTCTCGTAGCGCTTAGCCACAAAGGTCACACGGCACAACAAAAAGCTCTAGCATTTTCTCCCAAGCTCGCCGAGTTACGCGATCCAAAGTGGAAGGCGCTTAATTGCTCTCGTCTTTCATCCGCCGCCTTGAGACTCGACGTGAACGCTCCGCTCGAAAGAAGACTTTTCGGTGACAAGGTGCTCAAAAATTACTTAGGATTATTTTTTGTTATTGTCTCGGTAACTAGGATGTTGAGCTTCTTTTCCCCCAGACAATAAGCCCTTTGGGATCAAAAATCTGGAGGTGACGATGTTTGAAAATATAATGTAATATTTTTTTCGTAAAAGTATGTTTTACGTTTACTTAGAGAACCCATCTCGAGTGTCCCTGGTCTGGTGCGACATAACCGTGTACAGTGAAACACATTTATGGTTATAGTTCAATCTATGAAACCGTCAGTGTCCTATTATTTGGGTTCGGATATAGTAAAATATGACCGGTTTTGTGCATTGTGCATGTTTGACAGGATTACCAGCCTCATCTTTGTACATAGCATGTTAATGTTGCATTTCAATATAATGTAGATAATGTTCCGGTCGTTCCATTCTATGGCTGTCTGCAGACTCTTGCTCATGAAGACATGATAGACGGCAGTGTATAGTCAAAGGGACTCGAAGAAAGACAAGGATGACAGAGAGAGGAATATTCTTACAACACCTGGATGTACATCAGTGCGAGCGCTTCTCGGTGTCTTGGGATGTTGACTGCAGTGTGGTGTTTGAAAGGTGCTGTTTGCTGCTCACACATCAGCTGTCTTTGTAAACCTTGGAATCAATCTTTTGTGCAATTGTAACATATTGTGCCAGTAAGCTACCGAGAATAAAAGAAATCTATTTCAACATTAAGAAAGGATGTGAAGGACTTCCGAGTACACTTTAGACGTGTGCGACTTCAAGTCTAGAACTTGCAGCTGTCTTTTGAATAACATATTCTAGCATCATGAAGTCCGAGTCACTTTGAAGCACAAGCGTCCCAAACGTACATCATCTTGCTTTCCGATGTGAACCAGTCATTAGTATGGATTGTACAGCGGACAGTTTAGTTCTCCCACATGCTCAGTGAACTGTTCAGTTCAGCTCTGAAGCACAGCAACAAATGTGATCAGAGCCATCCTTAGTTTCAAAGGCCTCATTGCTGCAGCTGCTTTTGAAACATGCTGATTGATGGACATGGCACAAACATACAGGAATAATAATTTTTAGGTAGGGGATAAAGATAAGCTCACGTGATTTTTTAGAGTGCAGATCTTAGGAGTCTATGATTTTTTTGTTTTGTTCGTTTTGTGTTTGCAAAAGACACTGCACATTTGACAACAGGGCAGCAATTCATTCTCGGGCATCATGCAAGTGGTACCCCACTGAAATATAACATTAAAATTATTCTGAATATTTTATATCTTGTTCAAGTTACAAGTTTCAATTAAGCTATTTTCGACGCAGATAATTTCATTATGCATATCAACATAATTTTACAGACAGTTTTATGACAATACCGAATTCATATGTGTGTTACATGCTTTTTTAAATAAGAATTTAGCTCAACAAATTAGTTATTCCCAAGCTTCTCCACCAATAAAACTGATTTAGGGTTAATCCAACTATATTATATACGTGCGTATATATATATGTATATATCTATATATATATATATGTATATATATATACGTATATATATGTACGTAATGGCTGTGCCTCCAACTGTAGCGAGCCTACATGTAAGTAAATGATATATCTGGCATAAAACATAAGGTGTAGCTTAGCCATACCTAGTCTTGAGTAAAATAAAAGTCCTATCAAGAGGGTTACACATATTCTTTAAATACGGGATATGCACTTGTAGACTATCCCACTCTATAGTCCGGTGCAACTCAAGAAGGTAGGGCGCGGGCAAGACGGGCAGGGGAGGAGGAAGCAGACGGAACGCTGGGGAAGAGGGGGAACCTCCTTTAGCATTCAGTCTGCTTTCTCCTCCCCCGCCTTCCTTTTTCTTGCACTACCTTCTTGAGTTGCAACAGACTATAGGCGAGTACTTTTCTCCTAAACACGGGGCTGCACTTTGGCAGAGCAATGTGCTCTGGCTTGGGGTGGTGTCCAGGTGCTCGGCGAGAGGCAGACGCCTTGGAGCTAGGTAACCTGCCCAAACAAGCTTCAGAAATGAGAAATGGGGTTAAAAGTCTGGGTATGTATGATGCAAAGGTCAAATCAAATACTAAGTTACGCACATTTTGCAGATTTCCAGCATTTGCACGGGCCTACTGCAACAATCTGTCAATGTAGACCCCGTGTTATAAGTTTTGGTACTAAAAAAAAATATTAATTTTTGAAATGATGCTGGCAGTGCTCTCACAGCTTGGTCAATTGTATTAGGGTGGGAACACTGGCACAGCAGTTGCATCGCCGATTTCTAGCTAGTGTTTAATATTTATTTTTTTGCTTGCTTACGAGCAGCCTGAAGGCCTTTGCGAAAAAACAAAATATGATACATATTCACCAGAAATGTACAGGGTGTCACAAAAGAAAATTTACACGGTATTTTCTCCGCAAAAATAAACTAGGCATCGCCGAGCGCTCATTCTCCGCCCGAAGGTAGAGCTAGAGGTCACAACCAGATGCCAAAGTTTCAGCCCGATCCGATAACTTAATCAAAAGTTATGCGATTTTCTAAAAATTTCAATGGGAAAATGGAGCCTATTTTTGCCCGTTTTCGGTTTCTGGTGCCATAGAGCCCTATGTGTTTGAAAACTCCGTCGGCCGCCATTTTCCCATTTAAATCTTCAGAAAATCACTTATAACTTTTGATCCAGTTATCCGATCGGGCGGAAACTTTGGCATCTGGTTGTGACCTCTAGCGCTACCTTTGGGCGGAGAATGAGCGTTCGGCAATGCCAGTTTATTTTTGCGGTAAAAAAGATCATGTAAATTTCCTTTTGTAACACCCTGTACATGCTTAAAAGTCGTGCACAAACTTAAAACCATAAAACTACTTAAAATTTGTAAAATTAAGCAAATTAAAAAAAAAATTCAGAAAGTTTTGTTTAAAACATGTTAGATTTGTGATATTGGTGATGAATTGTAATGAAGATCGGGGTAAAATACCCTACGATTTCTACAGCTTGTGCTAAAATGTGTACTCTCATTAAAAGATTTAGAAGACGGCGGATTCAGGGTCGGTATTGGGAGCATAAACCCGACACTGCGCAGAGGGAGTCGAGGCAGGCCACGAGTGCTTTCCAAAGTGTTTATTTCTTAAAAAGGCCGCGGGTGACGCTCGTATCAGGGTGCCTTGGCCGCCCAGGCGGTGGTGTCCGACCGGGTCAGCTCTCGGATGGCCATGGTAGCGTAGCAGGACGACGGCAGTGAGAACTCCATGCGCAGGCCTCGGTGGGAGCCTGAACCTGAGAACAGGCCGGGGTCACCCTCTTTCTCTCGACTTTAGTTTGAGGAGAGGCCGCTGATGGCACTCTGCGGAGTTCTTGGAGTTCTCGCTCTGAACTTTGTTCTCATTTCAAAAGCGCCACAAGGTATGTCTGGCAAAATTAAGCAAAAACTTTCATTGCATAGAAGACAAAACTCGTGATAGTAATCTTTTTTGGCTGGAGAGACTTGCGACGCTACAGAAAGGCAATGGCCCACACCGTACAGGCCTAAAAAGTCTTAATGACCAAATGTCCACGATTAGTATAAGAAAGGTATGTATGCACCTTGGTGGGAGAACGTGATACTAGACCCCTTACCTTTTGACAGCTGCTAAAGTGACCAGATTCTTCAGGCCCCAGAGCGGGACACGTATACGGGGGATGCATGTCCCATGCTCTGGGGCATGTATCCCCTGGATACATGTCCCAGAGTGGGGTATTGTATTTCGGGACTCTAAAACTTTAAATTTGGGTAGGAAATCGCACCTTTTTTTATTATTTCGTATATAGTACACCATGCACATTTCTTTTTCTTAGAGATTGCATACTTTTTAGCATGCACATGTAGGTAATACGCTTTAATGGAAATATTTTTTATAATTAATGTATTTAATTTTTTCACATATAACATGTCCATAGTCCTGTTCACATGTCGCACGCAAACTAACCTCCAGCATCAGCATCTCTTTAAAGCAAATCTTGTTGATTGATAAGAGAAAGTACACTCTCTACTGATGCATCCTTTCATTTAAACATGCATTTGATCTATTCGGGGTTCTGGAGGAACCGAAGCGGGACAAAGCACCGTCCCACAAGCATGCTGGCGGGAGAGCGGGACTACAGCTCGAAAAGCGGGACCTGTCCCGCTTAAATCGGGACGTCTGGTTACTTTACATGTGTAGCTTCTCAAGTATTTGGTATATAGATTGCAGGATAACTTAGAATTCTGCAAATATGGGCTCTTTGTCAGATGTCCAAATTAGAAAATTAACAGCGTGCGCGTTTTGGATTTTCCCAAAAACCTCGGGGTCCTATTTGAGAACGGAGAAACTACAAAGTGGCCCTCGGTTGACTTCCTATAGGAGGTATTCACTGGACGCCATATTTGAGGTAACTGCTCACAGCTCGTGCCCGGGAAGAGTTTCCCGTCAGCTCTCGGGCAACCGCTCGAGAAGAGGGGAAGGAGAAATTATCTTGTCATCGGGATAGTCTTGTGCGAATAGTGGAGTTTGAGTTCGAATCGAATTCGAAGCGAATAGTGGTTTTGCCCAAATATTTTCGATTCGAATATCGAATAGTTTTTCCACGCCTTTCACTACCATTGTACAATTCTTAGACGAAAACCCAGCTGAACTTGTGAAGGTTGTTCCGCTTGTTAATTTATAAACTTAGTTTAATCTATCTATATTTATGAACCGTGACCTCAGAAGGTCTGGTGTCTTGGGATGGCAAGTAAACAACGAATTTGACGTAAAATGAATCCTGTAGAGATGGCCAACTATACCCAAAGGAGTGATTTCACAAATCTTGCTATATAAAAAATTCTTCCTTTAATCTCGAGTTAAAAAAGAATTATAAGGGCATCTCTGCCTAACACAGTACACTCTTGCATAACAGTTTAATTTTGAAACTTTTCCTAGACTGTAGATATACACATTCACAAACTTTTTATTTATTTTGGAATACAGTCGGCACAGGTGCACCATCCCGCTTTGAATATATGCTTTACTTCCATGCATGCAACTACGATATTCATACCTTTCTAAGTGTTTATCGCGGCAGGTTACCCCATTGAGTGCGCTTCTTACCAAGCACCGGTGCGCTGCGGAGAAGCAACGACCGCGGAGCTCGCTTTCGCGGGTATTGCTTCTCCGCAGCGCACCGGTGCCTGGTGAGAAGCGCACTCAACGGGGCTAACCCGCCGCAATCGGCACTTAGAAAAACTCGAATAGTGCAGTTGTTCTCGAAGCGAATATCGAATAGTGTATTATTCGGAACTACTATTCGAAATTTCGAATATTCGCACAACCCTACATCAGGACTCTCCTTTGTAGGTCCCAGGCTTCCCCAAACGTCGCTATTCTCCCTCTAGAAGATTAACTTGCCACTCAAAACTTGTACAAAAGCATCTTTCCCCTCTCTCTCTTCCCCAGTGGTAAGAAAGCAGCAACGAGCTCAGCTATGACCGCCAGTTAATACTCCCTATACTTGGTTTCACTGTAAGTCGGACCACAGTCAAAGGCTATAGGACATACAAACAGCGACACATATGCTAAAAGTGCAACTCACTGGGAAATTGCTGCACTTCATTGGTTTAGCAGATAATAGAAAACGTAGAGAAAAATGACAAATGCAATAACGCTGCACTTTGACGCTGTTTGATTAGTCCCATCGACTCATAGTATTGGCTGTGTTCAAAATTAAGACAAAACAAAGTATATGCTTGTTGGTAATGATGTAACTTTAGAACAGGGGACACTTTCTTAAGTTACAACAAAGTATAGTTTCTCGGAGAAAAAAAAAGCTATGAAGCAGAAAGAACTGTGCTGCGAAGTGGATAGAATGCCTCCATATTGTGCATTTAAAGAACACGGAAGAACCTGAAAAATACCACCTGTAAAGTGAGAACTTTTTTCTGAAAAGACATCCCACCTGGCTGTTCGGGAAGCGTGTTTCCTCGCAATGCGTCCAGGTCGCTGAGAAGCAGTGGCTTGGAAGGGTCCTCATACGTGACTTCCTCCCACGTGACGTCCCGGGGTATTGTGACAATGTGCCGGTAGCATCCACTCATGGCAAAGGCCCTGAACAACAACAACACAGCCAAAATTTGTTTCTACACCTGCACAGTACCTCATGCGGTTGCATGTTTCTACATTTGTAAGAATAGAGCCAAAACCAGGAGGAACATGTCTCGTGTACCGAAAAGAGCGAACCACTTGAGCGAAAGTCGACCCAACTCTTGTCATACCAATGTTCTTTCCCTTTTATTCCTTCTGAGAACTGCTGCAGAACGGAGTGGATTGTCTAGAAATGGGGGGGGGGGGGGGGTGTTATTGGTGAATTATGAACGTTGAGTTTGATGAAAAATGTATTCTTGAGAAAAATCTTGACACCCCAGTTGATGAACCTCATTTGCACGAACCCAGCCCCCGCCATGCCCTACAGCAGTGCAAATTTTTGTGCAAATAACTAGACTGGTGAGTAGGTGATAGACAAGGAAACTAGAGGCAAAAGTAATGATTTCTTATCTGCATCATAAAAAATACATCCTCACATAAAAAATTGGTTTCGCAAAGTACAGCTATGCACGAACTTACAATCGAAGGAGTTTCTATATGGTAGATGTTTTGGTATGAAAGTTTAGAAAAGTGCAGCTACCTCATCCAAAAGTAAAAAAAATAAAAGCGTCCTACGTGGACTACAATATTTACATGATTGTAAGTCGACCCCCCCACATTGCATGTCAGCAAAACGCAAAAAACAAAAAAAAAACAACAAAAAAAAACAATTTATAAGTGCATTGTACAGCGAGCATGGGGGAATGGCAGGGTGCTTCTTTCGAACGCCTGGCCTCCAGCGCACGCACTAGAGGTAAGACAACTGAAACTCCTCCCCGTTGTTCTCACTCTGTCTTTCGTCCGTACTGGTGCTGTAGTTCCCATCATCATCGCCACTTCGCAAACGACCGCATCAACCGTATCCCTCGCGCTTGCTCAGTGTTCGTGTCGCACATGATGGGTAGGAATTAATCGCGCCCTTCCGTAACTTACACTGCAAGCTCAACATTTGACCATGGAAAACATCCTGATGCATCCCAATTTTGGCCCACATAGGCCTCTTTGTTTGCCATCGCAGTTAAGATCCTGTGCCGTTGTAGACGCCACCGATGCACCAATTTCTCCGACGGGTTGAACTTGCGTCTAGCGGTGCAGTTGTTGATTGCTTTCGGATGAAGAATGGCCATTAGCGAGTATCAAAAACCCTAAACTGCCCGGACCACGCGTGTCAATACCGAGAAACATAGTTGGCACTCCAGTATGCGGTCGCACAATCTTGACTCTTGATCAAATAATGTGTGACAGTACGTCATGCAAAAGCAAGCAGCGGGGAGAGAGGCTGTTCCAGCGGCTGTTCCGGCCACTCTGGAGTGGTTCTTAGAGAGAGTGCTGCCACCCCTGGAACTAAGGCGCACCGCACGCCACCAGGCGGTGCGGTGTATTGCGCGCCATTCATTGCACGCCATTTGGGCCGATTTGCAAATCGCGTTCACCATAATCGTGATACTTGTTCGTGCAGATTAAAAAAAAATACAGAACTTGCAAAACAAGTGCACAAAATGCCAATATGCTACAGCTACAGCCAGTTGAATTCGTAACAAGCCAAGGTGTTCTTGATATTGCGACTGTCTCGTCTTTGTCGGCGGTGGGATGCTGTGGTTCAGCTTATAAGTCGACCACCCACAGTTCAAATTTTTCAAGAATTTAAAGATAAGTTGACCTACAACCGTGTAACTACGGTAGTTCAGGGCATTTCTCGGCACTACGAGGGGAAGGAGAAGAGCAAGAATGACTGCCTTTCCCTATTTCGTGTTTGTCATACTGCAGAACAGTTTCTTGACTTCAAGAAACAATAAGGTTATCACCTCATTCCACCATAGGACCACTGCAATTTTTGCTCGCAATGTGTGACTGAGGCAACTGCATTCTTTGAAAATGTCATGCAAACATTACTCCCCTTTCCAAGGTGAACAAGGGCATCCACCCATCTATACCTTGCAGGACTCGAGTTGAATGATTTAAAAAGGGCTGAATTGATTTGGCTCATAGTGTACAGTAGGCTATTGTTAATTCAAACTCAAGTAACTGGTGTTCTTAGCTAGTTCAAAGAGGTCCCAAATACTATTTGGTTGACCGGCTGTTAGTTCGATGCGTCTGTAAGCTGCTAAATTCATACTCAATATTCAGTTCATTTACACTTCACCTTGCCGTTGAGGAGGGTTCTCGGAGGTACGGAGCTGGCTTCATTATTGAACCGATCAAATATTCTGGCATCGCTACAAATTAGGGATAACCATAAAAAATGTCACACTATTCTTTAAGAATCCAGACAGTTCATCACCAGAGCCATATTTTTGCGCAATACCGTAAAAGTCCCACCACTGTAGTTCTACTCAGCCATGAAAGTTCACGTGAAATAAATTGTGTAAGTTGCTTCCTGTCTCGTCCATAGCCCTGCCAATACAGTGCTGTTGGTTTATATGTTTTCCCGGACCGTACATTATTATGAAAGTGATTCTCCGATGAACGAATTGACAGGCTCCTACTAAACATGGTTCCCACTTTTCTACTTAGCCATTTGAAAAATGGCCAGACACTCACCTGTTTTTGTTGTTGAAGCTGTCGAGGGTGAGGCCGTCCTCTGCCAACATCTCTTTGTACCACTCTGCAACTGGAAAAAGGATGGGACCGGTGAACCGAAGGGCTCAATGGGGCCCACGGAGGCACACTCCTCACTTTCGTTTTTGGGGTACTTGACACTGTAGCCGGGCAGTGGCAGCACCACATCCCCGAGAGTCGCCGCTGCAATGTCCTTGACCACCGTGGGCTCTGCCTGCTTGCTGAACTTGCCTTCCTCGGACTCGAGCACGGCCCCTGCGAGGAGGCAAAGGCAGGGGACAGTTTTAGTCTGTCAGGATAGAAGGGGGAAAAAAAATCAAACACTGAGTGAGCAAAAGAAAAAGATTGTGAACATGTTATTAGGTAGAGTAGATAGTTGGGCTAGTTGGTTTTGGAACTTGGAATACATTTTAGCGCTCAAAAGACAAGGACATAAAGACGAAAATCACACCATTTTATTACATGAAACGTCACTTATATACCATCCGTGTTCCTGATTTCGCCCTATCACTAGTCAACCCAATGTTTTCCGAGTGCAAGATTCTGGCGAGGCAAAGGGAAAAAACTGTGAGGGAAATAGTCGTGGCAGATGAGATTAAGAAGGGTGGGGCACCATGTGTCAGTTTGGCCTCAATTGACCTACTTGACAAGGAACGTGCCTTCCACAAAGACGCGGCCTGGCATCGGGTTGGCTAGTGGTGGAGCGAAATCAGAAACACGGATGGTATATAAGTGACGTTTCATGCAATAAAATCAGTTGTTAGTAGCACACTGTGGTGTCTGATTCTCGTCTTTGTGTCCGTGTCTTTTGAGCGCTAAAACATATTTCAAATGTTATTAGGGTTAATAATGCACTATTCAATATTAGCTTTGAAATGAACTGCAAAGCTCATACTTTTCGAAGTGTGTGAAAATGCGGTCATTTCCTTTCCTCGAGAGGCCCTAAAGCGGCCGTGAAGCAAGCCGCTGGATTCATTTGTTCAGCCGCACGCATCCGTCGGTGGCGAGGGGGACAGCACCATCTTAGAAGCTGTACCCTCGTCACCCCCTCCGAAAGGGGACGCAATTGTCCCCAAATCCTGGGACCCCTGTGGTCGAGGGTGCGCTAGGGAGGCGACGACAAGGGGGTACCGGACGCCGAGAGGGGGACTCTCCGGGTGGCGGTGGGAGCGTGTGGTTGTGCGTCGGACCCGTCTCCAGTACGTTGGCGCCCGTCGCCTCTCGGGAATGCATTGAGCGGTGAGTCAATTCTCGTCACCGGTGCTCAGTGTGTCGCGTTGTTATATGCCCTGTATAGCTTCTTGCGGTGATTAAACTGTTTGGTCACCCGGCACACTGTGTGGTGCATTTGTCTCTTCTATTAGAGCGGTGCTGTGCAGCAAACGAACGAACCCGCCGCGGCTGTTGAACGTGAGTACGCTGCGGGGTGGATGTTGGAACACGGGCTCTCAGTGAGCCCCGGGTCTTACTGTTCCGCGAACAGTGTTTAAAGCCTCCCACAAGTGTGGATTGCGGAAAATTAGCCTCGTTGAGTGTGTTTCTTATCAAGCACCAGTTCAGCTGGATTTATGTTTAAGCGTAGTGCAACAGTAGTGAAAGGATTGGAGAAACTATTCATTATTCGGCCAAAACATTTATTCGCTTCAAACTCTAAATCCACTATTTGCATCTGACTACATCTTAAATCAAATGTGTCAAGTCAGAATTACACAGAATGCATATTTGCTCAGTCTCTATACAGGTTTTTTTTTTTTTTTTTTTTTTTTTTTTTTCCCTTTAACTTTTCAGATTTGTTTTAAAAAATCCGTGAAAGCTAGAGTAATGCAATTTGTGCAGGTGAATTATACGGCCAAGAGGACATAGTATAGGGAGATAGTCGCAACTATTGGTCGCCTAGTTAAGTAAAATTTGTTAATTAACCTTTTAATTAGTACAAATAGACATATAGTTCCAACTAGAAACTTGCTGAGCATCATCGAAAACCACTAAATCAACTATTTTTAGAAGGATATAACGCCGGGGCAGGATTTTACGGCGTTCTGTAAAAACTCTCTATTTGGGCACGTTTCTAGATTTCGGTTTCTTATCAGAGAAAATCTTTGTGCCCGCGGTCCTGTTCCTTGGTGGTCGCGGCACGAAGCCACCCCCTCGCCTTTCTCGTAGCATGGAGGGAAGTAGAGCGCACGTGTGTTGCGTGTCTCAGCCACTGGGGAGCAGGACAGCGGGTGCGTAGATGCGCTCCGATAAGAAACCGAAATCTAAAAAGGCATCCAAATGGAGAATTTTTACAGAATGCCGTAAAATGCTGCCCTAGCATTATATCCTTTTAAAAAGAGTTGATTTAGTGGTTTGTGATGATGCTCAGCAAGTTTCTAATTGGAGCTATAGTTCTACTTGTAATAATTAAAAAGTTAATCTACAAATTTACTTAATTAGCCGACTGATAGTTGCGACTATCTCCCTAAACTATGTCCCCCCGGCCGTATAACTCGCTTGCACAAACCGCGTAAGTGTAGCTTTCACAGCTTTTTTTAAACAAATCTGAAAAATGAAAAAAAAAAAAAAAACACCCAGTTAATGCGCGTGTTTATTTTGATTTTAGGTTGTTTGCACACAGACAGACTGATGTTTGTAAAGAAAATTTAATTAATAAAGATAAACTTATAGTTCCAGTTAAAAACTTTCTGAACGTCATCAAAAGCTACTAAGTCAGTTAGCCTTAGACGCTTTGGGCATGTGGGAAGTGTGGCGGGCGCTAAAGTTACCGCTCATGCAACAGGAGCAAGGCTGCACATTCTTGTTTAGTCTTATCATATGCATTTTCACACAGTCAGCTTTGTGCCTGTCGCACAAGTGCTAAATTTACCGCTCTACCGTGCTTCCCACACTCTCCAAGTCTTTCAAAAATTTACTGATCTAGTGGGCCTTATGTTTATTACATTTGAGTCATATGTTTATTTACACTAATTAGAAAGTTAATTAACAAATTTTAGTTCCTTATTCGACTTGCCGTGATGGCAGCCCCCTAAATTATGTCCCCCTGGCTGTACAGCTCACCCGCCCAGACCCCATTACTGAAGCTTTCACGGCTTTCTGAAAAAAAATCTGGAAAGACTAGAACAAAAACCTGTACGTATATACAGATTGCACAACAAATATTTTTCCAATAAATTCAGCGGGAAAACTTGCCACCCTGTGGCACAGGCCTTGCCAGTGTTCCTTCTTCCCGTCACGTGACATCAGTGCTTAGATCGGTCCTCACCGGGGACGTCTGCTGGGACAACCAAGTCCCCTTCGAGCACGGCCAGGCCAAACTTGCGCAGCCTCCGGGAGACCACCTTGTTCCAGATGTAGCTCTGGTAGCCGTGGATGTACATGAGTCGTACATTCCTGGGTATCTGTAAAAGACCGGTTGTTTCACTCACTTTGCGGAACTTTCACCTGGTGCTGGTACAGCAATACAGTCGAAACAATGCCGGTGTGGCGTGAAGCCTGATGTTTTCATATTGAAATTCAAACATAGAATCTTTTTCTGAACTGCTTCGTTCATTTTTTGTGTACTGTATTCAGAACTGATAAACTACTGCGTTCACGTCCTTTCACAAATTAGGTTATAAACACAAGCTCCAGAAGGCACCCAGACGTACTACCTAAACAATGCAAGTTTTGATATCAAATGCAGATATAAGCTATTATTCACTCATGAAATACAGCCAAGTCAATCTAGCAACATCACTGCCAAAGAAACAATCAGAAGTATCATTGTGACTGCTGATTCCGACACTTCCTAAGCTAAAAGCCGAGCCAACCACATACCGTATATAGTATAAACACCAACTGCATCTACACAGAGTAACATAGCACAAAGTGATTATAACTTTTTCAGCATTTTTCACTGCAAAGTTGAAAGGCTGTCATCAATGTTGACAGCATAAACGATGGAATGTATCTATGTAGGGCACCAGTTTTAGGCGACCACAACTTTCCACTGCGACACAAGGTCGAAGCAATAGAGTCTGAGCTTCTTATGCGCATTTTACGTGCAGCAATTCTGCTTCTAGAGCGGTGCGGCTCTAGAAGATTAGCAAATTTTCGTGGCTTTAAAGTGGCAGCGTCTGCGCTGGCCATTCACAGCACAGCAGAGAACAATCTGACAGGAGGAGAAGCATGGCGGGAAAGCTTTCGCATAGGATGGCATTTTCATGTTTTTCAAGCGGATGGCATGCAGAAAGTATGCAGCAACTGGTTTTCGATTTTCTCGAGTTCATTTTTTTTGCTTCAGCAGTTGCTTCGGAACTGTTAGGGAGATTGGGGAGGGAAATAGTTCTTCCTTTCCTCCAAATATCTTGCGAGGAATCTCTGAAATGTTCGGGCATATCCTAGTTTGGGGCCAAATGCCCTTCTCTCCCCTTCCCCCGACTATTCTAACACCGCTGGCCTTGGAAATGTGCTTACAAGCTCAAGTTCCCCCTCCTTTTCCCTTTTGTGTCAGGACCTGTCCATATTGGCATTTGTGAGACTTTTCGTGTTTAGTGTTTGATGAGAGTTTCTTGTGTCGTTGTGTTTTGCCCTCTCATGGACACACATTTCCATATCGGAGGCGGCCCTATTTGTTAGAGTCTTTCCAACGGAGGTTTCACCTTTTGCGGCAACAAACTTCAAAAAATAGATAAACAAATAAAACCAAACTTTTTTTTTTTCATTTTAAATGGTTTTTGTTTTAATGACGTAAAATTAAAGAGGAAACAGAAATCTAAGGCATTCAGATTGTTATTGGATACCACTAAAATTCATCGTGCACGTCAGCTTGCTGCAAGCAACGTTGGGTATCGAAGCAGTAGAAAACGCTGGTGGGTGGTGCATGTGAAATGATACCTTGCAATCTGTGCCGCGGCGCCACTAGCGGCAGCGATTGTGGCCGCAGAACCGCTGCATGTGAAACACGCATTAGGTTGCCCGAGTGACAGGTTTGAGAACCATAAGAAAAGCTTCGATGTAGTATCGAACCAATAAAATGTCCGCCAGTACCGAGAGCAGGGCGCAGACGAAGGCCTTGGGTCCGTTCTTCAGCAGCCCCTGGAGCAGGAGGCCTTCGATGGAGCCCTTGTGCTGCAGCAGGGACAGAGCCTTGAGGGCATCCCCGGAGCGTGCCCACTCTTCACGGCACGCACTCAGCTGGGCATTGCCTGACCAGACACAGAGATACACACTCTCTCACTCCTTAACAGTTCTAAGGGGACCAGAATAAAAATTAAAACCAGGTGGTGCACTGATAATACATGCCAATCATGTAATAAGCACCTGTATTGAAAAGTTTATTTGCTACAATGGAACATCTCTATAGGAAACACTGATATGGTAGATACGGCGCTTTTTTTTAGGCTTTAGTTTTGTTTCAAAGAAGCCGTAAAAGCTTCACTAATGCGGCTTGTGTAGACTAGTTGTATGGGCAGGGGGACATTATATAGAGGGCTAATCGTCACGATAAGTCGGCTAGTTAACTAAAATATGTTAATACGGTTCTGTAGAAGCGTAGAAATCTGGGCGAGTTGGTGATGCATTGGAATGAGAAAACAGCACAAACAAAATGATGGACCAGTAGAAGAGTATACACACATACGCACTGCACCTTCTCTGTGTTTGTACTCTTCTACTGTTCTGTCATTTTGTTTGTGCTGTTTTCTCATTCATATGGTTCTAATCAGTAGCTTGCTGAGAGTCATCGAAAACCATTAAGCCAGTCAATTGTAGAGTCTTGGAGCATGTGGGAAGCGCCAAAGTTACCACTCGAGCAGCAGGAGCAAGGCTAGCGATATGATAACGTGCTTGCGCAGTTTTTCAGTCTCTTATCATCCGCGTTTTCTAACTGCCAGCCTTGTGCTTGTTGCACAAAACATAAATTTTGCACACAATGAACTTCCCACATGCAAAATTTATTTCTAAGAATGACTGATTTAGTGGTTTTCGATGATGCTCGGCAAGTTTCTAATTGGAACGTTATACAAAAATACGGTCAGTGTGCAGGCTCGCTGGTGGATGTTGATCATCATGGAGATTACCCTAGACTGCGGTAAAAGATAGGAAATTTAGTAGAAGAAAAAGGGCACAGGGAAAGGAATGTCTCCCGTGCCCTTTTTCGTCAACTAAGTTTCCCATCTTTTTTTGCCACAGTCTCGGGTAAATTTTAACACGAAACTCTTCACAAATTAAAAAGTTTATTAACGAATTTTAGTTAATTATTCCACTTATCATGACGATTAGCCCCCTATATTACGTCCCCTGGTTGTAAAACTCAGCTGCATTGATTGCATTACTGTGGCTTTCACAACTGTTTTTAAAACAAATAGTGATAGGCCAAACTTCTGCCAAATCGAAAATTCGGTACCTAATCTTGGGATTCGGCAAAGCCGAACTTTTGACGAACGTCTCTAAAGATTCGGCAAAGATTCTGAAAAAATACATTGTTACCAGACTGAACATTGATAGTTAGTTTTTTCTAGCAAAAAAGGTTTTAATGTTTTTTTTCTTAACTTAAATGCAACATGTAATGCATATTGACACAGTTATTACTAAATAAGGTGATAGTTTACAAGGTAATTGTATCGGTGTCGTTCTTGCATGTTTACTAGCAATTTTACAGTTACTTCTTGCAGAAGTGACATGACAATAAGGTTGGGCAGTAGCGAGCGCAGTCACGAATCCTGATACGAGAGACGAAAGTTTCGGTCTTGAGGCCTCATCAGTGCAAGTCTGCAAGTGTGTGTACATTGTTAAAATAAAGGCAATAACATTGCATTCTTACTTTCTCTAGGAGTCACCACTTTGTGCGCGAAAATGAATGCAACGGTTGCTGAGCCTTCACCAGCGAGATATTATTGTAAATATACATGTTTTTCGGTTTGAGTCACTTGACGTCAACTTTGCATAGAAGTGTGCATCCCATATTCGCAACGTCTCGTTCTTAACTTTTAAAATTCTGGTTTCTGATGTTAGGACACACACGGACGTTTAGGAAGATGGGAAGAGTTAGGAATGTCGGATGTGATACGTCGAGCATTATAGTTTTGTGTTTAGTTTCAGGCAGAAACTTGAAAACTGTGAAATAATGCTAATTCAAAAGCAATATTTTGTTGTAGCACAAACTCTTGTGGGTCGAAAACAGGATTGTTATAACTGCGAGGAATGCTTTAACCCTTTCCCTACCATGGACGACCTGAGTTCGTCCACACTGCTTGTATCGCTCCCCCCTGAAGACGAGCTGCGCTCGTCCACGTTGGTTCGGGCTCCAATACGCTATTATGGACGAACTGGGCTAGTCCACATGTTTCTAGTGAGCTTTGCCGTGGATAGATGGCGCTTCACGGAAAATAAAAACCTGGTAAATTTCTGAATTCAGCAGAAAATTGTTTCAACGCAGGCAACAGGGGATTTGAAAATGGCGATGTCAACTTCTGGTCGCTGCGTTTGTAGTGACGATCTTGCCTCAAAATTGGGGAAAAAAGTAAATATTGTGACGTCTCCTCAAATTCAGAAGACGAGGAAATGAATCTTTCATCGAACAACGAGAGCAATGCAACTAAGTTATTGGATTTGAGCTCAGACGACTCCGATTTCCATGAGGACATTGTGTCGGCATGGACTAGAATCAATGTAGAAATCCCCCTCCAGCCCCTCCACATTTTGCGTTCACTTTGCATGCAATGTGATGTGAACTGTCTGCAGTACTGCTATGCCCGGCCTGAACGTTCATGTGCAAGGTGGTGTGAACTGTCTGCGGTAATGCAGTGAAGTGGAACTTTAGTCCCTTTTTCTTTTGCAGTGTGTTCAAAGATTTCTCATATAATAAATATTTTGGCATTTGCTTTTGGCCTTTGTATTGCATATTAAATTTCTAGGGCACATAAAAAGAATCTGGTATTTTCAAATCGTTTTTTTTCAAAATTTTTGCGGTAGGCAAAGGGTTAAAGTGCTTGTCAGTCAATGTTGCAAGTACTTCGTTGCATCACTGGAAAGGTCAAATGAAAATCACGTTATCCACAATGTACCGCATCATTTGTCACATGCACAGTGGACTGCGTAAATTACTGGTCGATCTCCTGTTTTTGAGGCAGAAAATATTTAAGAGAACTACACTCGCAAAGGCTCACAAATGCACAGTTATCATGTTGCCTACTCCACACCTCGTCATAATCGCTGGTTGTACAACACTGTACAATGGTAACCGCACAACCTCACGGCGTCCATTTGCAATCCATGGCCCCGTCGCATTCTTGTGCGTGCGTAGACATTTGCCGAATTTTTGCAGAATCTTTGCCCAACTTTCCTGCAAAAGTTTGGCATGTGCCAAACTTTTCCGATTTTGAAGTTCGGCAGATTTGGTCTATCACTTAAAACAATTTATAATGCATTAAGAAAAAAATGCCCAGTAGGTATACAGTGAGGAAGAGTTGAGGGGCTCTGGTCATACTGGTTCATGTGTTTGAAGTTTTGATATAATAAAGATAATAATGGAGTGAAGGTATTTTTTCTGAAAAACCGACTATTGTAAAATACCAAGCAAGAATCCACCCGAAAGTTGGAGATAATCGCAACAAAATTAAGATAAACGCTCGTTAGATCCAACAAGAGAACTGCAGAAGGTACACATGGTAGGGTATGCCCTTGCTTGGCCTTTGTTTGATACGACAAAATGGTATGAGAGCAGTACACTCGGTTTGCACGGCATGTCATTGCATCATGGTCGTGGTCATCCATTATTGTTCTTGCCGAAAAAAACAAATGCTGTGATACAAAATGCATGCTGCAGTAGATTAACACTCAGCAGCAAAGCCACCATGATGGCAGCTGATGTGGCATGAAGAGAAGGAACGTGTAGGGGTCTGGCACAACTTCTAATTTTCACTCTCTCTCATCTTTTGCCAAGCTCGCTTCGCAATGGCAGTCTTGCGTCAAGCTTCACAGCTTCGCACCAGAGCACACACGCCAGGCTTCATTGCCTTGTACCAAAGCACGCTCATAAAGCTTTACCGCTTTGCAATGGTGTGCTCAGAGAAGCGGCTGATGCAGAGGAACTTCTCGGTTAGCTCAGTGGACTAAAAGATTCGCTGGAGTGTGCTCGATACATTCTTCGCTTATATTTCAAATTTTGCAGAAGTAGAGAGTGGGCACTTTACGTTAGACGAGCGTGCAGCACAGAAAAGTTTAGCTATATATTTCGAGTTTAGCACCTTGAGAAGAGGTCAAGACTCTTAGTCAAACATTGGCTAACACTCTGAGGCTTCCAATCGTTTTCAGGTGGAACCAGCTGAACATTGGAAGGAAGGAAGGATGCAAGAAAAAATAACCGACTGCTGAACTCCAAACTATATATCTACTGAGCAAGGGGATTGGTGCCCCGCAGAAACAATTTTAAGGCGAAAGCCTTACTTATCCCATTAAACAAAAAAGCATAGAAAAAGCCAATAAAAATATGCCGCTCAATGGGTGACCCTACTCGTCCCATTACCTTGGCGTCGTCCTCGCAGTCGTCACAGACCTCTAGGACGACCTCACTTGTCACATTACGTGAAAAACGAACGGTGGCGTCGTGTCCGAAAAATGGCCATACAATACGTAAAGCATCATCAGCGTCATTTCACCGCCGGAGCACCGTGTGCAAAAGGTGCGCTTCGAACTTCATTTGTGCTCGTTGTGTGCTTCGTGCGACGGATTGTGAGGCAACTGCGTCTACATCTACGGCGGCTTCCGCAGGCAAACATGGCCGCCCAAGGAAATACACCACAGCCTCTTTAAGTGTCCTCCTCTAAACGTTGTTCTCGTCGTCCTAGAGTTCGTCCCCTGGCATCGTTCTCCACGTTGTCCAATGGCCGTCCTAAAAGTCATCCTAGATGTCGTCGGTGTTGATCTCTAGGACATCGTCCTATTTGTCGTCCTAAACTTTAATGCATGTAGAAACATTATTCTAATTACTTCTCCCTCAGGACTATAATGCTTTTGCTTTCCTAAACTAAGCAGTCATAGTGTACTCCTGTAATTTTTTTTCTTTATGCTGTAAAGTGATTGAAGGGGAACTCATACAGTTATCTTCTTTTCCTTCTATAGCCGGGGCCTTTAACATCTCCAGTGCAATCATGTTTTTGTGGTGTCCTAGGATGTGAACTTGCTTGAGGTTTGCTTTGCATTTGCATGGTCGAAAATGGAGAGCCAGGTGCCCCGATGCCGTCCGGTCTTTAAGGTTGGCTGCATGTTCTTATGCTCAGTTGTTTATACACCGTCCCGTTTATCAGATGTAGCAGTGCCCACATGTCAACGGTATGTTGTAAAGGACTTACTTTGTGGAAATCTGGCTGCCCTTTCCCGCGCCGACCATTCTCGCCATTCGGACTCGCCCAGATTCCCGCCATTCGGACTGCGTCGTGGGTTTGACAGGGGCTTCACGCGCCATGCATCCTCAGGGAGTGGCGATAGCCACGCGCACCACAAGATCCGGCTACGCCGCTCCCCTCAGCCAACTGATGTCACGCGACTGGCTTCCCAGAACAAAGAGGCGAAGGCATAAAAAGGGGAGGCGGGACAAAGAGGGCTCGCTCTCGGGCGGCGGCAACGACAGAGCGTGCAGCGGTGACAGGAGATGAAGACGCTGGCGCAAGAATCGATGGGACATGGACGCTGGAGCGGGGAAGTGCGGGCGCAGGGTCGAGCGGCGGAATCGACAAACGGACCGGACAGCGACCCTGGACAACGACGACCTCCTCGTGACGTGGTGTGGACGACTACCGCTGGGACTTGGAGCAGCTGCGGTAGCAGCGGACTTTCCCCCGTCCTCGCTGATGATCGTTCCCCGATTCCTAAACCTCCCGGGCAATAAGTGAGTTAATAAACCCTTTTGCCGAGAGCGAAGGATGTAGAGTCATATTCATCCGGGGACAGGGTCTGAGGGAATCGGAGTTAAAAGCCCACAACTTTTTACACAGGACATAGTTAGTTTTTTGTGTCTGGTGCCACACTGATATTTCTTATTGATCTTTGCCTGGTTGATCTTGCGGCATACTGTACAGGCCTTATTGAGGGCCGAACACACAACTTGTATGTTTTGCCAGCTTGCCATCTTTTTTAACTTATGGGTGACCCTATGAATGTATAGAACTACTGCAGAGGGTTTCTTTGATTTCTTTTGTTTGTGTACATTACAATCACTCATCATCTTGACGGTGCAGCAGATTGGCTCGCATATGGAAACCAGTGATGGTCTTAGGTATCCGGCTTTGTGAAGCTTAGAAATGTGTGTTTCAAAGCTTTGTTTGACTTGGCGTGGACAGGTCTTTTTTAGGCCTACTGAAAGAGCAGTGATGGCCACTCTTTGCTTGACATTTTTTAATGTTCCTGTTAGGCTTCGCGCGTTCAGCTGCGCCCTGATGTCTTCACGATACACACGGACCAACGTCGGGACAACACTCCTTTATTTCCCCAACTCAATATGGTCGCCATGAGCCACACTCTCCTTTCTTCCTGCTCTTCCCCTCAGAGAGCTGGCGCCCTTGCGTCTCCTCCGGCAAATCCAGAGGGGACCACTTCCGCCTGCTCTGGGCGTCATTTAGAGACTGGGGAGTCCGCGCATGGCTTTGGTCGTCGCCGCCGCCACATGCTCCTTACATCCCGATTCATAGGGAAAAAATCCTTTTCCCGATTGTGCTTGGTATTTCCAACAAACATGTCCTGCTTGAAACTCCAAAGTCAAGTGAAGGACTCTAATGGATTTCTTGATGGAGTCTTATAGGTGAAGGTGAGTCCTATGCAGCTCTTCGGGAATTGTTGTATGATGGTATCTAGGCATCCATAAGCTTTTTCATCGACTTCAGTGTAACATTAAATGAGAAAATAGTCCATGTACGGTATCTAAAGATAACCGCTATTCATGGGTCTTTTATGACCTCTTGGATAAATTTTTGATACATAGCAAAAAAAAAAACTTTGCATAGGTGCAGAGCCACCTGGGAACTAATGCATATGCAACACTTTTGCACATATAGGTGATCTTGGTGTGCCACTACCGTTGCTGACAGGTAAAACCGATTTCCAAGATGTCTAAGCTCATACCTGCTGCATTTTGGAACTTTGAAAGTCCTTGTTTCTTGATGGTGGATTTAAGAACTTGTATGAGGCTTGTGTGCGGAATGGAGTAGTACATGTCCTGTACATCAATAGAAAACCCGAAATGATGAGGTTCCCTTGTTCTTAAAAAAAGGCTATCACTTGTTCCAAGTTTGGCCTCTGGAGGGCGTCTTCTATCCATACTTCGGAGAGTCGTTGAGCCAAAAACTTCAATCCATATGCTTGCCAAGTGGTTCATTCCAATACAATAGCCTGGGATGGAACTCCTTTTTCGGGGGTTTGGGCTGAAAAGAACACAGATAGTCGGTAATTCTTTGCTGCTTTGATCTTTGTGCCGAGACTGGCTCGTTGATTTTTGCCCATCAATTTGAGGATGGTTTTTTTTTTTTTTTTTTTTTTTTTTTGCTGCTTTGGTTTGGTTTTTATCAACAGGAACAAAAATTTTTGTTTAGGACCAAGTGGGCTTTTCCTCCATATATATTTTATGTAAGAGTCATAAACCCTCCATCCTTTTCTGAAATGCGTAGCTTGAGTTGTTTGCTCTTCAACTCTTGTAGGATGTGTCTAAATTTCACCTGGAAGGGCTTGAATTCCCTCATCAATAAAGAAAAACTGTTTATGCGGGGCACCAATTCTCTTGCTCAGTAGATATAAGAGGAAGGGGACAACAAGGGGATTAATGAAGAAAAAGCAGAAGAAAAGGAACAACATTAGTAGCAGAGGAGGAGGATTCAATAAATAGTTGGCAGTCCAGCAGTCAGTTGTCTTTTCTTATCTCGTTCCTTTCAATGTTCAGCTGGTTCCACCCAAAATGAATAACCAACTAGCTCAGCTCATTCCCCTTGTAAGCTTCCAATCCTTCTTAACTTCTTCCTGCCGACTTCAGGTACCTTCACCATTTGTTTGGTAAAGCATTTTCAGTGTTTTCTTCTCTGAAATTCATTACCATTTTTCAGCTTCATTTTGGCAGTCAAATTGCACTAGTATAGTATTTCTGTTTTTATATTATGGTACAAAAAAACTTTGCAAATCTTCAGGTGCCAGATTGATTTACAGAGGATTGAATTCCATGAGCTCCACACGAGAAAGACAAGGTTGCGTTTTGTGAGCTTTGACATCAAAAGGCAGTAACGTTTCAACCAATCCTGTGACTTACAAAATAATGCTTCATCTCAAGTGTAGATATATGTCCAACATTTGCAACAACTGAAGCGTGGCCTATAATCAGACTGTTCCGTTTTTTTGAAGTCGAGACGGTTGAAAGCACGAAACTTGACAGGTGGCCTAGTGTGGCCGAGAGTACCGAAAGTATGGCACGGGAAAAGAAACCAAAGAAAGCAGGCTCTAGACTCTGTGCAGAGTATAACACAGAACCATAGGGCAGTTACATTGGTGGATTTTTATAGGTAGGATTTCGTGTTTTCGGAGTTTGTTTATCGCGAAATTCTGAGGGTGTTTTTCCGAGTTTATTTTTCGATAAAAATTTGGGGTTTATCAGAGTTTAATTTTGTTAGACTCCCAATTATCTGAAATTCTGAGTTTATTTTACTGTGCTTTTAAATTTCCTAACTTAAAAAAAAAACCAGGTATCATGACTTGTTGCCCTGAAGGAACCTCGACATCCAAAACGTCAAACCCCTTCTGCCAGTAGTTATAGACTTCAAAGGAAGCTGAAGTGGCATCTCCTCAGGACATCTGAACCAGTGCTCTTACGAAGCTTATTTGTAAAACACCCCCTTTTTTGCTTTTTATTTGTCAGCGTGACTTCCAAATTCTGACTTTTCCCGATTTATCCTAAAACACAGAGCCCTAGTTATAAGTGACCAGACCACGCTAACCCATAGTCAACACGGTAAGCCTCCGAAAAAGTGTTCTGTCATTGGTTTGCAGTTATGAATGGAGGGCTGCACAGAACCTAGACACGAGGCAGTGGACGGAACTGCAGGGCTGAGCAGCCGCCTGCTTCACCCACCTCCTTCTCTGGGCTTGAGCACCAGGTGCACTGCCGCTTCATAGTTGCCCTTGAGGAGTTCCCTGCCAGGCAGAGAGGTGCCAAGATGACAGTGTGTTCACAGATTAGCTTCTACACAATATTAATAAAAATAAAATGCATAGCAAATTGCTGGGCAATTGCATCGCATGTGAAATGTGTGGTTTAGGTCCGACTCCTCTGGGATTGACGTCTACGCTCTCGGCGCTCTTCACTGGTGAGTTTAGCGACTTGCTTAACACATGGCATGTACACTCTATAGCTATTTCTGGAATGGAGATAGCGGCGCCAACCCGGGTTTTAAATCCTTGGTGTTCTTCCAGAACCATCAATAGCCGCAGATTTTTCTCCGATGACATCCAACCATCGTATGGCGGGCGATCAATGACTCGTGAGTGATTGCGTAATCACCAGCCAATCAGCGTCGAGTGAGCATGGCCTCAGGCGTGACGTCATGCCTGAACCAGCCAATCAGCGTCGAGCTAGGGGGCGTGACGTCATCACCTAGTTCAGCCAATCAGCATCGTGTTAAATCGATGGCTTCCCTTTTTGGCTCCATAAATTTCCAAAACCCCCCCTTACGAGACAAAACATGTTTCACGGGAAAAAAAATCTAGGAAGAAATGGCACCCTAAGGCACACAACGAAAGGAATGGTGCCTGACCGTCCAATCTCCTGCGTGGACACTGACGTCGTCCCAAATCTTTGCGTCCCGTAGTAGTTGATGAAGCCCTTCTCCGATAAAGACTGGACGGCCTCTTCAATGTCACTCCTGCTGCCGACAACATCTCTGAGAAAAAATGAAGTCGGGTTGAGAGACTTCCCACCAACAAAGACAAGTAACAATCACACTTCACGAACCAGCACTCTTCTAATCACAAACGGGGAAACGAGCCTCACCGCAGAATTATGGCGAAGCGGTTTCCCAGCAGGTCTCCCAGCTTGATGGCTTTCTCTTCATAGCTGAAATAGAAGCAACATGAACTTCCTTTGGTCAGAAGGTAATGTGTTAAAAGAAATATTTGAATAAAAACAATTCATTTGTGCTCACTGTACAACTACTGCAGTTGGTGAGTAATTGTCGTCAACTTTCCTGGGTGCGAAAAAGTTTATCGTAAAATAATTCCATACAGTGACGGTGTGAAATAGTCGCCAAACGATTTTCCGTACGCCGATAATTGGGACTTGTTCAATATTTCAAACCTAAGGGAGGAACCGTGACCTCCCCAATAGAAATAGAGCATATTCACGACCAATGTTTCGGACAGCTGAAGACCAAAAGTTCAATTTTTCAAACAAAAACCTCGCGAGCGATCACCCAGGACCACCACCGAGATTCTATGTTGACTGTACATGGATTGGCTTGGTTTGGCAGCACCACTTGAGTACTGCTAAGTCCTACTGCAAGACAACGCTATGCAATGGCGTCCTCTCTAGCTGCACATTATTACCATCATTATTGTTACCATTTTGCTTCGTTAACTCGCCGTTCTGCAGTCGTAGACTTGCACCTCTCATTTAATCTCGGTGAATCGTTTTTCGGACTACACTGGCTTGGATATCACGGCCTCACCTCTTCTTCCGCCGCCGTGAAGTGCCGGTAAGAAGCGCAAAAAGTAATTGACCATAACGCTAGAAAAAAAGGCAGCGATTATCCACCTAATAGAAAGTGGCCGAACGCAAGCGGGGGCGTAACCTGAAACAAGGCACAATTGATGGCGTTTTTAAGCCCACTTTGAGGTAATAAAGGCAAGTATTTTAAAGGGGCCCTCCGGAGCTTTCTGCGATCGTCTGTTTTGCCAGCTTTGCGATCCTTCCACGTCAACGAGTCAAACTTTTCCTTGTCATCTGTGGAATGCGACTGCGTATTGCAGTAGCAGCGCGACGGTGCGGTGCGACGAACGACGACTGCCGAGCACAAAGTCCGGAGAGATTCCTCCGCGGGTCGGCGGTCGGCCGCGTTGGTGACGCGCAGCGACGCCAGAATCCTTCGCTTGCTATTGGCTGACGCGTAAAGAGATGCCCCTCCCGTTTTCCGGGGTCATCTCAGAAAGGGGGGCGTGCCCGGGACTTTGATAGCAATTTTAATAGGGAAATCCGCCGCGCATGACCGTAATTTTATGATTTTTAGGATCCTTAGGGCCTGTAGATTGAGTTACCGCCATAAATGGACCATCGCAGAACGCTCCGGAGAGCCCCTTTAACTCTTTCGCTACCGCGCCTATTCAAATCAATCAATTTGATCGACGCACTTCCAGTTCAAATTTTCGCTCGCTCGCGCGGTTTACGGGCGCCTAGCGCCATCTAGGTTAGAAAGTGGGAAACACAACGTGCTCCGCTATGTTTTGTTAGTTTCCTGCTTTGCGGCGCTCCTTCCCGCGTCGCAAAAAGTTTAGCTTTGACGGGCGAGCGCTTCGATCATGGCGTCGTCATCGTGCGCGGGCGCTCCCAAAAGATGTCGTGCTTCTGGCCTTTCGAGCTCTTTAGGAGCCGATTTTGCAGATGCAATCAGCAGTAGTGAGACTGAAGATGATGTGGACACATCAGATTTCAGCACCGATGACGAGGGTGCACCAACTCAAGCCGGAACATCCAGCGGGTGAGTGTCAGCTCTATGTGGGGCGCACATTTAGATTACTAATAAATAGTTATGACCGGCGGAGCATGTACTCACAGCTATATTATTTATTTTCAGGGTCTCAACGTCATACGGACATGATTCCTTGCCAGCAGCTGTGAAGCGCGTACAGTTTTTTCCTAAACGAAACCCGGGAGTCAAAGTTGGCGGCGCGGTCCGGAGTAGCGCACGGCGGTTCGTCCGGGTCGTCGATGTCTTCCAACTCTTCTTCACCGCAGAGCTAATCAACATGATCTGTGAGAACACAAACAAATATGCGTGGGCGCATATTTTAGAGAGGCAAACGTACACAGAAAAGGACGGCTCATGGAAAATGTTCAGTCCCAATGAAGTGATGCAGTGCATAGGAGTCCTGATCTACATGGGAATTGTGGAACTGCCTCGCCTCCATCTATACTGGAATACCTCGGAGTTATTTTCCGGCCTCATTCTTCCAAAGATTATGGCCAGAAGCCGATTTTTTGCGTTTCTTGCTTTTCTCAGTGTCATGGACCCGGAGAAGACTGACGCTGTCCGCGATGGCAAGCTGCACAGGATCTCACATCTGCTGCAACATATGAATGACGTGTCATGTCAGCATTTCCAGCCATACCGAAATTTGTGCGTGGATGAACGAATGGTCAAATCAAAAGGACGATCGGGGGTCAAATGCGTGACAAGGGGGTCAAATGGGGGTACAAGCTGTGGGTCCTTGCTGACTCAAGCACAGGCTACACTGTGCAATTTAGCGTTTACACCGGGAAGCGAGAAACACCCAGCTCAAAGGGACTGGCTTATGACGTTGTAACGCGCCTGTGTGATGCATATTTGGATCAAGGCTACATTATCTACCTTGACAACTTCTACACATCCACCTCCCTCTTTGAACACCTTCTTGAGAGGAAGACTCTCTCTTGTGGAACAACGCGCAAAGATCGGCGCGGATTTCCCTCCCAGTTGAAAGACACCACTTGGGAGAAAAGAGCAACTCGAGGGGACATTCGCTGGCTGCGGTGCCGTGATGTGCTGTATTTGCAATGGAAAGACAAGCGCACTGTAAACATGATGAGCACAGCCCACACTGCCAACAATCACGTCAGTGCAATGCGAAAAGTGAAGAGAGGAGACCGATGGACAAGGATCCCCATAAGGAAGCCACTCATAATAGAAGACTATAATAAGGGCATGCTTGGTGTTGACAAGTCCGATCAACTTATCGCTTCTTACAATGTCTTGATGAAGTGTGTCAGGTGGTGGAAGACACTGTTCTTCCACTGCATTGACATTACTGTCGTCAACAGCTTTGTCATCTTCCAAGAACACAGGGAACATCACCCCGAGATAGAGGAGCTCACCAGAAAGACTGGCTTTGACCAGCTCGCATTCCGTATTGAGCTGGTCAACCAGATTTTCGGGATGGACGACAGACATGTTCACCCTCCGCCTCCTCCAAAGAAGTCTGAGCACAAGCCCCAGGTGCAAGAAAAGCGCCGTAACTGCAAGCTCTGCTACGAGAAAAAGAAGGTCGAAAGGAAGACTGCAGTTTTTTGTGAGCCGTGTGGTGTGTATCTGTGTTTCATCCCAACGAGGGACTGCTTTGGAGGATGGCACGCCACACACCCACGCTAACTTTTTTTTTTGCGCAAAGAACGGTTTTCAGCAATACCCTCTGAAAATTGTGTTATCATTTTATGGCATAATAAGCTACAGAATGCATATCTTGAAATTTTTTCACTCTTGATATTTTTAGAGTTGTCCACCTTTGTCAAGCAGAACAACATCCTCACTGTATAAAGTTTTACATTAAAACATTTTTTTTATTATGTTGTGCAATAAATGTATATGCAGCATTTATGTTATCGAATAGAAAATTCTTTTAACTACATTTTGATACCAAACAATGTAAATAAGGCATTAGTGAATCTGCACCAAAAGATATTTCCTTCCACCTAGTAAAAACTGCCCTTTTTCCCGTGGTAGCGAAAGAGTTAATGTACTATTCTGACTTTTTTTTCGGTCCTTGCGAAGTCCGAAAAATCAGTCGGCGACTGTACTACTATACTTACTCAAACAATATGGTAGCTTCAATTTCTTTTTAATTTAGTGCCTAAAAGTCAGTTTTTGCATTATTATCAAATAACCGTGCAATTATTACGCAAGCAACATATACCTGCCCATGGATACTTGATATGAGAAATACTGAATCTGGATCAAAATCCACTGAGGCAGACAAATGTAAGTATGTGGAGCTTAAAAATTGATGCCTGACCTGACGTTGCCGATGACCAGTGCCCAATTGCGCTTGTTGAGCCCCAGCAGATTCCGTGCTGGCACTCGATACACAGACACCAGCTGGCACGTCTTGCCACGCTTGTCCTTGGTGCCCGCATAGGCAAAGCATGAAGGCTTGAACCTGCAAAGATTTAAAAAAGAGAAACATTTTTCGTTTGTTTATATAGTGTTCAGAATTAAAACTTTATAGTATTTCTCCACAACACGGTCCAGTCATTTTCAAAGAAGAAATACCAAGCTTATGCAACTTTATTCACGAGAGCATAGCCAATACCTATGAATGGCTAGGATGTTAGAAAATCTGAGGCCATCCAATTCATTTAACAGTCTCCCTCTGCTTTGAATGAACTGACTGCCACAAGTATAGGCTTATAGCAGTCCCAGAAGATGAAAGCCCATTTCTGAGCCAAAGGTAAAGTGACCAACATCTTGCCCTCTTTGCTGCCGTCGGCAGCCCCAAAAGAGATGCAATGAGGGATAAGACACGAAAGCTGAGCCATGGGGGGCAGAAACGGCTTGCCTGAGAACAGAGGCAATCATGTTCACTGCCTCCATGGTGTCTGCATTCTCCTTGTACAGGGCAAACGTTGTGTAGTTCCCCCGGCCAAAAGGCCAGTATCTGCGTTTCCTGGGTTTCCGCACGGGGAGACCGTCGGCACCTGAAACCGCAACGCCCTTGTGACGTTGCCCTCATTGGCCGAGCCGGTAAAACACCACCACACCCTGAAAAACAACTTTGGGAAAAGCTAGCGTACCATGTGCACAAACTTAGTGTGAGGTCAATTTTAGATGAAAAGCAAATATCAGATTTATAACGTGAGCCTCACTAGCATGCCAAATGCACGCGTGAAGGTTGGTTAATTGCAGAAAAACGGGCCAAGTAAGTGCTAATTGCCACAATTCAAAACCCTCTGCTCTATACCAGTGGGCAAAATGAGACCAAACGTTTTGTGCACAAAATCAGCGAGCCTTTTCTGGGGGCCAGTGCGGAAGGATGCTGCTTCAATAATTCTACGGTGAATCTTTAGTCATAACCTTATTGCGGGCCCAATAACAGCAAATTCATAAGACATGTGCAGGAATTTAGAGGCCACCTTTTCTTGCAAGAATTAAAGGCTTCACTAAGTGAAAAAAAACTTTTTTATAGGAATTAAAATGTCAAAAGCTCAGCTGACATACCCACCCTGGGTGCATGTATCTCAAGCCTTGAGCATGGGGCATTCAAAAATTACGTATGCAAAGCAGCAATGGTGCAACCAGACACGAGCAGAGGTATACGAAAAAGATTAAACACTTTTTTACGTGTTCTTATAAGTTCTCCCCTTTTCGCCGCACCGCTACAACGATAAAACTTTTTCCAAGTCTCAATTATTCCAGGTGCGGCCCCCCTCCCATGGCAGGGCTTTGCATTCCGAAGTTTACTATGACCATATGTCACAAAAACCGGCCTGGTCCCGCCGGGCCACGCCTATTGTAAAGGGTGCCACGTCGGCTGCCTGCGGGGCCATGTGGTGACACTCCCTGGTTGGCGCTAGTTAGCACCTCGCCGGTCCCGACTGGGACCCTAACTTGACTTGTTTATGGCCTCTGCGACTCCCGTTCGAGGGACGCTTTTGCCCGATACTTGGGCGCTGTACCAGTTCTTGGAATTTGGAAATGAGTTTGCCAGATGCCCCAGTTGAGCGTTTTTGGTATGACTTTGTTTGGAGCTGGGGGCAACAAGTGTCTTCGCCGCTGTGACTGTCATTTTTTTTTTGTGTGCGTGAGTGTATTGCGATTGTAGGAGAGCGGGTGTGTTTTATTTACTTTATTAGGAAAGAGCGCCGTTTGTTTGAAACTGGGAAACGGCGCGGCAGTCGACTTGGGAGGTTCGAGAGCACAACTTGCTCTTCCTGTCGGCTCCGGGCATAGCCTCGGACACCGCGGTAAAGGGAAAGGCCCGTCTGGACACTGAACGTCAGCTACGTCTGTGCGGCCTCCCTCTGCCAGACTGCCCAGTGCGTCAACCGTCCGTGACGCAACAGCGACTAAAGCCAACGACCACCGCCTCTGGCGCACCGCAGCCACGTCGAGAGGAAATCCATCGCAAGCGACAGATTTCAGGTGTTCCCACGCCTCTGCGAGCCTCGTCGTGCAGGACTGCGCCAAAGTGCAGTATCGCTCTTATTCCTCTTGTTATGTATTCTCTGCCCTGCCCATAGCCACCAAGTTTCTCTTGTATGACTCCGCCTGATTGAGACTGTGTCTGTATTATCCTTCTACTTCTGTCACCATCTTACTAGCCTTTTATTAAATGTTTCTAGTGCTCTGTTTGTCACGTGCCTTGTCATTGTCCCCCCGTCCCTGGAGCCCACGGACTGTGGGATAGCGGGCGTCCGAACACCCGTTGCGGTCTGTGGCGAGTGCGCTTCCCCTCTCGCTCCGCACCGAACCGTGACACCATGTGACCATAAAAAACATGTCTGGGGAAATATTTCTATGCTTTACAGATGCACTGTGATAAAGACGTCACAGCATGCTATTAACACTGTTGCATGAGGTACTGACCTAGTTAAATGTTTTCAAGCCAGAGTGGCTACGCTAAAAATATTCCATAATGAAAACCAACGCTAGAAATGAGAATGCAGGTATGAAATACCACGCACAAAATAAAATGAAGGTAACAGGCAGAGGTCCTATATTTTCAGCAGATACATTATCTCACATGGGCCCCCGTCTGGAATGTAGCTGCCCAACTAAATTCATCCAATAACAGTCGAAGAAATGATAGCAGTAAAGCTAGTAGAACTTCGGCACATTTAAAAGCATCCTGGTTTAATATGCAGGTTGCAACGTCAATTTGAATGCAAAACAAGTGCCGTGATAATTATGTGACTGTTTTGACACTATGACTGTAAACACCAACCAGAAAAAAAAAAGAAAAAATGTGATACAGCTCAGCCAATGAAGGCAAGCTGCCAGAGGAAATTAGGTGTGATGCACTGGAAGACCTTTCAAGAAATTCCAGGTTGCACTGCTTTCTTCTGATCCGACAGTGAATTGTACACGAAGCAGACAAACCTGTTGCACGGCCAGCCTTCTTCTCCACCAAAATGAGCTTCTTCGCTCCCTCCTCCTGGTCCTTCGTGACGCTGTCCAGGTCCGGGAAGTTTTTCCTCACCAGTCCATGCACCTGCCGCCTCTCCTCCTTTGACATACTCGTCACCTGAGGGAAACCAGTCACAATTGACGCATTTGTGACACTGGTACTTATTACCCGACAAAGTGCTCTTGGAACGTCCAATGCTTTGCTGCCCGAAGAGCACTGCAAACCTTAGAAACAAACATTGCGGTAACGCGCTGTCAACCTGCTGCCACGAGCTTGAAGCAAGTGGCATATTTCCAAATACGTTGAATGGGTGTAATAATCCCACCGCTTCACCATAACAGCGGTGACTCGCCTTCGGAATCTCACACGCAGTTTAGACAAATCACAAAGGTAGCCAGACTGGTAGGAAGAACTCTTATCGAAACATTGGTTCCCACTCTGGGGCTTCCAGGAGGTTCCTTTCCCTAGTTCATGCCGCAGTAAAAAGCAAGTCCCGATTACGGTGAAACGATCACTTGTGCCATCTGTACCACGAGCACGCAGCGAAGTTGTTTCGCGTCAAAAAGACATCTGCGAAAGCCTTTCCGAGACAGACCGAAGCGCGAGCTGGCTTACGTCGATGGTGACTTTCTCTGTGCGTTCTCCGGAAACGAGCTCGTTCAGCTCTTCCATAGTTTCGGGTGGCAAGACCTCCTCAGCCCAGGTGGTATCCTGAAAAGTTCAGCGGAAAGAAACAAAACAAAAACTGTTCGTCAGCACCGCGGATAAAGACTCCATGGAGTGCTGTAAAAAACAAACAATAAAAAATATACAAAACGCGGTCCCTCACCTCAGCTGCATCTTCCGGCGGTGGGTCTAGCGACGTCAGCCGCACGACTTTGCCGGAGAGCGATACTTCGTTGACTAAAAAATCCGAGTACCTGCAAGACAAGCCGTCACTAAAGAAGAGGCGCCCGCGATCGTTTTATTTTTACGACACGTTACCTCTGTTTCAGTTGACCGGAAAATCCCTTGTGGTTGCCGATGTACTCGGTGATCCCAACATTTTTCTCGGATGGGAGAAAATATTTCGCAGCCGTGGTTGTACCGCCACTATCGTCCGTCTTCACTTTTTTAGTTTCCCTCTGCTCGGCGTCATCTAGCTCCCTTTTATTCGCGCTATCTGAAATCTCTGCCATGTTTTATAGACCTAGTTCATGTATAGCGCGAATGAATGTCCCAACTGCACTTCGTCAACAAACCTCCATCAACTCAACAACACGAAACACGCGGCTCAAGCAAGCTCAACAAACTTGTACAAACCGGAACTGCCGGAACTTGGAAGTAATAAATGTATCGGCCCCCTACTTCAAGCCGCACGAACGCTTTGACTATTTTCTTCACACCCTTTACAAGTACTATTACTGCTTTAAAAAACCATAAATCTGGTTATTTTAAAACATAAAACAAAATAATTTTATAAAAATAAAATCTATCTGCTTAAATATGGTTTCTTACCGTGTTTTCATCACGTGGCTTTGTTCAACATCCGCACACGCCAGCCGCCAGCTTCCAAAATGGCAGCTCCCAGAGTTGTCGTTTAGAACGTTCGGGGGGGCCCGATCGGAGTGCGGTTGTGCATATGGTTCGCGCTCCGGCGCCCGACCGCCCAGAATGTTGAACCGCTTCAAGAATGCCATTTACAACGTGGTCGGAGGCCTGGACGCACTGCCGACGGTGAAAGACGGCGAGCCAGCCGGAGCCGACAGGCTGCCCCTCAAGTTCAAATACACGAGGCCTAGCTTCCTTCAGTTGACGTCCGACGACGAGATCCAGGTGTCCGCGGACCATGTCATCCGCCCCATCATCGTGCCGAGGGACATTACCAAGATACCGTGGAACGCCGGCTACGCAGAGTACGTACGCCGTCGCGCTCCGCGTTCGCAGCTGTCGCGCGGAACCGTCCATTCATTGGAGGCTCGCTGCCGTGCTTCACTCGAACCCGCAATAGGGCCACGTTCAAGAACATCGCAAGCGTCTGGCTACGGGATACTGCCTTTCTAAATTGGAATATAAGAACGGAAGCCTATGAGCAAATATGCGAACGATATCAGTATCATGCTTGCGTGTTAGGCGATGTTTCTGCGTCGCGCCCAACGGTACCTAGTTGGAAATTGGTTGGAATGGGCAATCGTTTTATGGTAGAGGTCGTCACAGCACGGTTTGTACACGTGCATGCTGAGGCTTCTCGTCGACGGTGGACGTCCTATCAGCGCGTCTCCCGATGCTTCTCTGCAAAGCTCGAGGGGGTGCACTGCCCTCGAGTTGACATGTTCGTGCGCGAAGTGGAGTGGTACTTGAGCTATCTATTGATTGTTTCTCTATTACTAACACGGCCGTACACTGATTTGTCCATGAAGCGGCATTTTTTGTTTATGTTTGGCAAGTTCTGCTTTGCAGCGACAAAAATATAGCGCGGCTGTTGTCGATGCAACAAAATTCGACAATATGTCCATTGAAATCGCCATTGGAACGCTGGGATGGGCTAAGCAACGCATACGCGAGCATACGTTCACCGCGCAGAGCAGCAGGTGTGCACGTGAAAACCGAGGTAACCTTCTCTCCTTTGGCTTTTTACTCGTTAATGTCGGCTCCGGGTTCCAACTTTTGCGATGGCTGGAGAACGATAAGTGGTTTTGTTTAACACTCTTAATAAAATTGCGTTAAAAAACTAAAAAAGAAAAGCAAACAATGACGTGCAGTTGTAGAGGTGCATGCAATTTCTCCTGTGTCTGTCCTTGTTATCCCATGTCCATCTTTTTGTAGTTCATAATGCATCTAGAGGCTCGTTTCTGAGTCCAGAGCGAAAACATAACTCAGCCAAGTCTCCCTCGGCGCCCACCAGGAGGGATCACAGAAGACCCCTTGTTCCTTGCCAGGAATCGAACCCCGAACCTCTTGCTTCATAGTCTGAGGCCGTACTTCTGCGCTAGCAGAGCCGCTTGGATGAGCACTGCTACTTCTGCTGCATACTCGCGTTGTCGCACTATTTGAACTGACCTTGCTACTTGGCATAAAGCCGATTGATGCCGTGTGTTTGTGTCGGCGCCCCTAACGGATTACCCCAAAAGCCAACCAAATGGGCAAAACAGATAGAGACACATATACATGACGTATTCTGCAACAGTTGGCTTTATTGCCATGCATCGAGGTTACTCAAAATATTTTTTCCTGTAGTCATTGACAGGATGACAATGGCAGGGCACTTCTTTTGGACACGCAGCTCATATCGCGCGCTCGACTTGTCGTGCATCGGATGTGCTTGAATGCTCAAAACGTGAGAGAAGCCGAAGTATTTGCATCTCCAGCTCATTGCTTGCCCTCTCGCGGCAGAAACGAGAAGCATCGTAGTGAGGGTCCCCCAGTTTTCCTGCTCAGTGGGCACGGTGGAAGTGCTTGCGATCATAGCTCGCAAACAGTCGTTTCTGAATGTGAACAACACTCTCCACCCGCCTAATGTAGTGCTGCAGCCAGTATGGGATTGTACCTTACTAGAAGGTTCTAGTATTTCTTATAAAAGCAAGTCAAGCTCCGTGCATTTGCGTTGAAGTTGCGTGCTCCACCTTGCGCACGCGCGTCGTTACAATATGCTAGTTTAAGGCTGCAATTTTGGGTTCTGCTCACATGCAGTGTGGAACATGCATGCAAACGCAAACTCGCAGTGCTTGTGTTTGCTCGTACATACAATACTAAAACTCGTTACTGTTTCACCAGTTTTCCAACGCCAACGAAACTTGCGGCAGTGAGCAGACATGCATGCTGTCAGGCGTTTCTTCAAACTGGAAGGGCTGAGGTAGATAAAACGGCGGCGCATAAAAATGAAGGAAACTAAATGTTCTGGGAAGTTTTGTAATTAAAAAGCAATGGAAAGCTTTGTTTTATTTCGGGGCACTTGGTTTGCCAATTGTCAAAATTCACGACTTTGATATGCTGTACCAACAATTGAATGTCATTTTACGTGGATTTCTCAGACTAGCTAGAATGTTTTCATTGATTTTAGACTATTTTTATTTTATAATGTGTTAATAAAAGAAGTTGCAATTGCCACCAGTAATCATAATTTTTCAACTTTGGATTGCCATATTTGTTTGCACGTTTAAAATTAGATCAACGAATTGCATTAGAGCTTGAAAAACTATGTATTAATATCTTAATTGTATTATTATTAATATAGATTGTGGTAATGTAGGCCTCCAATAAATGCCACAATCACAAAAATATGCCATTTAACCATAATAGTCTAGAGGAAGGTCTCACCTTGTTTTCCTTTTAGCATATGAAAAACTCTGTCGTTGTTAGCAAGATAGGCAAACACTGGATGTGATATAAAGTCGCATGCATCATGTATTGCCCTAAAAAAACACTTCTGTTGTCTGACTCGGATTTTGTTTTGGGGTTTTCATATTGAGAATAGTCTTTCTTAATTTATACGTTTAAACTCGTCACCCGTGGTGATATTTTGTAAAATTTGATTTGATTCTGTTATTCTTTTGCTGGGAAAAATGCTAAAACAGTTAATCGTCAATATGTCTAAAAGCCCATTAAAGGGCCAGCAGTTCATTATTTCACATGACAACTATCTGAGTGAGGAAAAGCAGCAAAAACACAAATATTAGCGCTGATTTTCTCAACAAATACAATATTCTATGTTATTTCTAAAACGAAACTCTACAAAATATTTTGAAGCGCCTGGATTCGTTAGTATGTCACAAAATAAAGTTTCCACAAACAATTCCTTCTGCTCAGTAATTATGCTGTGAATTGAAATGAACACTTACATTGAGAAATTAAATCCAAAATATAAGTTAGTTTTGATTATGTTCCTGAATTAAAACGTTCCCCCTGGCATAAATATTATACTAAACACCGTTTTTGTTTTCAGGATAAAGAGGTGACCTCGGTGCATAACACCTGAGCTTCCTCGTATAAGCGGGAATAATTTGAGTCGCTCAGTGAAGCCAGCGCACTAGACAGGCTCAGCAACTGGTATACCAGCACGGATCTCTGACCCTCACTATAACCGCCATTTTGGAAGACTAGTGTCGCCACATCGAGCACCTACAGGAGCCAGAGTTGCGCGTCTGTTTTCCACGTGCCGCCGTGCCGCTATTTGCCGAGATCCAATCACGTGAGGAGTAAATTCCAAGTGCCGTGTAGGAAAGCCACTGGTAGGGCCGCTTCGCCGACGACGTTGTACTCGCTCTGCCGTATGTTCCCCTTCTTTTGCCTCCTGTTCTTCCTGTTTCCTGGATAGGTGGAGAAGGAGTGCGCCATGTGGCGCCGCTATCGCCAAATTCAGTCACGTGACAAGCAGAACCCCGGGTCATGCGGGAAAGCCGGTGGTTGTGACGCAACTCTGGCTCTCGTAGCAAGCCTATACAGGAACTCTAGCGCCACCTATAGACAGTTGGAGTCGCGAATTGTTGAGGGTAGGAAGCTCTCGCTGGAACGTGCACAACTGAGACTTTTCTCTGCTGTTCACTATAGATCATTTTACTTGAGTGGGAGGGGAAAGGGAAATAAGTCTCCATGTTTGGGCAGTTTTAGTGGTACAGCCCACCAGAACTGGCCAAACAATAAGAACGGCGCATGCGCTTTCCTCCTTCTGCCCCGCCGAATCGGTTAAAATGCCCATGGTGGACATCTATCTGCTATCCGGCACGTGCTATCGGGTCTGCTATCGGGCACGTGCCCTTTTCCTCTTATACCCCGACGATTTTGTTGAAATGCCCGGATGTATGTAGATGGTACCACTGTCAAACAAAATGGTGCCACCCAGAGAGCCCTTAGTGGAACAGTCTACGGCTCTTTCTTAAAGAAAAATTAATTCCGAAAAGGCAGCTTCCTTGGTGTCTCACGGGGGCGGTCTTCCACAGGGCCATCAATGCAGGCAAGAGCCTGCGCAATGAGGACCAGGGGGCCATCTTCCGGGGCGCAGTGCGGCGCCATGTCCAGGCGGCGCCGCGGGAGCCCCGGGAGTCGGGGTCCAAACAGAACGTCCAGCCAGCGGCGGACGGCGACCCACCGGGGAGCCCCAGGCGGGAGTCCGCCTCACCGCCCCTCTCGCCGCTCACACCGGAAATGACCGTCGGCAGTGACACGGTGTGTGCGATGTTGCACGTGGCTTGCGCATGCCTTGCTTTATTCTTTGTGTCATTCGTTTGGAATTTAGCCCGCATTGTCCGAGGATATCACCGGAGAGAGTTCGCAGTATTGTAAAAAGCGTGTCCTTGTTTGAGTTTACTAGAATGGAAAGTTGGGCGAGTTGGTATGAATTCATTTTGAAAAACAGCGCGATTAAGAAGAGTGGCACACTTCAACTTTCACAGCTAGTACCGCCTAAAATTTATTTTGCAAAAAAAAAAAAGAAGTATTTACTTACATGTTTATCTCTGTGCTGTGTTTCCTAAAGGGTAACTCTGCTCAAATCTGAAGATTTCAGGAAAATGAGTGATTTTGCACTGAAAAGCTCTAGTAAAAGACACTACGTGATCTGCTTCGCAAGAGATGGGCTATATATTTTTAAATCTAATTTTGAACCCAAGCACGAATCGAAACCGAAACTTTGGCTTCGTACTGCGATATTGGCCTTGGGGCGCCAAGAACATGGCTATCACGTAGTACGAGACGTCACGTGATCCTCTACGCTACGACGGGCGGGATTGGGGCGGGCGTGTGGCAGGCGCAAGTGTCGTCTGCACCGTACTCTTTACCACGTTTCGGTGTCTACGACGAGGCAAAGATGGCGGTTGTAATACGGGAGACGGTGGTAACGGTGGGACCACGGCAGGGTGGCCGGAAGGCTCCCAAGAAGTGCGGTGTGCAGGCACGTTATGCCAATCGCGTGGACACCTCTAAGCCTTGAGAGGAAATGTTGCTGATGTCACCTGTTGTGCTTGCCCAGAGAAGTAAAAACAAGCAAAAGGAGGCAATGGTGATGACGCTTAGCTCGATGTTGGCTGTGCCCACGCTGTAGCCTTGACTGTGTTGTTGGTTGCGCCTCAGTTCGCCCTCTCAAGTCAGCCGACTTTGGAAATTCGCCAAGTTGCGAAGTTTGCCGAACCGTTTAAGGGGGGACACCACCTTAAAATTGCAGTTTTTGAGAAAAAAAAATGAATTTTTGTATTTTTCTGTATTGTGGTTCCACAACTAAGAGTGTATAGTCCTGCAAATTTTTATTGCAATATCTGAAGTATTTACGGAGAAATAAAACATTTTCGGTCAACCAACGATGCAAAGTCATATGTTTTTGAGATGTGAAACTTCTGTTTCCTATTTTCAAACTGCTGTAGCTTTGCACCAGTGTGCCCTTGAATGATGATCATATTCTCGTTAGAAAGAGCATTTCTTCTCAGTTTCAGTACATTAAATATTTTTGTTTGAGACCAGACTATTTGGGCGAGGACATCATAGAAGTCCAGCTTTCATGTAGAAGAGGCTATGCATATGGCCAAGAATCGAAAAGGCCACCCTGACTGAACACAAAACTGACTAAAACCAGCATTCATTTATAGAAAGTCGCGTGGGTTTGTCTGCTTTGTATTTCAATGACGCTTGCCCCGCCCATACTTGGTGATGCTGGTTCGTGTATTGCAACCATACCCAATTCCTCACTCATTTCACAATCAGTGTCCAAATGACGACAACAAAATCACGTTCAGAGAAAGCGCTTTAAGCTCGGACTCACTGAGCAAAGCCATGCTGGAGATTGGGTGTAAGCAGAAGGCACCATCTATGCCCTTGGTGCCTTTTAGTTGCCACCACCTCGAGTAAAAGCAAATGTAGTGGTGTGGAAACTTCAAACAGGTTTTTCTTAGTTTCACTTTTTTGCAGCAACTTCCGTTTTAGGAAATCTATCATTTCAGTGAATCGCTGAATGTATTCTTTTCTGTGGATGTTTCTGAACTGAAATTTAATGAAGAAGGGGGGCTAGATATTTCTTTTTCTATTTAAATAAAGTTCTTACTGCCAAAACGTAGAGTTTTGATGAGGAGAAAATGCCCCATTATGGTGGAATGCTTTTCAAATGGACATTTTGCTTAAAAGAAACATGAATTTTAAGGTAAAAAGTAGATAGCCCTACCACCATATGTTCTAGTTAAGGCTAAAGCTTAGAAATGCTCAATATTCTCCAGCAATTTTATACAATTTAGATTTCCATGCCAAATGAGGCGACTTACATCAATAGCTGTGCACCTCCCCCTGTAGCTTATCGGAAAATAGTTCTACAGAGATGAAATTTCATAGAGTGCATTTAGGCAACGAGATGAATAGACCCTCCAAATTTCATCAGTATTGAACTACCGGTTTAAAAGTCGACACTTGAAGGTGGTGTCACCCCTTAAGAAACATTTAGACTGATCTACTTCGTAATATTTGATGTGGTCTTCCTAGGTGATACTGAAGAGGATTGCATTGTTTTTAAAAAAAAAAAAAAAATGAAGCTGAGTTACTTTTTAACTTTACAGGTCTGATGCCCCAGCTGTAATTTAAAGTGGTTGCTTTAAATATGTAGCGTCAGTTTTTTTTGTTTCTTTTTTCATTGCATTGTGTAAATTACTTTTTTAAAATGCTTCTTAAAACTAAAACAAGCTTTTTTTTTTTATTGTCAATCCTTTTTTTTGTTGCACTGTCTCAGGTCGAACATAGCAGTTTTATTTTTATCATTTAGAGAATGTTTTATAAATACCGTGGCACATGTCAAGTGTTCAGTGCACCATGTGTTTCTTTTTCTTTTCACCTTTCTAATGAAAGCGGAGCGATGCTTACTTCGGTGCAGCAATATTTTGCCAGACGAATTTCATTAGTATGTGCGCTAAGACCTGACTTCTGCCAGCATTGCCTGGGCTTGCAGGACCCGCTGTCGGGACACTTTTCCCTCGTTACATTTTACTTTTAATGCAAATTCTTTACCACTTGTGTGTCCTAACTGAATGTTTGCATCTCATAGAATGTAAAACTTTCCATTTGCTATGGTTCACACAGTATGATGGTTAAGTTTTCTGAGTGGCAAACCTTCAACTGCTTCCAGTTCTTCGTGAAACTAAACTTGCACAGTGGCAGATCTCATCAGTGCTCTACAATGACTTGTGTTTCTTTGCTGTGCAGGTGGAACAGATGCTGCCATGGGTCTACTTTGCCCTCTTTGATGGACATGCGGGCAGTGGGGTAGCAGTGGCTGCCTCTAACACCCTGCAGAAAATAATTCAGGTATGACGGCAGTGGCACTCGAAGTTGTTTTTTTAGTTAAGTGTCTGTATTGAAGGCCCAGGCACATGCATCACAATAAGACAGATTGATACACGAATGAAATGCGTGGAATTGAAAAATATTCTGTCAGGCATGGTGCAGGTGCACCTAAAAAGTTGGAAGAAATTGAGCCTGCCGACATCACACTTTTATTTTTTGGCTGAGTTGAAACAGGGTAGTGTGTGTGCAGAATGCACGCCAGATACTTTCTGTTCTGTAAAAGTGATAAGCAAAAGTGCAAAGGTGGCAAGACAGAAAGCGAGAGCTAGCTTTACGACAATAGCACACCCCAGTAATTCCTATACTCGTTATCACATCACGAAAAAAGGTCATGCTTTTAGAATATTTGGTTATTAGACGAAGAAATTATGCTTTTGGTGTTTGAAATGTGTACCTTTTGCTAAAATAACACAAAGCTAATCTAGGATGCACCTATATATAACATACCATAAAGTTCCGAAAGAACGCCCTCCCAAAATGAAGATGTTTTTCCTCATTTATCTTCATTTTGGGTGGGCGTTCTTTCGGAACTTTACGGAATGTTTATTCAATGCATGAAAGGGGAAATTTGTAACATTCTGCAAGGAGCCACACTGTTTTTACCACGGTTCTGCCAAACTCTTTTTTACTACGGTTCTTGATTGTGAAATCCTTTGTAAAAACTGCGGAAAAAAAAAAATAGAATTATGAGACGCCTCCAGTCCAGAGGAAAACCAGGGTTCGGTGGCAAAAGGACTTGGCGGAGAAAGAAAGAAAAGTGAGGCGAATGGTGACCAGTACTGCATACTGTAAACAAAGGCGCCACTCTTTGGACCTCTCTCGCAGGAGAAATTGATGAACATCATAGACCTCCTGTTGCCGTCCACTGTCGAGAACGGGGACGCCAAGGACAATGCCACTTTCCTCCCCTTCGGGGCCGGCGACAAGAAGATCAGCACGGACAGCCTGATCATCGGCGCCCTGGAAACCGCCTTCTGGGACATGGTGAGCCAAGTGCCCGAAAATACGAGCGTGCTCTATCTCGCACTAGAATGTAACATCTGGGATTGCCAGCATGCCTGCTGCAAAGCTTAGTCCACTTTGCTTCCCAATCCATGCAGTTCAGGTGCAATTCTAATTCGTGACGGGGATAGTAGCCCGGTGGGGCAGAAAGTGAGAGTTTTCGCTGCAGCCAGTGACTTTCTCTTGGGGTTTGTTAAGCGAGTCAATGCCCCGACCGCCTTGGCGATGTTTCAAAGCCTGCTGCTGTGTGGTTGCAGGACAAGCAGATAGCGAGGGACAAGAAGCACTACAAGATGACCGGGGGCTGCACGGTTCTCGTCGCTCTCTTCATTCTGGGCAAGCTGTACCTGGCCAACGCAGGCGACAGCAGGTGCGCATTTTCTCCAAGCGCCTGCAACTTGGATCTCCAGGGCCCACAGATTTGGGAGTGCGGTCCTAGGTGGCATTGCTAGGAGTGAAACCTCGCAAGTTGGAACATTAGATTAGGCACCTAAATTCGTAGCGAATTTGTTTTGTCAGGGTGACGTTGCTTGTGAGTAGGGATTTTTGTGCGCTCTTTTAGTTTTTATCGTACTCGGTGATGGAAATCTACATTTGTCATCATCAACCTTTCGGACGTGACTCCAATGCGCAAGATCATATATTGGATAAAAATGTAAAATTGTTACATAAAGAGAAGGAAAAGAGTGGTTAAAAGCTTTTGGGGGGGTGGTATCTATAGAATGTAAGCAGTATGTTCTTTTGGGGTTCTTTTTGCCTTCCTGGTTGTGTGAGGTTAAGAAGGGAACATTTCCATGCTTGACACTTGCGCCCAAAATTGCGGCGTAACTTGAGTCTTTTGTCACGTAGGGCCATCATCTGTCGAGGCGACAAAGTGATCCCCATGTCTGCCGACTTTACCCCCGAGTCTGAGCGGTCCCGCATCAAGCACCTGGTAAGCGGCCACAGAGAAAAATCAGCTCTATCGGTTTGTTCAGAGATGCAATTTCAACTAGTTCACCCAGATTTTATCTTAATAGGCAAAATTGCTTTGTTAAGACGACTTTTATCATCATGTTTTTCTATCTATTATAAGGAATTGCTTCTTTCATTTTATCTTTCATCATACTCATTTACCACTTAAGATAAGGGCACATGCTATTCCTTGGTTTTTGAATATTTACTCTTTCTGGGTTCATGATAGACTGGAAAGTTGAGACAGTTTACTGTCAATTAACATGCAAGCTGTTGCAATCATTGTCTGAGCAAGCCAGTTTACTAACTTTTACAGACATGATATATATACTGTAAAATACCGGGCAAGCGCCCACTGAATATTTAGAGATGATCGCGAAAAAATGGGGGGTGGGCGCTTGTCCGGTCATCAATTTTACATATCTGTACTATGCATATTTTCTCAGATCTTACAAATTTGGGTATGGGGGCTTAGTGTGGTATGGGCGGATGTGCGGTATTCTAAAGTAGGGTGGTTCAAGTCACCAGGCTCTATCTAAAATGGACCTTAAATATCGACGCCTGCGAGTAGCAATCCAAACTTTTCGTCAAAGGTGTAATTCACAGGTCGTTTTTTTCTTGTGAAGTTACAAAGCGTAGCTCTCTTTCTGCAAAAAATAAGACCAAGAAACTTGCCAGGGTCTACGACGGGCAGCAACGCAGACGACAGGGGTCCAGTAGCGGTCTGTGTTTGGCGTTCATATTGATAGATGGCGCTACCTCCTTATCACGACTGCTCGCAAACCACCGTGATTTATTAGAATGAATATAATCTTTTTAAAATGTACCTTCGGTTAAAAAATAAATGCGAACAATAAAAGCAAAACTTACAAAGTAAAAAAACACGTCTGCGTAATGGCGGCGCTTCTGCTGCCAACGGATTTCGTCTGTGTGTCGTCTGCTATCTTTCGCTGGCCGGCTGCATCTTTAGACGCTGCTCCCGATGCCATGTATCAATACAAACGCCAAACACACCCCGCTACTGGACTTGGTCGTCTGGGTCGTTGCCTGCCATAGACCCTGGCAAGTTTCTTGGCCCTATTTTTTACTAAAAGAGAACTATGCCTTGTAATTTTACAACAAAAAAACAATCTGTGAAATACACCTTTGACGAAAAGTTTAGATGGCTACGTGCAGGCGTCGATTTTTACGGTTCATTTTAGAACGAGCCTGGTGACTTGAACCACCCTATACATGCACAATCCTGCGTTACAATGCATGTCACAGTAATTTAGGGTGTAGCATATAGTACGGTTAAACCAAAATGTAACAAATCTTGAATTCCGAAAAATACTAGTTTTCAAAATAATATAGTACTTTCAATTTAAGCCAATGTGTACTATCTTGTTCTCGATTTAGCAGAGTGTACACCTTCAAAAAAAAGCCTTGTTGCTGATGATGATGCAGCTGTGTGACTTTCGCACCTCTTATCAGCTAGAAATTTTCTCACAGTCTTGTACTGTTGAATTCTGCTCTGCACGATTGTCCACCTATGTTTCGCGGTTTTGCATTCTAAGATTCCGGCCTCTCTTGAAAGTTTCCACATAAATTTTTCTTATGCATGCTGCACACCCTTTCTGTGTTATCTTCTACTGTGAAAAATAGGGCTGGTAAGCACCTGGCATTCAAACGTTTCTGCTTGACATTCACGGGAAACGAAGGAAAGGAAGGACATCGAACGGCCTTCGACACGATTTTGTGAATAATGCCAACTTTTCTCCTCACTTCCAGAGATAATCCACGTAGAGTCCTCAGTCATCGTCAAAAATACCGTATTTACTCGATTCTAAGCACATCGTTTTTTTCACACCCGCGATGTTCAAAGGGGGGGGGGGGGGGGGGGGGTGCTGCTGCTTAGATTCAGAACATGCCCTGAAAATACGAAATTTGCTCAAGAAATATGAATTTATTATAATCAAAATGAAAGAATAAATGTTCTAAAGGAAATAAATAAAGTAAAGACTGGAGAGTAAGCCGCTTGCCATCAGTTTGCACCACAGTCGACTAGTCGCTCTCGGAACTAGTTTTTTGAGGATACTAGTGTAGGGTACAAGTTTCCGACCGTCGGCTGTGATGCACAGCATAACGGTCACCCTTCGCTTCTCATAGCCAGTCATACGCGCTTTTACTTCTTGGGCGCCTACTTCGTTCACGGTGCACGTCCTTGGCATGCCGATGTACACTGGGGTCTCATCAGCATTGCCGATCTGCCCGATTCTGTAACGAGATTCACGACGCAGCTTCATCAGATAACGTTTGAAGTTGACAAGCTTGTCCTCGAAGTCCACCGGTAGCTTCTGGCAGATAGTGGCTGCACGGATGCAAAAGTGGAAAATGGTGGTATGTACTGCCATCTATTAACTGACGTTGAAACCAAGTGCCAGCGGCCGTTCGCGACTCCGGCGCTTGACGATACCGGCGTCTTCGATCTCAGATTTTTTTGTTAGAAAAAAAAGTTTCCATTCACATGCAAACTTTTTTTTCAGGTGTTTATGTTTGAAAGTTGGGGAGGGGGGGGGGGGGGGGAATGCTTAGAATCGCAAAAATATGGTACTAGTAGTTTTTTGGGTGGGGAACGGGTCAGTCGCGTTCGTTCCTTCTCCTTGGCGCTGGTGTGGAAAAAAGGAAGCTCTTCCCAAAAGAAAGTCCTCTTGGATTCTGTCCGATCTTCAAGATGTGACTTTCGTCAACACTCTAGGGCTGTGTTATTTGCAATCTTTCTCAAATAAGTTCTTTTCATATGACGCTGCACTGTGTGGTACATACAATATGTTGTTTGAATATTAACACTGGCTAAATTTTATACCCAAATCCAATCCATAGGTAAACACGTTATTTGTGCATGAAATATGCATGCCTTTCGGCTATCTTCTATTGTTAATTATTTTTAACGTAAAATAAAACAAACATTCCAGTAGCATTCATTCTGTCGCACGTGCACCCAACAAAAATAGTTGACTTTTTTTGTTGCTGTTTGTTTTAAATAGGGTACAATGCAACGAGCTTGAGCCTTATTTTAGAGCAATAAACCGGAACCCACTGCCTGCAGTGGAAATGGCACCCCCCCGGTTTCCGCCATCTTGCCTGTTTGCCACATTAGCGATCACGTGACGTTAAGATGGCTGCGCCCAAAGGTGGACCAGATCAGATTGGCCAGATCGCGGTCAGCAGATGGGCACTCTGGGGCTGCGTTCGAATCTTACTCGAATGGCGCCGAGTTATTCCGCCGGATCAAGTCACGTGACAAGACAGATGCAGCAATGCTGGACGCTGGTAGGTTTTCGAACGCAACGGGTACGAGAACTTCACCCAGGAGTGAGATAGAAGCTGCATTCGATTTACTTGCACCTCCTGCACCGGTGCAGAAAAGTGCTGGGCGGTGTACTTCCGGTCGTATCTCAATACATATACCGGAAGTAGACTGCCCTACACTTTTCTCAACTAGGCAGACTTTTCTGCACCGGTGCAGGAGGTGCAAGTAAATCGAACGCAGCTTCTATCTCACTCCTGGGTGAAGTTATCGTACCCGTTGCGTTCGAAAACCAACCCGCGTCCAGCGTTGCTGCATCTGTCTTGTCGCGTGACTTGATGCGCCGGAATAACTCGGCGCCATTCGAGTGAGATTCGAACGCAGCCCCAGTGTGCCCATCTGCTGACCACGGTCTGGCCAATCTGATCTGGCCTGGATCTGGCCCACCTCTGGGCACAACCATCTTAGCATCACGTGATCACTAATGTGGCAAACAGGCAAGATGGCGGCGACTGGGGGATGCCATTTTTGACCGCTGGTTTACCGCTCTAAGTTTACTCAAGCTCGTTGGTACAATGCTTTCTCAATGTCCTTGAGAAAATACATGCTCGGTGAAACACAAAAGGCAGCGGGAAAAATATAAGAATTTAGCCGCCAGCAGTGCCTGAATTTGCATCTACGCTGGCTGCGCTTGTCGAACTGAAGAAACCACTTGGTTAGGATTAGCTGGGACGTCGGCGAGAGACTAGCCTCAAACCGAGTGACTGGGCTCGATAAAGAATCCCTTGTTCCTGGGGCTGAGTGTTTTTCGGAAAGGCGTCTAGTTGGCCATTAATGCTGAAAGGCTTTTCGCATCACCAAATTTATGAGGGTTTTCATAATGTTCCTTTCCTTTCTTGGGGAGGGAGAAAACTACAAGGTTACAGTCTCAATTTTTTTGGTCACAGAGGCATGTGCTTCAACTTTTAAGAAAGAAGCAAAAAACCAGGGCATGTGGGAAGAGTGAGAGCAACTCCCTCTTCTGGCCAGGTTTTGCTAAAGTTACTGTTTGAGTTTCCAGAATACTGCATTCCTTTTCTCTTTGCCGACAATCCTTTTGTTGCAGTTGGCAGTGTAGTTTCCATCTTTGTTTTGCTAAAGTCACTGGTCGAGTTTCCAGAATACTGCATTCCTTCTCTCTTTGCCGACAATCCTTTTATTGCAGTTGACAGTGTGGTTTCCATCTTTGGGACAAGAAATTCTGACCCAATCTGAATTAGCCACTCCTAGATTGCGGCGATGCGTCATCGCACTGAGAGCTTTTCTCGTTAAAGTCAGCGTCTTTGTATCTGCACATACAAAGACGAAATCGTTAATTTTAATTTTGCCCCCTCTGCCAAAATTCGGTGCTGCAAGGGGAGACAGTGCAAACCCGTACGCTCATGTTTGTTCAACTCCCTTTCATTTGTGAAAAAACATAATTTTATTTTAAAACAAAAGAAAGAAGCTTATTTGTAAGTCTGCACTTGGATACAGCGATCAATCGCAGGCATAAAAAAAATTGTGATGTACGAGAAATTTTTTTTTTTTTATAGAACAACTTGTCTCTGCCTGTTTGTACTGGCTCCCCCAGAAGGAGTGACTAAAAACAAGCTCCGCTGGCAACCGTCCCCAAAATGGCCGTGCACCGTCTGGAAAAGGGAGTTTTGGTACTTTGGAAACCTACCTAGTGACTCTAGGTTAGGCGCGCGGTTCACACGCTCGTCTTGTGCTTACAAGTTTCGGTCTGAGGCTCATTTGTAAGACGCGACCCTAGGAAGGTTTTGGGAACCCGTAAAATGGTAATTGTGCTAACGAAAAGTAGGATGTAAGGAAATGAGTGATGCATAACGAAGCGACGCCTTTAGTAGAATTTGGTCATTTGTTGCGTTTCACTAACTGTTCGAGGCGCCGAATGTTGGGACCGTGTTGCCGGGTCGCACTAGAGCGGCCGGGGAGAGCGCCCCTGCCCTGACGAGAGTCCGGCCATCCCCGCAGGGCATGCAGTGCCCCGAGCTGCTGGGCAGCGACTTCACCCACCTGGAGTTCATCCGACGCCCCGTGAGGGCGGATCTGGGCAAGCGCCTACTCTGCAGGGACGCCTACATGACCGGATGGTGGGTGCAAACTCGCTCCCCTCGCCTGCCCCCCCCCCCCCCCCCCCCCCCGGGCTTTGGTCTGTCGAGAACGGACTCCTTTCAGAAAGCTCTGCTCCGTAGTGGTAGTCGCAAGAACTTCCAAAAGTTTCTATATGAATTGCGGCAGAAGTAAAATTCAAATCGCTAATATCATGAATCGAAAGCGGCATAATAAAGGAATAAAAAAATGTGTAGGAACCAGCTCCCAGTTCCCCACTGTCGCAGATGTCTCATTTTACAGGCGCGGAGATGCCGCGTGATGCCGCCATTAAGGCCGATTCTGACATTTTCATTAAAGCGCAACCGACTCGGTTACGACTCCTTGTATTCTGCCGCGACGCGTTGTGTGGAGCTCCGTTTCTGTAGCAACCACCTCATCCTGAGCGATTGTAACGACGGTTACGTTCAAACGCAAACGTACGATCCAGCCTTCGGGGTATTGAGTTTGACACTGCCCTGTTGGACACGGCGACTTTTCAGCAGTATCTATATTACTAATAATATTTCAACAAGTACATTAATATACTTATTTAAAAAAGTGAAAGGTAAACCTTTTTTGTGCGGGAAGTCTGTACATGTGTGTCTATGCTCCCTTCGTGTGCTTAGCTTTCATTTTTTTTTTTTTAGTTAGCCCACATTATTTCGGTTAGTTCGTGGCTCGTCTCACGTAGTTCCCAAGATGGGTGGCGGATGTCTTGTGCCAGAAATGGCCGAGTTGTTCGCTTTCACGGCCTTGTCATTCACACTCTTCCATTTACATTGCAAATGCCGGATGCCTTAGAAATTATTGTTAACACTACACATATTATGAAGCCATTTTGAGGTATTGTAGCCTCAGTTGGCCCATAAGCATTTGTGACCACAGACGGTTAATATTGTTCAGTGTGTGTAGCAGTGGCGTAGCCAGTGGGGGGGCTCGTAGGGCTTCAAACCACCGACCCCCCCTGCCCGAAATCCAGCCGACCCTATAATATTCACGTGCATTTTGACCCCCCTTCCTCTGCACCCAAACTCATTAACATCCCAGCCACTTCAGCCATAAAAATATTCCGGGCTGGCTAGTGATGCGTGACGATGCTCTCAAACGGTCATACTGAAGCTACCGTTGGACGAAACTGTTTCAGGGCTTACAAAACCATCACAACGGAGGACCTCAAGTTCCCCCTGATCTACGGGGAAGGAAAGCGGGTGAGTTGGCCCACCGTCGCCCCCTGATGGGGTGCAAGGGCACCTTCCGAGCCCCCTCGCTCTCTCTCTCAGAGTCGGGTGCTGGCGACGATTGGTGTCACCCGAGGTTTTGGGGACCACGACTTGAAGGCCCAGAGCAGCAACGTGGACATCAAGCCATTCCTCACGGCCGAACCAGAGGCAGGTGTACCTTCCGTCTTGTGGCAGTAGAGGGAGCCAGCCCTCTTCGGTTATCTCGCCTCGCACGAGTTGTGTACAGGCTGTAAAAGTGTGCGGTGTCATCTGTGCTGTCATTACAAACCATATTTTCAACCAAAGACACACTACTTCGCGATCAGACAAAGCTGCAACTGAGGTTTTCTATACCGTGTGTACGCGTGCAATGGCCGCACTCGTGTAATAGCTGCACCCCTAGCTTTAAACAAAAAAAAAAGCCGGAAAAAAGTATACCCTAAAACTACCCTTGTATAGGTCGCACCTACGATTTTAGAATGGCTGGAAGCGCCATCTAGTTCGCAATACAAAAACTCAAGAATGTTTTTTTTTTTTTTTAAGTACTGCCGGCGAATGGCGCCATCCGCTACAGCAGCCAACAACATTGAGGCACTCTATCCTGTCTGTTTGTGCCTTTTACTTTATCTCGAACAGTCCCGAACCAGACACAGTGTATCTTTTTGTGCTTGCGAGAGCTCTACTACGGACGAGTGAAAAGGACTTTGGACACCTGTCTTTGCAATACCGATAAATGTTCTCTTGTTCTACCAAGACGTGTGAGTACTTTCATTTAATGAAGGCCTCTAATAAAACTTTCAAAAAAAAAAAAAAAAATATTTTTTTTTTTAATTTTTTGTTTTTTTCCGTGTAATGGCTGCACCCCTAGTTCTCGCCCAAAATCATAAAAAATGGTCTGCGCGCATTACACGCGTCTATACGGTATTTCATATGTTCTGACGTGGCCAAAATATGCGACAAAGGTAGAAAAAGTAAGAAAAAGTCTGTACGTCTTGAGTATCGCATCCGAATAAGTTTCTATGTCGAGGTTGCTACATTACATAGATCATGTGGTCGATATGCTCATGTTAATACATTGTAAAACATGCATTGCCTTAATTAAACTTTCTAGTTGCTTATATTTAGCAATCAGCTTGATAAAATGAGATTGCGAACAAGCTTAAGTGGAATTTTTTTTATTTTCATGCTAATGGACAGGTCAGTGTAGGCTCAGAATTCAGTCGTTTGTCAGATATGAATGTTTTGAGAACTGCACCCCATAAGTATGCAAACATACTCCGTTGTTGAAACATGAATCCTGCGGGCACCCGTGTACCGTTGTAGCTTCTACACGTCGACTCCGCCAGTTATGGTTGAAACGACAAACTGGTTCGCGAACGGATTGATCACGTGACAACAACCTTCCAGATCGTTCCTCTCCCAAACGCATCTCCACAAAGGACTTGGAAGGAGACGACAAGCAGATGACAGCGAGGACGGACCGAACCTGTTTGTGATCCCTCAGTGCCGCTAGACTTCAACATTGCCCCGTAGCACCGTTGTCCATACAGTCGCTTTGCTACTGCGAAAAAGAATTTTTGTGTGCCACTGTGACATACAAAGCGAGACAGAGTGCCATGAAAGGCTTAGCACAAAGCGCCACTACCTTTACTAAACCAAGGCATGACTGACACAATTGCTCAACGAGGCTTCGACATAAAAGCGAGCCAGTCCTGGGCTTGCGAAGGTGCATTTGGAGATGCCTTTACGCACTCTGCACTCAGTCGCAACGCTTCACTACACCAAAGCAACTGCTGTCACGAGAAATGTTTTGCTGGATAAAAGGTTGATTGGACGTGCAAAAAAGCAGCGTTTAGACAAGTTTTGACAGAAGCATGTTTACACGGACCTGGAAGAGTGCCGGAACCTGCGTCACGTCAGCTGGGCAAAGTTTCTGCAGCTTCTTTCACGCCTAAAACCAAGAATCGTGTGGTAAAGTAAACCAGCAAACGCACAAAACACACTGATGCATCATCTTTGTTTTGCTAGTAAAAAAAAGCAAAAAAAAAACATACTGTTGCCAGGTGAAACGCTTTTTAAGTCAATCGCCCGCTAAAAATCTGCAAGTGAGAAGGCGCTCGGCCATTTCAGTTCGCGGATCCTCAGATGAGGCGCGAATTGCAGGAATTGGTGACGTGACAGTCACGTGATACACGATCCACGGACAAAAATCGCGATTCGGTCTGTCGTGTGATTTGGCCGGTAAGGGAAGGTTTAAGTCGAGAAGTCAAGTTTATTTTTAAACATTGTTGATTTTTTGTTTTTTGCTTGCTTTATTATCATCAGACATGGTACTTTTATAAGTAAAAAAATCTGAATAATATTCGGATGAGAAGTTAAAAAAAAGTGTATGACGCTCGCGGTGGCTCGAAAAATCTCAAGTTTACGCGAATATCAGCCATCTTCGAGTAACTATTGCTTGGGACAGCAGCGCTTTGAATGTTCCGATTCGATATGTGACAGGCAACAGTAAAAGGCGTGGTTTTCGCGTTTGGAACTATCAAAGCAAGCTCAAGTTAGAAGAAATGCGGTGCATACGCAAGAGAACGTCAGCAGAAGAACGTTTACTGCAGCCTGCTAAGCCCAACCATGGTAACGGCAAGTGTTTTGTCGCAATCGATGCTCCTTTCACGTTTGACAGTGCTGCGGAAAAGGAGGTTGCGTCCTTCGAAAACAAATGCAGAACATGTGGCTACGGTTCTTTCCGAGTTCGGCCATGTACGACATTGGCGCACTGGCGATACTTGCGAGTAGTGCGATCTGCCCTGCTTGTCACCAGTGCAGGTTTTCTGCACGTCTGGGTTTTAGCTGGGAGTCGCGAGGGATTTTCGTTTTCCTCCAAACTTCAATGAGAAGAGCAAGTGCTGTGAGCAAAATTTTTCTTTTGACATTTTCGTCGAAATGTGAAATGGAAACATACGAGTGCAAAGCGAAGCTATTACAGCGGGAGCTTGCATGACTTTTGCGTTCAGTTTAAAGCCGTAAACTTTTGCGCAATTCTCAGCCTACTAGCACCGCTGCATCACCAGACCTTTACTAGCAAGAAAGTTTATGCCGCTGCCGCAAAAACTGCCAACCAAAATCTTGTGAAGACCGAAATGCTGACGTGAGAGGTAGCAGCTAATGGAGCTGATGTCTGACGGCACACGGTGAAAAGGGGGGCGGAAAAGTCACGGCATACAGTGGGAGGGTTTTATTGACTCTGGATGTTTCCTGAACATCCTACCTATGTTTTGGCCATATTTTGTGTAATTGTAGCCGATGTTTGAATAGTATTTATCTTTTGAACTTTCAAATGCATTTTTATTGTTTTGCAACTGGGTTGTCTTCAGGGTTTAGTGCATTCAATTTTGGGTACTTGGAATCTTATAATTATAATGTAATTTTGATGTATTGTCCGATTTCTGTCTTGAGCTGCAATATCTTAGTTATGTTTTTGCGAATTGTTCTAAATTTTAACTAACTTCTTAAGGGCTTCTAAAGAGAAGGCTCTATGACACCTTAATTTTTATTTTCTAAATTAAAAGCCCTATGCTCAGTTTGTGGCTGGATACTGGCGCTCTACACTTCATAGGGAGCAAAATGAGCTATTGTACCATGCTCCTTATGAAAAATTGGTGTCCCTAAGTTTGTACACCAAAAACCCTTTCTAGGTAATTGTTTCTGCCCCTGAACACTAAACTATGGAAGTTAGATTAAAACTAATAATTGTTTTTAAAAGAGAAAACTAATTAGTGCAAGTTTCATTATCCTAGGGAAATTAGGGTATTAAAGAAAAAAGTCTCCTAGCCACATCTTCCCAACTGAACAGTGCTCCACTTTAGTGGGAGGTATCTAAATCGCTGGCAAACATGGGACATTCTTGATGCTACCAGAGTCCTTCAATACGCTATTGGTCATGAAACTTGGGCCCAATTTTGCTACGGGGTCAAAAACTGTTGCCAGCAGCGCCAGAATCCCGCAGGAGGCATTTTTGTTTGGCTAGCCTACTCTCTTTGAGCCGCTCCAAATTCGCGATTACAAGTAGTTTTCAAAAAACGGTTTCTCGTACACTGACATTTTCTTTATGCCTGTAATTGATTTGGGCAGAGCAGTGGCTGGCAGTTTGTTTCTGAAGAGAGTTTTTTTTTTCCTCAGCCACCCTGTTTGTAAGGAGTTTTGAAAGTGTTCGCAGAAACACCCAGTATATAAAGATCCAGCTGGAATAGACAAACTGCATGAGCTATGTGGGAGGTACCAAGAGGGCGTCGTGTCCAGGTTCGGGTGTTTGACGTCAATTCTGAGGAGCTCACGGAGGGCGACGTGCTGGTGATGGGCACGGATGGCCTCTGGGATGTCATGGCCAATGAGAAAGCAGCGGAGATCGTCCAGAAGTCCCTCGACCACTTCCCGGCCAACGACACTCAGCGCGTTAAGTTCAGGTGAGCACGCCCCTTGCTCTCACTGATGGGCAAGGAGGAAAACATCATTTTCTAACTTCTGAGTCAGAGAATCATTTCATAGCCCTTTTAGCAAACTTACATTCAGCTGTCAAACATTGGCAACACAGACCTCTCCAATTTCCTCGGATGTTTATTCCAGTAACTTGCAACATTCATGGTGGATAGCGGTGCAGCCACAATGTGCAAGAGCGGGTAGCACTTCAATCAGCTGGTAAGAGACTTCAGAAGCGGAGAGGGGCTCAGCTCAGGCAAAAAAGAGTTTGCGTGAGTTTGCCGAACCACACAGTATTCAGCAGTGCAAAGTTGCTCCAAAATGGTTCCGGCTAATCACAACCCTGATCTAGCAATGTTGGCGTTACGTTTCTCGTATAAGCTTCGACTACAATTCTGAAGTGCTTTCCAGGAGTCTGCATTCAAGTACCACATGGAACAACTTCAAATCGAGTATGAGGCAACCATTTACGAGAGTGAGAGGTTGTTGACCTCCAATTTTCAACTCGGGACAAAGCAATGCGTGGCAGCAAATATCTTTGTCACCTTTACAAAGCGCGATTAGTGCCATACACGAATGCATGGTAGGACTTGTTTCGCTTCTTCGGAAGCGAGACACGTCCTACCACACAGCCCTTTGTGAAGCTCCCGCTTCTTGAGACAGGGCGAAAGGGTTCACAGTCACACGTTTCGCTCCAGGTACATCTCGGCGGCGCAAGATCTGGTGATGCATTCAAGGGGCAAGCTGAAGGAGCGCAACTGGCGCACAGCGGACAACCGGGCAGCCACGATAGACGACATCAGCGTCTTCGTGATCCCGCTCAAGTCGTACCAGGACGAGCACCGTGCCTGGACTGCCTCCCTCCTGCCCCCCCACCAGAGCCCGCCACCTCCGGCACTAGGACTGCCACTCCCTCCTACGCCCGGAAATGTAGCGCCGTAAATACACATACCCACAGAGCGCGCATGCTCTTCCTTGAGCACCAATCTTTCTCGGAGTTGCATCAAAGTTGCACGCGCGGCAGTTGCATTGCAGTGACTTCACTGCAGAGCACTGAAGAGAAATCGCTGCAGTGCGGCGGTTGCGAGCGTGCTTCCTCTGGAAAGGACCAGCCATACTATGTTTGAGCCGTGCACAAAGATGTAAGGATCTTTCTTGCTTCTGAATGGGGCCCAGGTGAATTTGGGTTCGGCCCAATGGACTTCCGGCGTTCAGTTCTAGTGAGAAACGCGGAGTAACTCTCCGCATGGGAGACGCACACCCCCAGATTGCCCGTGCACCGGGACTCGAACGGGCTCTTGTGTCCCGAGTCTGGGACATACATGTGCAGTCCTTGGCTTTTCGGGATTCTGTCTTTTTTAGGGGTCTCCATTCCTTCGCTGCTACTCTCACTGGACCATTTCACCACAAGCTGTGCTTTGTCCTGCGGGAAACGCTGCCTTCAGAGTGAGAAGGTGTAACGATCAACTCTGTAAATTGAGTTGCACCGTCGCATTAGGCAATTCTTTTCTAGAGATCTGGTTGCAAGCTTAGATGCATGGCTCCAGTTTCCTACCCCTAAGGTGCCCCTTGTTTTGCTCCTTCATTGCCACTTCTGAGCTTGTAAAGGCACTGAGCGCTGTCTTAGCGATTGGTGAACGTAATATTACGCACGCAGTGCTCCCGTTTCAAATATGGGAGAATTTCTGTCGTCTCAAAAGTGTACAGTACGTGTTTGTCCAGTGAGAACTACTACTGCAGTAAAATAGCATCTGCCAAATTTACTTCGCCGCTCAATTCAGGTCATTGCTGGTTTCAGTTCTCGATCGTATGTTGTAAAGATTCTTCCAAGAATAAAGGATACTACATATACCACACTGGAAAGGTTACTGTATATACATGTTTTATCCCTGAACAATATTCTGAAATGTGATCTTTTTTGTCGTTTTCTCATGGATTGTATTTCTCTAAAGGAAAAAGGAATGGAGCAAACCAATTGTAAATTTGAACATGCTGGACAGCCATGTGCACTATTAGAATCTGCACATGAGCTGTCCTTCACCACCTTTTCCATGGATATGGGGCAACTTCTGCTTTTATTAATTGGCAGCAGAAGGCACTCACTCACTGCAGTTTAATTTGCGCTTCACACAACAAGGCCGCCTTTACCTTCACCGCACATGCTTTACAACTTATTCTTATTGTGTACCGTGAGCTTTATCTATTGTTGGACCTTTGAACAAACCTGAAACTCTCCCTCCAAGCAGTCGTGCTGTGGGACATTAAACTGAAGAAACAAGCCTGCTCTCGTGCTCCCAAACACTAGCTGAAGCCTTGAGATGATTGTATGCTACCTTACTAAAGATCACCCAAAGAGCTGCACAAAATGTTGTGTTGCAGCATCTCAAGGAAATGAGGAATTCCAGTATTTTTTGTTGCTTCTATACTATAAAGGAGAAGCTGTTTTCATTACTTATTTGTGTACAGCCGGTCTGCCCTACACAAATACCAAACGGAAACACAGCCTGCGTGCTGTACATCTGTAGGAGTTAGTTTGACAGGCTTATAGGAAAATCGGCAGACAATGTCCGATTCATTCAAAGGCCCAACCACCCTTGGCACCCACTTTTCCATTTCATGACTTCTTGTGCTGTGCTTTTGGCTTCCTGCACCCCCAAGTGAATTGCAGTGCATACCAGATCATTATTTTGTTTTTATATTCCCATTGTTTTATATTTTCGGCTCTGTGTAAAGTTTAATATACCTTGGTGCTATGCAGTGAAGCTGGCCTCCCTAGTCGTGCAGTTCTGTCTTGTTGCAACAGGAGTGTTGTGAATTGGCTGGCTGAATCATCTGCATTGCTCTGTTGAAGATGTTAGCAATACATCCGGTAAATTTCCACGAGTAATCTGTGTCAATAAACTCAACTATATATTTTTTTTTTTTGAGCTGCAGCCTTTTGAAGGCTATTGTGAGCCAACCCCGAAGGGCGTACTCTTTCGCGTTTGACATTCCACGGCGTGTTCCTTTTGCTCATTTTAACGGGATTGCAGTGATGAACCAATGTCCGTAAGTTTCTCGTTGCTAACGAGGATGCAGTGTGTGCCACTCTAAAGGGAACTATTTTATACTCTTAAATTTTTCTTATGTACAGAGCTATATTATAAGTCTTCATGAAGTGTCAATTTGAAGAACTGTGAATAAAGAAGCCTTGACCAGTGTAGGGTCGGCACATGAAAGCATCATTTCTTCACCCACTTTAAGGTTTCTCACTTTTGGTCCAAGTGTCGCGAAAAGTGCCTGTCGCTTTTGCAGGAGACGCAGCGGTTGCGCTGGCGCCTGTACCTCCCTCAGAAGCGCACATGTGGTCTGCGTGGTCGTCTGCTAGTCTACGTCTGTTAAAACAGCGCTCGTGTTATAGAAAGAAAACAATTGCACACTATATATTTGGTACTTTAAATATTCAGAAGTTCAAGAAGCTTACTGCATGTCAGACTTCAGTGTGCAGTCGTGCAGATACTAAATCGATCCACGCAAACAGACTTTTTTTTTTTTTTTTTTCGTTTTGAGGAGCGCTTAGCTTGGCTGCTTGCTTGAACTAATGCTGAAGACGACGATACCCCATACTTCGTCGCCGCCCTTGCGCATGCATCGTATCGTTACGGGAGGTATCTGAACGATCTCCGATAAGTTAAAGGGGTCATGAAACGATTTTCCTACTTCTTCCTCCTTAGCTTTAATCCTCAACTCAAATGCGAATTGTGAAATCACGTGGTCGTGACATTCCTTCGGCACCGGTGCGATGACCCCTAGCTTTCACCGTGCTTTTAGAGCGCAGCTCTTAGGCGCCCGTTTCCGGCTTGAGCGGCGTCGCCGTCGGCGTAACCAAGGTCACCCCAAGATCACGTGACCCCCAAGGTCACATGACCTCTCCCAAGGTCAGGTGACCCCCTGATGACTTCACCAGCATCCGCATCGTCGTCGTCATCAGTGATGATGACGTCACTGACATCCGCATCGTCATCATCACTGATGACGTCATCAGTGGCGTCACTGATGTCGTCACCGGCATCCGCATCGTCATCATCACTGATGACGTCATCGACATCGTCATCATCACTGGTGACGTCGTCGGTATCCGCATCGTCATCGTCACTGATGACATCATCGGCACTCATTGTCACGTGACCCCCCCTCCGGTCAGTTAACCCCCCCCCCCCCAGTACCCTTCCCTCCTCCTCCTCAAGAGCTGCGCTCTAATTCGGCGTTACAGGGAGTCGTAAACGGCTTTCACTTTTTTTTTTTTTATGCACACCATAGAACTTGAAGTCATTCCCTAGAAACAATAAGTTCCGTCAGGGCACTCATTGGCCACGAACGCGAATCCAAATATTCGTCGACGGATTGATTGTTGACGAGCGCATACGTCCGAGTGACGCAGTTCTCGTGTCCAATGCGTGAGCTGGGCTCTGCTGACGTCAGTTTGGCGCCGGTGAAGCGCTTTTGGAGCCGCGGATGTATCACAGTGAAAAGGCGGAGAGCTTTCGAAGGAAAGAAGGTACAAAATAGTCCGCTATACTTTCAAATATTCACACCGAAAAGCTGGCTTTTGACTTTCTGCCCTCTTTCTTTTGGCAAGCTAAACGATGTGCGATTAGTAAAATCCCAATTTAAAATCATTCATTCCAACCCAAAATTTGTTTCATGGCCCCTTTAATGATACCCAGAACTCCGTTCTCCGCAAGCCACTTCCCCTTGAGCGTTTTGGGTAATTGGGGGGTTCTCGTTGACTGCTTTTTCCCCTCCGCTAAGCCCTCCGCAACGAAGCAGCCGCTACTGCACCTGCGCGCCCATAGCCTTGACTGTAGAGTTTCGGGTATCGTAGCGGGCTGCTACGATACCCAAGTTAGCGGCAAAAGAAAACGGAATACGATGCTCTGGGTTCGCATCCACCGCCGGGTTCTGACGACACTGTAGCTTGAGCTTGGCGTCTGACGTTGCGTGCAAGCAGTTCAGCCCACAACCATATAGGGGTCCTTATCGTTTCGTGGAATTGTGTTTTGTGGACACACGTTTCGTCGACACAGACGTTTCATGCATCGACACCCGTTACGTCAATTGCACGCTGTAGGGACATTTCTTCACACGTGTATCACTTCACTGGGATTCGCGTTAACCCCCTTCCTGCATTTACGCCTTCACGGCGACAGTCTGCGGCGGCTCATTACTAAGATGTTAAGCCACATGACTGACCCGTATACACGCCGCTTCGCGGCGACAGTCTCGTGCAGCTGATTACACCAAAAAAAGCTAATCTGAGTTGCCGATGAAACAATCTGTCGATGAAACGATTCGTCGGTGAAACGTCGTTCGATGGACTGATTGCCACTGCCGTATAGAGTTGGTCGTGGTTCAGCCAGAAGCGTCTAAAGTGTTGGGGCAACCGGAGGGGATTGCTCTTCGTCTGGGGCACCGCTGAAATAAAAAAGGTCGGGGGTGAGGGTGCAGGTCAGGGTGTCATCTCCGAGGGTTGGGGAAGGTGTCGGTACCTTTTTTTCGTCGAAGCTCGTTTCGTAGACAACGTTTCATGGACACGTTTCGTCGCCTATGTTTCGTAAAATCTCGTTTCGTGGACGGATGCTCCTGCACCATTTCGTCATCATATTTTTTTACTAAGTGGATGGAATTGGATTACTGCACTAAAAGTGCAAGTCATGGGACATTCGCTGCAGTTGATTTGTTTAGTCGATGGAAGACCACACACAGGAAGATGGACGAATGCCACAATGTCGCGCTTTGGCGCTGGTTGATTCCATTGGCTCGAAGCAGCAGCTGCGCTTTAAATTAAGCTGGAACGAAGTATTGGGATTAGGGATGTCGCAAACTGCCCTAGCTTTCAAATTCGAAAGCTTTCAATATTTTTGAACCGAACTCGAAAGATTTCGATATTTTCGACCGTACCGAGGTTTGAAATCGAAAAGTTTGCAAATTTCGAACACTGTGGAGTTTCCAATTTGAAAAGGTAGAAGCTTTCACAGTTTCTAAAAGTTCGGATTCGCATATTTTTTTACTTGAGGTTCGCGAAATTCGATGATTTCGAACTTTCCTAACTTGGAAGTCGGGAGATTCGAAAATGTTGAATTTCTTAAAATCTGAAGTTTGAGGATTTCGAATTTATTTGAATCTGAAGTTCGAAAAGTCTAAGATTTCGAATTTATTTGTATCTGAAGCGAACGTTTCGAATTTTTATAGACAATATTTGAAGATTTTGATTTTTTTTTTTTACATAAAGTTTGAAAATTTTGAAGGTTTCGATTCTCTTTTAAAGCTAAATACGGAAAAAAACTTCGAAGTTTTCAAATTTCGACGTTTATCCGAAGTCCGGTTTTCATGTTCCTCCACAGATTCAGTTTCAAATAACGTTTTCACGCCTCACTGGTTTTCACGAAATCAGGTTTAGAAAATTCAGGTGTGATATTTAGACTATGCGAAGTTCGTCAGGCAAATAAATGAGACGAAGATTGTCCCGGATGTGCTGGAATATTTGCCAGTGCAGAGTGGCGTGTGACCATAGATCAGTAATTGTGACCGCCAGGCTCCAGCCCGGGTGGGGCTTTAACGTGCATCACTCAGTAGTGATCACACGAACGCACTGTTTTACGATATTCGTCCAGTTCTAAGGCAGGGGGTTGAGGCTCAGAAAAACCTTGGAGCGATCTGACAAACTACCTCCCCCCCCCCCCCCCCCCCCTGCACGCTGGTAGTAATCCGATCGAACGCCGCCCGAGTGACGCTGGCATATAGTCAGTTTAGCTTGTAATTGTTATGGAGGTTTATTTTCCCGGACGCTCGTCAACCGCGCTGGTTGGTTGATGTGCTGGCAGATTGATCGCTGACATCGTTTGAATTTCCAGACGACGTTGGCGATGCGAGGAACTAAAAGTTGCGAGATAACATCGCCAAACTGTAGGAAGGGGGCTACTCTAATAAGACGGTGCCAGGGTCTTGTACTCCCGATGAGATCCTTGATTATCATGTCTGCCGCATGCCTGCGTTCAGCCTCTCACCAGCGCGCGCATGTCGAGCTTCACCGCTTTGCACCGAAGTGCTAGGTGGAGCGGATGACATGGGTGAGCACCTGGGTTAGCGCGATAGGCTCAGTATAATTATGCTCAGTACTATTCCAGGTCACCTTTCTTATTTGTTTTGTCTTAATTGTAGCTTATTCTCAAATTAAAAAAAAAAATAATTGCGCCGATATAAATAAATGGTAAAGATTGTTCCTGTGTCGCTGCCGATCGAAATAACAGCGAACTTTGACTTCACTCTGGTTCCAACGCCTCTAAGGAGCAATGTCATTTGTGCAAGTGGAGGTTTGTTCATATCAAAGTCTTGAGTATGGTAGCTTCATAAAACTTGGGGGACCATAATAGACGAGCTGGTTTCTGCAGGCATTTTACGGAACTTGTATATACAGGCTAAATAAACTACTGGCTCTAAAAGTATGAGGGGAGAGAAGCTTTATCCCAACTGAAGTGTTGCGCTCATTCTTCATCCATGTTTTAGCACGCATTGTAAATAGAACCTTCTCCGACTAGAGCCTTATTTCTTAAAACAACTATGTGTGTTACTTTGGCGCCCTATCTATAATTATGACAGACGGTAATAAGGAATATGCTGCAGTATCAAAGATTAACTTATTTAGCGATCCAATCACTTTCATTTTCAAATGATATGCTAACATGTTGGCATCTGCTCCCCCCCCAAAAAAAAAAAAAAAATTAACTGCTCCAAATTAATTTTTTGCCTGCTACAGAACCGGCTACAATAGATCAAATACCGCTTCCATCACTGGATAATAGGGAGTTTTCGTAGATCGTTTTCGCCGTCCCGCAAGGCCCCCCGCAACCCGCTACGATAGCGGGAACTCCACAGTCAAGGCTATCGGCGCGCAGGCGCAGTAGCAACTTCTTCGTTGCGGAACGCTTAGCGGAGGGGGCAAAGCGCTCTACGAAAACTCCCTAATGAAACCTTGAACGTCGCGTATTAGTGGCGAGATGTTTCGGTGGCGCCCTTGTTTGTTTACCTTTCGTGACGTCATTGCCTTCTGAACAACAAGTTCGATGGTGTTTGTAATGGGCATGGTGGAAGCCTGAAATCACAGCGCTCTCAAAGCAACGCTGCCAACACCGTCAAAATTGAGGTTCCTACATTCCTCTTATTTCTGTTGATGAGACATCCT